GTCCTTGCTGCTGTACTCGCGGACACACACACACACACACACACATTGGTGCCACGGCCAGACAATTGGCTGACTCGATCGCATTATATTGCAGAGTTGCCTCACATCTAGACCCAGACTGCCATAGCCAGGGGAAAATGTTGTTGGTTATTCAAGGTTGATTACATTTGTCAAGCATGAGCAATGGCTACCGCATCTGAGCAGATCTACAGTTTAAAACACCTGATTACAACACAGAGGCCACACAGAGCCGCCCACGCATCTGGAGCCAGAGCCAGAAAATAATTATGGCACGAGCAACGCATACAGTACCAGAGCAAAACATTGAGAACAAACGATGACATTCTTGCAAAGTCGACTGCACATCTGGAGCCAGAGGCGACAAAAAACGTCTTCTATAATACTTGCAAGTGAAAAAGTCATTAGTTTGAGGGGTTAAACAAAAAAATCATGGTTGATTGTATTGGACAGCATGAGCAGCAGCTACAGTATCAAGAGTACAGTTCAAAATACTAAAATACTACATGCAAGTCACTGATAATGAGAGGATCCATTGTGTTCTACAGTCATCGGTCTTTGAACCCCACTGGTATTCCAATAAACTCGATAAGCAGCTGGGCATGGGGGTGGGGAGAGGGTCGACGAGAAAGACGGATGCGCCGAATTTGGGATGCAACGGTTAGCCAAACGTATAAAATAATAATGAACACGAGACGTGCAGGGAGTGAGGTCCAGTATAATACAAGCCTGCTTGTGCAGTGCAGCACGACAGGTACATTTGTCTGTTGATAACTTCTCCATATTGATTAAAACTGCCTGCCCTTAAGGGCATGTCAATGATCACCTGTTTCTTTTGCGAGTTGCTTGTGGCGAGAACTTCAGGCTTTTGAGCTCGCAGGCAGCAACAAGGCGACTGACGGCCTTTTTACAGGAGTGCTGCCAGCGGGCCAAGCACTGGAATCTTCCAGGTGATTGCTCCATGTAATCGGCCTTCCAGCCAGCTTGCACATGCGCGGCGTGCACTGCGGATCTCTTCTCGCTCTCCTCTCTGTGACGGTTCAGCAGAGCACGGCAGGCGGCATGACTCGACTTCGGTGAGCTGCAAGTCGAACACTTCATTTTCGGCCAGCTCTGACTGGGCTGGCATGCACGCTCGCCTTCGAACTCTGGAGATCTACACCGAATACAATCCGACACAGTACCTCCACTAGCTACAGAGCCTCTTGCCAATCTGGTCATCTCAATCATAGACGTACTCTTTGAGTGCGCTTTGCCCGTGCTTGATGAGCTCATACTAGTGCTCTGCGGTTTGACAGATCTGGGCTTGCGCTGGCATGATCGGAGCGGCGACAGCGTGTCATCCTGCTCCAGGGATGCGGACTGTACGGACGACTTCCGGTGTGGCTGCTGCTGCTTCTGCCCCCGCTGCTGTCGTGGGCAGTGCTGAGCTGCGTTCACTTCTTCAGGGGCGACGATGTCACTGCAGCTGCTGGTGCTATCCTCGCTGCACTGAGAGCTTGATCCAAGCATACTGTTTTCCCAGCCAAGTTTGAACAACAAAGTAACATCGCTTTCAGATTCCCGGCAAAATGATCCTAAGTCTTTGCCATGACTACTGCTTTTTCACTTTTTACTCCTAGCCATCTTCGCCATCGATGTTCAGCTACAGGCACGGCTCTGTAGCGCCATTGCTTCAGCTTTCCGGTCCAGTGACAGTGAGGCTGTTAATGTTACTGGTACTAAAATTATCTACTTGTAGCTCCATCTGATTTCTGCTTGTTTTCCTCCTACGTGCGCAAATGCAAGCTCTGAATTCATGAATGCAAGAAATGCTATAATTATTACAATGTATATTAAAGTGCGTAGCTGTGAAGGTTCTGGAAAGGGTTTGCTACTCCCTAGATGCACATGAAAGGGATTGACTGCATAGGTGGCCTGGCAAAAAGTCCATATTTGACCGGCCATGCGCTCTTTGGGGATGTGTTGGCATGAGAAATTTGAACCCTGATTAAAAGTCTGTACGGTGCGAAGTTAGGTGGGGGTTGAAATGAACAGGGTTGACCCTGACTGCCAGAGCTAGCCCTGGAGCTGAGAGGCCTCGAGTCGAGAAGGGTCCTCGTTACGTTGGTGCATCTGATGTACAAAACTACCAGTACATGTACAGTACAAGTAGTACGATACCGACAAAACGCGTGACTACATTGGCGGGAAATTTGCCCGCGGCCCTGCACCTTGTGGTGCAAACCTGGCGCGAAACTCAATTCCCCAGCCAGGGGCTAGGGCCATAGGGCTAGGGGAGGGTTGAAACCAGGGTCCAGGAGTATTGGTATTTGACCTCTCCTCTGTACTCATATCCCTTATTACTAGCCGTGTATTGCTGAACCGCCACAAATAATTTAATTGAAGTCGGGCCGCGGATATTGCCCAATCGAAACAGGAAAGAAATGCAGTAAATGTACACAAAAAAATGGCAGTGCGGGATGATCGTGTACTCGTACTTTCCGGGGAAATCATGCGTGTGCCAGCTGGCGGTGCACATTTACAGCAGGGAGTCGTAAAATACCATAATTATACATTTTACGTCTCCCTGATTCACAGTTTCACACGCCATTGTACGAGGTGATTTTGGCTTTTTTTAACATTCGGCATTTTTTTAACAAATGCGTAAAATTTGCTTTTCTTCTGGCTGTTTCTCTGCTCCGGATAGCTGTATCGAAACATGGGTGATGGCAAATGATAGCCAGTTTATCGTAGATCAACATTGACCAGAAAATTTGGTGCATATAATTTAATTCTCCCTGCCATGTCGGTATAAATAGTGGTGGGTGCTTTGCCATTTTGAGTAAAATGTGTAAAATAAGCCCCTGAATGGACGAGGGGGCAGTGAATTGCTTCCGCAGGGCCTTTAGACGAGGTCAGGCTGTCTTGCCATCACTAAAGACAATAATGAAGAACAGTAGGTCACGGAATACACTCTGTGAGAATGAAAACATGGCTGCGATGCTATGCTACCTATCCAATTCTACCGTATGACACAGCCACTAGTTACAAATTCAAAAACACAGCTTTCGCAGCATACAATGCAGTTATTATTATTATTATTATTCCACAATCACGATGACATAGTGTCAATAAACATGTGATGCGGGCGATTTTAACCAGCCATGGTGGGGAAAACTGAGAAAAAGAAGGAGGAAAAAGAACAATGAAACCAAAACAAAAGAAGTACTACCGGTAACTACCGTCATCAGGTAAGCGCGTGCAGAATGGAACAAAATGCAGCATAGGTGGCACGGGATTTTACCTCCTGCGAAAGCCGAGACCATGTAATGAGAATAGGACTTGAATAGAGGGGATTCTAAAAGGATCGATGATCTGGCAAGTGTGAACTGGAGAGAACATCTAGTAGGCGAGCTATTATTGAACCAGTTTAAATGCGCAAGTGCATGCGGAGGAGCAAGTTAAGCTTAATACGGTGAATGAATTTACATGCCGAGTGGGGAAAGCGTTCTGAAAGAGGGGAAGAGGAAGCCAAAATGTATAGCGTCTGTGAGGAGGTTAGAGGGGGCATATTAATCGAAGCAACTTACGGTGCGTGACTTGTAACCGATGCATAAGAGCAGAGTATAGACCAAAGGACCAAACGAGAGAGCAGTAATCAAACAGAGGAAGAATATAGGAGTGATAAATTTGTATTCGACAACCATGGTGCAGATGGGAAATGTGAGAAGAAATGCAGCCTATAGCGGAGCAAACTCGCTTTTCAATATATGTTACGTGCGAATCCCAGGACAAGTGTTCATCAAGAAAATTAATATACCAAGGTGTTTGTGATTTTTAACTATGTTGATAACAATGGGATCGTCAGGGAAAGTAAAAAGTCGAGTCGTGAGGAGGGTGAGGTCACTGGAGGGTCGTGGGGGGATACAAAGGATTGCCGTTTTCGACATGTTGGGGAGGAATTTCCACTCCGACATCCAGCGCACAACTTGGTTAATGTGATACTGTAGCGAGTCACAGGCTTCTAATAAGCCTGGTTCGGTTATACATACACACATGTATGCAGCGCCGTATCGTCCGCGTAGAGAGATGTATGGTCCAACGATGCCAAATCATTTACGTATACATTGAACAACAGAGGCCCCAAGATAGAGCCCTGGGGCACTCCAGAGTGGACTGTTAGAGGGGCGGACAGGGCATGTCCAATTCGGACACTCTGTCGACGTTCAGTGATATAGCTGGTGAGCCACTGCAGACTTACCCCGGTTACGCCAAGCGTTGCTAGCTTTAATATGGAGGAGACCCATCGTCCAGACAGTGTCGAATGCTTTGCTCAGGTCGAAAAAACATAGGAGGCTAAATTGTTTTTGATCCTTGCATTCATATAGCTTCTGCACAAGCCTCAACAACTGCCAGGCGGTCGAATCGCCTCGCCGAAATCCAGACTGTGACGGGTCAAGCACCGGGTTCGCATAGTTGACAGCTTAATTTTCATCCACTAGCAATCCTTGAAGTGATATCTATCAACTTCAGAACATCGGTGACCCAATATCTCAGTTTGTGATGCCATTTTACACATTTTGTTAAATAATGACACGCCAATGAATTGAATCCTGAGAATACTATGAAAGTAGGGCATGATTCAAGACACTATCCAAAGTGGGATCATTCCCATTTTTTTGACACAACGGGCATGAAGGATATCACTTCCACCTGCAACAGTTCATTTAGACGTAGCTTGCCTGGAAGTGGCTGAAAAACGTTCTTTTACAACCATGTTTAAAAAAGCCAAACCATCTCGCACTGTGCTTCTAGAATTCTCTCCTTGCAAAGGAATTAGTTTTTAACCCAAACCCAAAGGTTGTGGGTTCGAACCCCACTTTTGACGACCTTGTTTTCTTTTTCCGTCGTGATCGAACTTTGTGGCTTCGAATCAGGGAGTCGTAAAATACCATCGGGGAGTCGTAAAATACCGGTATTTTACGACTCCCTGCTTCGAATCCCATTCTGGGTAACTTTTTCTTTTCAAAACTCCCTGACATGATGTAAACCAGTACAGGTGCAGGGAGTAGCACGCACAGTGTAGTACGTAACAACAAGAGTACATAACTCTTGGTAGCAATCATTGTAGAATCCACACTGAGAGTACACAGGGCAGGGGGCCTTACACAAATCCGTAGAGATCGTCATGCAGCATTGGCCACGGACTACAGTCTACAGTAGTGGAGAACAGAAAACACCAGGACGAAATGAATACATGTACATGTATGTACATAATCATTAGGCGTGATGGCGAACAACTAATTACTTCAAAATAGCAACGCTTGCTTGAAACTTGACGTGGTGATAGAAAGAAATCAACGCAATAAATATATTAGAGCTCCTATTCCAGTATTTAGTGCTACATAATTGTACAAAATTTATGTACATCGGATATTATAAAAATGAACAATGAAAAAAATCTGGACTCTCATGTACATGACTGACTGTAGATCTACATGACTGTACGACTCTCTGTCAATCAGCATGCAGCAGTGCTAGCTAGTGTATGCGCCAGTACTGCAGTAGTGATCAATCAACTGCGTATTTGTTGACCTGCATGCTAGGCTGGGCTAGGCTGTGCTGGGCTGGGCTAGCTGAACTCTGTTGCACTGACGCTGATCTGTGGGGTGCATGGGTTCACAAGCAGAAAATCGACAGCACGAGTGACCAGCAGCAATAGCAGTTTAGTTTGACGGATTGACCTGCCATGATGTAAACGAACACTGAGCCAAGGGTGAGATTTAACCAAGAGCCCATCTGGTTATGGACTTCTGCTTCTTGGTGCTAGGGGCTTGTTCAAGGCACACACGAACACTGGTCACGGTGCTCTCTCAGTCAGAGTGCATGCCATCAAGCAAAACGCGCGTAGCCTAAAATGCACAGTACAGGTGCTAGACTGCTAGATGCAATCCCAACTCAAAACTATCAGTCGTTGTCTCTGCTTTTCCCTCATCTCCCTCTGCTCTGGATTTTCCGTCATCGAGTTTAGTTTTGTGCACTCGTATAGCACATTCCGACATTGACTGTACTCTCAGCGGTAAATGTGGACCATGACCATGGGTCAAGACTCAAGACATGCAGGATTAGCGTAGATCTACTCTTGGTTGGACTCACTTGGTTCCAGGTTGGCCAAAGATCTGGTTGGCTAGAAGAGTGATCTCACTTATAAGCATTGCCTGTCTCTCCTCCAAGAAGGCGACGCGCCGCTCCAAGCCTTGCACGTAGATGTTCTTCTTTCGGCGGTACTCCTTGGCTGCCTCCCTGCAATGTGCGAAGCAAATACGGTAATAAGTTACAATGTAGTTCTGACTGGTAACTCATGGTAACGCAATTACATGTACATGTAGGGGCCATGTACCAAGACTGGCAAGAGTAGGCATGGGCGGGTAATGCTAGTTATTTGCTGCGACAATGCTAAAGGCAATGCTCATAATATGAGGATATAATGTCACTTATAATTAGGGCTCAAACGATTAGTCCGATTAACCGGTTGCAGACCGGTTACGAAGAATTAACGGTTAACCGATAAAGATAACGGTTACGCAGTTACTTTTCAGTCAATTTTTCAAGTATCAGGTCGTTGCAAAGTGTGCACTTTCGCGGGCTGTCGCACGCGTACGCAATTTCTGGGCTGTCAACTCGGTCATATCTGGTCTCTTGGTGTGAGAGTATGTATGAATGAGCATGCAAGGGAATGTACAAGTGTGCGTTGTACTGAATAGGGTACATTTTTTGAATGAGTTTATGTCAAATATACGGTTAAAAAAGAGTCCGCAGGATTGCCGTGGCTTATAGGTTATAACCGGTTAACCGACCGTTAGCTTAGCAGTTAACCGTCAGGGGTAAAACCGTGACCGTTTGAGCCCTACTTATAATGCTCACACTACTCCATAATGCCAGTTTGAAAGTTGGAAAAGTCGATTTAAGAAGGCCGTCTTGGATCAAGGCCAAAGCGTAGAAGAAGAAAAAACTTAAACAGCAGTGAGCATGTTGTCTGAAACAATCCACTGAAAAGGTTCGTTTGCAACGTCAAGTCTCCGGACGAAGCCGGACGGGTTCAGATGCACGATTTTCGGAACTGGACCTAGCCAGCTTCATGCATGACACCGTTGTCGACCGGCAATTATGCTTGTAATGCCAATTTTTCATGCGAAATGGTGTTATAATGCCAGCATTATGCCACCTGGAAAAAAGGGACTATAGTGCCAGCCATAATGCTAGCATTACCCGCCCATACCTAACCAAGACGTTTTAAACACTGTCTGTTCGTACACACTCTAATTAGTCTCTTGGTATACCAATGGCATCCCCGTGTCTGCTGCAGCTAGTGGTAAGAAAGTGCTCGTGTCGTGATGGTACTCCACATGGAACACCTGAAATAATGAGGTATTCACAATTTCGCGCAACCCAAGTCTGTTACTCGTCTTGCCTCTGTTCCGGGCTCAAAGTGCAATAGATAGGCACATGTACAGTACATTGTGCTTTCGAGTGGAAACGTACTCGGCAGGTTATGTTGCTATTGAGACATTACGCAACCGGTAGCGCCTGTCAAAATAATCGGGACTAATCAGGAGTGACTAATGTTACATGACCAATATACTTAGTTTGAAGAAGGGCTGAGGCTTCCTGCAGCTTCATCTGTGAAAAGAATTCGGGTGGACACACCCATTCCCATAGCGCTGCACATCACATCCGAACCAGTTCCGTTATTTTTACAACGTTTCGGCACTTGGCCATCGTCAGGTAATAACAATGAATACCGTGGAAGCCACACAAGAGCAGTATATACGCAGAGTGTAGCGCCAAAAAAGATGCGAATTATGTCATTATGGAATGGGTGTGTCCACCCGAATTCTTTTTCACCAATATACCTATAACCATAATACAATCATGGAGTTATATACCCTTTCCATAAACATGTGAGCGAAGTGCACATTGTCATGCAGTGTGAAGCCTGCCTATAACATGACATCGAGAGAGAGAGAGAGAGAGAGAGAGAGAGAGAGAGAGAGAGAGAGAGAGAGAGAGAGAGAGAGAGAGAGAGAGAGAGAGAGAGAGAGAGAGAGAGAGAGAGAGAGAGAGAGAGAGAGAGAGAGAGAGAGAGAGAGAGAGAGAGAGAGAGAGAGAGAGAGAGAGAGAGAGAGAGAGAGAGAGAGACAAACAGACAAACAGACAGACAGACAGACAGACAGACAGACAGACAGACAGACAGACAGACAGACAGACAGACAGACAGACAGACAGACAGACAGACAGACAGACAGACAGACAGACAGACAGACAGACAGACAGACAGACAGACATAGAGACAGAGAGAGAGACAGAGGGACAGAGAGGAGACAGAGACGGAGAGCCAGGGATGAATGGATAGAGAGGGAAGATGGAGAGACAGAGACAGAGAAAAAGAGAGAGACTGACAGACAGAGACAGAAAGAGAGACAAATACAAACACAGGCAGACAGAGAGAGACAGATACAGAGGGGGCCTTGACTGTACATGCACCTGTTGTGCTGTCTTCGTTGTAGCTCTTCCAAAGAGTCCATGTTCTCAGTGCTCATCATACAGGCGGCCGGAGGTCGATCAGGCTGTAGGATCATGGGTATGCAGGCTTGGACGTTGTATGTAGATATCATAGTTGCTGGGCCTGATTCCACCTGCGCAATAGGCTCTACTGCGTACTCTCGGGGCATCTGCTTTGTATGCAGGTGTCCGGTGAATGACTTGAGACCCGCCATGGGATTGGCCATTGGCACCTGACATTGTATCGGTGCAGTCTGGCTCTGGAGGATAGGTTTACCGTTCTGGCTGCTGCTGTAACTGCGTTGTGGGCTCACATCCGGTGTTGGAATGCCATACGTGTGCGCATAGGCGTCGTGCATTCTGAGAAATGGCGGGTATGGTGACTGTGAGCTTGGGTGCGAATATCCGCTTCTTTGTGTAGGAACTTGATGATGCACACTGTTGCTGGTGGCCAGTGGAGAATTCAATGCACTGTAAACAGAGATGGATAAACGCGCACATGCTTTGATATGCCCGTGACACGTCTTCAGTGCATTGGCTTCTGCGACTATTTTTGCAGTTCCCTCAGCTGAAATGCATGCCCACGTGAACAATATTCATCAGTTGGAGGAAATACTGTGAATGCTGTCACTTTGTCAGAAGGCCCTCCCTCCTTTTTCACGGGCTAAGGTTGTCACAAGACTACTCCCGTGCCCTTGCTGCTGACCGAAGCGGTTGGGTGGGCATCTGTGCCCGAGTGGTGTCGGCATCCTAGTTTTTGTCTTCTTTTCGCATATTTCTTCTTTTTTTCTGAAACTGTTGTGGTCTTTTGTATCTACTCGAAGTGGCTTATGCGAACACTTTTGGCTGGTTTGCACGATTTGCGTGCAGCTGCAGGCCATGCTGATGTCTACGCGAACAAGCACATAATAATAATAAACTCCCTGGAAAGGCATCCAGTTACCTTTGAAGAAGTATATGACACTAAAGTAGAAAGAGCACAGGTATTGGTGGATGTCCACGAACTCACATTGACAGCGACGACCGCCTGGACATTGATACACTGGTCATCTTCTGAACAGGACAGGCTGCAAGCGAAGAATTAACCTTACCGTCGATGTATGCTGACACCAATGTACAGCAGTATACTGCTGTCCTATAGTTCTGTGCTCGACCGCCTCTTAGTGCTCAACTAGGTGAAAGCTGGTGGGACGACTGTCTAACTTTCATCACCGTCTTCTACCAAAAATCAATATCTGCTAGTAATAGTACATGATTGTACAATCATGCACTTTCCAAACTGTGGTGTCGTGCGTTCCAATACGTATGATCAACACGTACAGTAGCATTGAATGTCGTGAGAACACAGTATTCAGAGGTCTTGTATTCCAGAAGCTATGAAAAAGACGAAGATTGCAAACTGCTCGTGCGAATCGTAACGAGGTGATTCTCAAGCTTCGACTGGAACATTTAATTAATTTTATGTTCCAGTCGAAGCTTGAAGCAGTATCTATTATTGTATTACTAGTACTAGTGTGATGTAGATACATCTAACAAAGATCGGCGGCTCTCTTGCTCGGCACCGACCTAGAGCCCAGACTCTGTATACCAAGGGAGTGTTTGTTCACCCCAAATTGCCTGGTTGCGTCATGCAGTGCTCAATCCTGTGACCATAGAACATACAGTGTACGTGGCCAACAGGAAAGACTGACTGGTAGTGGAGCGAACATGCGTGAGGAATGGGAAACTGCGGACAGATGTCTCGGCAGTGGATTCTTTCTAGACCATCGCCATCTGCTCCCCTCTCTCAATTGTCAATAGTGCCAATTTCATCCAGCCGGGGAAGAAGCTCTTTTTCAACGTAATACTAGTACATGGTCCAATTGAGTGTCAGCCTGTGTGAAGTCGTCCCGGCCAGCCTATCTCCACATCGGAGCCTTCTTTCACAAGAATGGTGTTCCCAACTGGATCGATGGCGCCGAGTGTGCGTCACGCGGCCCTGGCATGGGCACGTTGCCTCCCTCCCGACAGTGCGTGAGTCACTACTTCCATGTGTTTCAGTGCCATTGGCGACCTTCTCCAAAACCCACACTTCACTAGGCTTGCTAATATCCCACAACCAGTAGTGGAGCGATGGAGACCTCATTGAATGAATGCGTCTCCTCACGGACCATCACACGATTCGCTCCTCATGAGTCATGGACATGGGTAAAGGGTAGAGATCTACAATTGTAGGTCTTTAAATATGGCGTGACTGCACCAGCGTTCTTGCCTCGGCATGGCCAAGAATGTCGGGAGGAAATGTGTGATCGATATACTGTACATGCACATGTAGTCCGTCATTCGTATATGGCTGCCTGGCAGTCTCTAGCTCTGGACGCACGTGGCCAACAAACATGCCCTCCACCGGATCGCGGATGCAGACGTCCCAAATCGCCTGCTGTCACCATAGACATAGTCTGCACGAGATTTGACACATCAGCTCAGTCACTGTTTACATGCGCGCAAAGGCGAGTCCATGATCCATGACATAAACCGTACACTAGCAGTACCACTACCAGTACGTGACTATAAACAGGCATTCCGGACCATTCATGATCGGGGGCAGAATATCCCGGACCGATCGCAGGGAAAGAACGACTCATTCGCACGCAGAGTGCTCACGATTTCGTTCATGCCGAGACGGAGTGAAGAAAGAAGCCGAATATTTTAATGTTAAAACATTTTACTTCATGTAACTAACTGTTCCTTAGAACTTGGGCGCACACGACTCAGACTGACTCATACCTCATACTAGAGTCCACGTCGGGTTATCATGGTTATAACTTATGTACTCTTGCTCGTATTCTAGGGTATGTGCAACAGTTGACTCAGCAAAGACCAGAGAGCCAAAGTTAAAGTTGTTGATACATGTGGCGACTAGTACTACTAACGTACTTTTGTGTTGGCGTTCATAGACATATTCTTGACATCTTGTATCGTATCGAAGGCACGGCAATCGATCGGTTATCCATCTGCTTCTCTGCTTTGCACTTGCGATCTGCTCTGTCCAACGCATTGCTGGTAGTAACATTTGGAATTCCCTATCCCGTATCGCTCTTGCCCGCACTTACTTTGCTATCACCCGTTATGAGCGAGCCCTCTGGTTTCATTCCACGTAGAGTTCGAGTAGCGATGCTATAGAGCACTGTGTTAACTACCACCCCGCATCTTTCTATCTTTTTATTTTTATTTTTCTCCTCAGCTTCTTCTTCTTCATAAGCTGTTGACGGGGACTCCCCCGATTTAGGCTAAGGCCTGTGTGCATGTGGAGAATCCATAAATTAATACAAAATTAATACAAATCCACGGGTCCATTCGTGGGCCGTTACAACGACTCCTCTACGTAAACGGTGTATGTTTTCCACAAAGCCAGCATGCTATGGAACTGTTTACCGCCATCTCGCACTTCTATAACTTGTCTTCCCGAGTTCAAACAGGCCCTCTTCCAGCATTTTCGCCGACACACTCACTACAATGATGGCATACCAACACATTGACTTGAGTTGTGTCTGCTTCTTTTTTTTGGTTTTCATTCTTTATAGTCTTGTACTCTTCCCTGAACACATGAACCTTCTCCGAGTAGGAGATCCCCTCGACAGGCCTAGAGCCTCTGGATAATCCATTAAAAACGACCTGCTCGATACTGCTACTGGCGTCGGTCTAAAACCAGTGAGACCAAGGGATAAAATAGCACCACAATGGTGCATAGTAACAATTTCAATACTTGGCCTAAATCGAGTGTCAATTTTAGCTCTGTTGATTGCGGGTATGATTCCTTTGGTGCTTATCACTGAGGAGGGGTGTTAGTAAACAACTTTCAGAAAGTGTTATTGACCCTTCCCCCTCTCCCCTCTCTCCGCCTTCCGCATTGCCATCAGTCCATGTGGCGTACAGCGTCAGTTTTGTGTTTGCCCCTGCACTGCATTATGCATGAATTGTTCATGTCTCACTCTTGGACCTTGACTTCCTTTACGGCTTTGTATGTTGCATGCTATTTCTTCGCTATGTCTTCGTTTTAAAAATAGTTTATCGCTTGGTTGTAACCTTTAATGGTAAACCACTATTTCGGTTATGTTTATTATCACGTTTCAGTGGTGAAATCCCAGATCCCCAATGATTGCTGTGGCTGAGAGCTTGAGCGTTTGTATTTGCAGTAGATTTTTCTTGCTCAAAATAATTATTGTGCTTCTTGTCTTCTAGACAATTCTGTATGTTTGCCGGAGCTACATGTAGGAGCTAATGTCCGACTTACAGAGTTAGATACTCTGGTTGGTAGCAAGTACAATAATATTGTGCGTGATCTACGACGGATTGTCACATTTTTTGAATCTTCGTTCTCATAATTTCGGACAACACATGCACGGGCGTGTTGTGCCTTGTGCGTTGCGTAGACTGTCAACATGTCTTTGTAGCCATGGTAGCATCAGTGCTATTTTATCGGAGTGCACTGGGCCTATCACCGGATCACAATCGGTGGCGTTTTGCACTTGGTGGATCTACACACAAGTCATGTAGACATCGGCCGTGGCACTTCTCTGTTTTGCTCGTCTTCACGGATTTTTTAGTTCCAGATTGTACAATGGACTCGGGAGGCAGCATTCACACGCGGCGGGCCAACCGAGCCGCCTCGCAAGGCAGCAGCAGCAGATCCTCGGCACATGTGCGTAGCAACGGCAGCAGCAACGGTGCTGTTGCCAACGGTGCTCTCAGTAGGAGAGAGGTGCTGCCTCCAGCATCACGTAGCAGTGCGCGGACGGGTACTTGGCCCGATGGCGGTCCAGCGGAGGACGACACCGTCGGCCGAGCGTTACCCACCAAGGCAGCATCGAGTCCGTACGATTACCGATCGGACGACGAGGATGTGCTGAACAGTCGCATAGGTATCTATGGGTGGCGAAAGCGATGTCTGTACCTGTACGAGGTATGCGTGGTCATTCTGGCCGTCGTCAATCTCGCGCTGCTGGCATGGATAACACAGATCATGGACTTCAGTGTGGTAAGATGTGGGTCCGGGTCTGCAAATCAAAATGAGAATAGAAAGGTGACTTGCATGCAGATATACATGAACTTAATGATGAAGTCTAATCGATTGCATCACGTGTATGGAAAAGAACCAGTCCTCACCATAGTGGAAGGGTGAGCCAGGGAAGGCATGACTCAATCACAGTTTGAATCCTTTGCATTGCAGACTATGACTTCATGGCAGGTCAGGGTGGGTGCATGGTATTTGTGTTAGGTGTTGCATGTGCACCGCTGCTCAAGGAAATCTAGCCATCATGGCTAGCGCTAGCGCTAGCCCAGGAGCAGGACCTGCACACACTGGACTGTGCACTGACCATAGTGGAAGGGTGAGCCAGGGAAGGCATGACTCAATCACAGTTTGAATCCTTTGCATTGCAGACTATGACTTCATGGCAGGTCAGGGTGGGTGCATGGTATTTGTGTTAGGTGTTGCATGTGCACCGCTGCTCAAGGAAATCTAGCTATCATGGCTAGCGCTAGCCCAGGAGCAGGACCTGCACACACTGGACTGTGCACTGCGCTAAACATATCAACACATCCTGAGCCCGGATTTCATTGCACATAGTTGACCAGCTGTATAAGTAGTTCCTCTCAAGTCCTGCAGGCAGTCACACTACTAGTACCACTGCCAGGCACACCACTGCTATGTGGTGTATATCATGCAGTGTACTACAGGGTGGATCAGTGAAATCCAGCCGCCGCATCACTCGGGTACGCGCCGGGCGCTGCGCAGCCCTAGACCTGCAGACACTGGGCTGCGAAATGATGCAAGGTTCAAACTTGAGTGCCACGACCCGATTGCACTGAGCAGGACTGTGTGTACTGACCAGGGAGTAGTACAATACCGGTATTGTACTACTCCCTGGTACTGACATCACCCAAACTGAGACCAGTGATAGGAGGATATTCAAGTAACGTTATATACACCTTGACAGCCTTGATATCTTCCATCAGTTTGACCAAGAGTACATAAACCGTTTATGTACTCTTGGTTTGACGGAGTATTAAAGCAGGGAAGGTTTTCCTGTGTTTTTCTGCTGTTTATTTTTTTGCAGGAGGGCATGGGCAACTTGCGTATCCACAGTGATCGTGTGACAGTTCAGGGCCGCAGCGAGTTCGTCGGCGGACTATTTGCTAAATCGATAACGTCTGAGCCGGTGAGATGCAAGGCATTAGGACGACCTGCAGCTTGTGTGAAGCAATAGAGCTGGTGTGAATGGATAATGTCATTGTACAGTCGACTCCTGATAATATAACGAGCACCATTGTGCAGGAGAATTAGTTACATCCTGGAATGGTGGTTATATTCTTGAGATATATCAGAACTTGAGTTTGTGCTGTACATGCACGACAACCAGAGGACACGCTTGACTGACCCAGGATGCTTGCATGTGAAGCCGTCGAATCCATCGCCAAATTTGCCGCCGTACATGTACAAATCAGAGCAAGTGTACATGATTCCGCTTCATTGGACCTGTGGGATTATCTCTATCCTCGTGTTCCGTAGCCATTGAGATAACTGTACAGTATGTTCATGCTCCAAAGAGTGGGTACAAGGAAGTGGCCAGACTGGAAAAGTTCTTGAAGTATTTTTTAGATACATAAAAAGTGTGTCACGCATTGCCACACTTGCCTAAGGCCTATAGCAATTGCCCTGAATCATCATAGCATTCAACAGTCACGTTATCATACCCACGAGAACTAGCAACCCGGCTTCTGTGACTGCGCTGGCCAAAGAGCGGAAATCGGAATGCAGCCTCTTTCCCTCATCAAATAGAAGCAATCCAGGCTGGACAAGTGGCCACTATGCTCCGGGCAAAGCACATGCTCACTGTACAGCACCACAGGTACAGGCTCTACCTGTGGTGTGTGTTCACAGGGACCTGGCCATGGAGACCCTACCACCAACACTGTGTGATTCACAAGGTCAGATTTCATTTGCTGTTACATGTACTATAGCTGCATATAATCATAACTTCCCTCTCGTTGTTGTTTAGAACGAGGCTCTTCGTCTTCTGAGTGCGAATGGAATCAACATCACGGCCGGACGCACCTATTTCCTCATGGGCAGCAAGAGCATAGAAGCTCAGGCCGATCGTCTCGAGATCAGGGACAGCAACGGAACGGCCTACTTCGTCGTCACGCCGACACACCTCACGACCTCCGTGGAAAGCATTGTTCTGAACAGCTCACGAGGAGCGTCTTTTCAGGGTACGTCAAGACGAGAGTAAAATGCAACTAAGGAGAACGTTAGTCGTTCTTGTGTTCTACCCCTATAGTGCTATTGGAAACATTCTGCTAAAAATGTCCATACAACTGGTGAAAAAGGAAATGCTCTCCATAATCAAGTGGCCCGAAAATGGGTTGTGATGTACACGCTCAGTTCAAAGGCCTCTTCATTGCTATGTGCATGGCAAAAAGGCTATTCGTGGCTGTACAGAGCACATGCAAGAAGTATGCAGGTCTTCGCACACTTCAGCCACATACACCAGATCACTCAATCTCCGGACAGCTACGGTACTGCTCGATGAAATCCAGTCGCGGTGTCACTCAAGTTTGCGCCTCGCATCATTTCGCAGCCCAGTGTTCGCAGGTCTAGGGCTGCGCAACGCCCGGCGTGGACTTGAGTAGCGCGACTGGATTTTATCGAGCAGCACTGTAGCTGTTTCGACATTGTTATGGCTCATCAGCGGAGCCCCCAGAGTGACTGGCCGAGCCGATTGCAATGAAGTCTAAGGGACAACAAAGCCTTTTAAACCATCTCAAAGCCAGAGTGTTCCAATTGCAAGAAAGAAGGCGCAGCGAGCTTTGGGCAAGGGCAGGAAACAATTGACACTAACTACAAAGAGTGCTCAACCAGGCCGAGGCAACCTCGATCACCATCACACTTTAAAACGATTCCTTTGCTTCACGATTCTCTTATCTGTGTATGCAGGCAGAAGAAATAACTGCCTTTTAATACATTGAAGTCTTTTTTTCATTCTGTTGTTCACTGTATATGTTGCAGAGTTTGTGCAGACAAAGCAGTTGAGAGGAGAACCCGGCGGCAGCCTAAAGGTTCTGTCGCCATCCGGCGAAATGACTCTGCTGAGCGGCGGAGCACTTAACATGCAGGCCAGTGGCTCTGGGATTGCCGTTACATCTCCAAACCGGATAACCTTGAGCGCTGGCAATGGAGGGGTGAGTCAGTTATCAATAATACCGACCCTGGACATGTACAAATTGCTTGAAAAACCAGCCAGGACCAAACAAATGCGCCGTGAAAGTGGTACACGGCTTCCTTAGTTGAGATGTGCTGCTCGTTCAAGATTGGTTTCCCATAGTTAATGCACACTATAGTTCAGCCCATATAAATTGTCTGTATGTGTGCACTACTTGCTTCTCCCAGATCTCACTGGACTCTGGCAGTCTGCTACTGCCCAAGCTTCCCATAGTCACCAGGTCCCTGGTCAACAGTCCCGGCGATGCGTTCTCGCCGGCTGCAAACGTGTACGAGGTGTGCGTGTGTGCCAACTCCGGCATGCTGTACCTTGCATCACCGAGTGCTTCGCTGACGGGGGCCAACTCGTCACTCGGGCCATGCTATGCCACTGCTGGCATCTGCTAATGTACTGCTCGCCCACCGATGATGATGATCGGATAATGATGATCGGATGATGATGTGATGGAGTTTACTTCATATTTCCATGATACGCCCATCCCAGGTACATGCCACTGTAGTGTTAGTAAGTGCAACTAAGAAGGTCACCGGTGACAGCAACTCGCCACTCGGGCCATGCTATGCCACTGCTGGTATTTGCTAATGTACTGGTCACCCACCGCTGCTGCTGCTGCTGCTGCTTATGATGATGTGGTGGAGTTGACTCCATACGGACCATAGTTCTGTGACGACTATCCCAGATACACACTGCTGCTAGTAACTGTAGCTATGAACATCACCAGTGATGATGTAGTCATGACCGTCTTCTCAGGTAATGTCACTGCTCCTCCCTGCTAGTGTATAGGTCACCGCCGATGCAATGGAGCCCAGTTCACCATAGTGCTGTGATTACAGTCCCATGGCCAAGTAATGCCACCGCGCTATAGATGTATATAAGTATAACAGCTGACTGCAGTCTGCATGTGGCTGGAAGTCTCGAACATTGGCAGTCCTGCTGATGATCATTCAGGCTGAACCGTTCCTGCTTGGCGATGCCGGTCTCATTCAATGCAATGCAGCGTAAGATGGCACGCAAAGTGATAGCAACATAGGACACACACTTCCATTCATTGCATGCACGGCGAATAGTTTCGAATTAGTTGAGTGTATCCCACTTGAATAATTATGCGTCTAGACTTGAGAGCCAATCATATCCATTCCTTGATCGCCGCACCAAAACCTGCTATACCCCAGCTCAGTGCTTGCTGATGCCGTAGAGTGATGCTACTGTACACTGACAGTCTGTACAGTGTCACATGACTGTTGACCCTACTTGGCAGTTGTACCTGTACAGGGAAATCCCCCACTAAGCCACTGAGTAAGTGGTGTGGAGGTGCAGGAATCTGAAGACTCTGAACAATCGCAGTATCCTTTGTACTCGGACGCGGTTAGCCATCACAGATAGACTTGTCCTTGTAGAGGTGCATGAATCTGAAAACTCTGAATAATCGCAGTATCCTTTTGTACTCGGACGCGGTTAGCCATCGTAGATAGACTTGTCCTTTCTCTTATCTTACTACAAGTGCTATAATATTCTTGTTTGTGACACTATCATTAACAGCTGCATGGATGTGCTGCACATTATGACAGTGTTGACATAGCCATGTACTCAAGTACATGGACATGAGTTTATAATAATTATTATTATTATTTGCTTCTTTCTTATTAACGGTCTCGTTGCTGTGTGTCGGAGCATTTCCACGGTACGGTCATTGTGACCATTGCGATCAATGCAGGCTAGTATAAGCCTTGGCAGCAAATGCTCAAAATTTGGCAGATTCTGCTCGAAGAGCATTGGAATTGGCAGAACCTTGCAAAGATTATCCGTGAATATGGCGGGCATTGTCTCGAATTCTGCACCTCTTCTTTATCCATATACCAAACATGTATGGCCAAACATGCATGAAACATACTAGAAAAAGTACCCTGAGAGATTATGCCGGTTTTCTGCTTGGCATCATCCACTATGGCGGCTATCACAAGCTCATGATGTGAAGCTCATGTAGTCAACTTCGCTAATAACGACTGCGGATATAACGACAATTCGCGAATAACGACAGCATTTCCATGCCCAGCGCAAAGTCCCTTCCTACTGTAATACATAATGAGACTTCGGGTATAACGACACTTCGCGAATAAGGACACTTTTTGATGCCCCGCCGCCGAGTGTCCTTATAAGCCAAGTTGACTGTACATGACTTTTGTACAATTTTTATTGTCATTCGGATCTTCCCAAGTAACTAATTACTTAGTTGTACATTGTACATGTACTGTTGAGACACCGAATTCAAATAAATCAATACAATACAAAAATGTTGGGGCACCCGGCACATGCACAGATACGACACTAGCACTGCACTGAGACAGTCAGCGCACACACAGTCTTTTCTTAGACAAGCAAGTAGTGTGAATGCTATTGTACCGGTATACCAGACTGCAATGTACAAAAATTGTAGTATGGTATCATCAGTAACCGTGGTGACGACGTCAGTTTTGTAGCGCGTAGATCTACGTGACGTGTGCAGGGAGGGCCGCACTAAGCTAATATAGTAATAAGCTAGGCCGTCCGGTCGGTGGGTCGATCGTGGAGCTACCGCGTACCGGTAGCTATCAATCAGTATCATGTCACAGCTCGGTGAACATAATGCCATTCGAAACTGGAAAAAAGTTTTGTGGCCTGCAGAATTTTCATCAGCGTCGTCACGTCGACCTACTGTTTTATGGTTCCCGGTCTTTTCATTGCCAATTCGAAAAGAAAATTATGTTTGTTCCTTATTGATAAGTATTGCCAACGGCTGGGTGGGGTCGCATTACCTCTGCCAATCTGAACCGGTGTCAATACAAGTACACATTGGGGAGTGTTCTTCACCTCGAGAACACTAGCGTCCTGCGATACAAATGAGGCAACCGTAAAGCCAGGCGGAAAAGCAAGGTGCGTCGACCAGCCCTTCGCCACAGAGAAAAGCTAACGATCTCCATTTGGATTTTGGCTCTCAGAAGTAGTGTTTATTGGCCATTGGCTATTGCTGGCGGTGGTGGTCGGGTGTTAGCTGTGGCGGTTGCCTGGTGGCAGCGTCGGCCGAATGGACCTAGCGCTCAGCAGGATTGAGTACACCGAGGTAAGGTTGACCACTCCAGTCAGGGTTTGTGAAAACACTTCAAGTTTGCACTTTGAGGTTACGTTCGCAGAGCCGACTCGAGACTATCGACAACTGCGAGTGCTCTGACGACCGTAATAAAACCTGCAAATCATGCTGAAACATTGCAAGATTTAAAAAAAACCCACTATGCATGGGATATGGGCGACCAATCTATAAACTAGTGGTGTGCACGGGTAGTCGGGTACCCGTGCTACCCGTGAGGACCTCGGGTAGTCGGGTACCGAATAGTACCCGAAAACCCGACGTCGCAGATGACATCATGTACAGTGCACGTGTACAAATAATTCACGCATGTCTACCCAATGCGCAAGGGAAGGGGCCGGTGTGCATTGTGGTCTTACCATGGAAACATTACCCGATCGGGTACCCGTGCTACCCGTGGAAAACTACCCGGACCCGATACCCGAAGAAAATGCTACCCGACTCAGCCCTACTATAAACCATAGTGTGGATTAAGCACGATTAAAGAGCGAACAATCATTCGGTAGCACTAGCCATACAGAATCCTTATAACTGAAGAGCTGGTTTCGGGAATCTCTTGGCAACACGGTGTCTTGGTATTGCAATGCCTTGCATAAATGAAGTCAATCATTTCCGTGTGTCGGAGGGGGGGGGGGGGGGTTGTGGAGCTATTCAGCTCGGATGTGCGCATGAATATGATCCCCTGATGTTTCATATGCTCACACAAAATGTATGGATCAGTCTCCTGTGTATGTGTGTGTGTGTGTGTGTTTGTGTGTGTGTGTGTGTGTGTGTGTGTGTGTGTGTGTGTGTGTGTGTGTGTGTGCGTGTGTATGTATGTATGTGTGGTCATTGTCCAACGGCGCAGCGGCTATCGGAGTATCGTATTGTTCTCTGGGGAGGTGTGTGTTTGTAGAGGGGGGGGGGGGAACTGGCTGCAGCATTGAGTCATGATGAGTGCCTCACTCCTGGTTTTGGTTCTTGTTGAGTACTCTAAATTCTGTAGAACTTGCCTTACTCTGCCATCCTGTCCATCCGCTTGTCTGTCCCTCCGTCTGCCGGCCTGCCTTTATGCCTGTCTGTCTGTCTGTCTGTATGTTTTATGTATGTATGTTTGTTTGAATGAATGACTGAATGAAATAATGAGTGGTTGGCTGTCTGCTTGTACACATGGCCTGTGTGCTTTGTGTGTGGATACCTGACAGGCGGGCAGCTTTGTACCAAAAGGATGCCTGCAGGTGGTGAGTGGAACCCATGCTAAGACTGGCCAGAAGGTAAGATGCATGGAAACAACATTGTTGTATGCTCTGTACACTGAGTATGACTTGCATTCAAGGGTGGAATCGATTGGTGACTCCGGACTCAGGTAGTTTACTGCGCGCACACACACACACACACACACACACACACACACACACGTACGCGCACACACGCACGCACACACGCACACACACACAAACACACACACACACAAACACACACACACACACACATACACACACACACACCTGCCACTAGCTTTAATGTGAGAGTCAATCTAAGCGCCTTCACTCCGGGTTCTTCCAATTGCGAAAGTGCACCGCTCACATACACACTGGTTCATACAGTCGAATATGCCCCAAGGCTGCTATAATTATAAGTTGTCCGGTCGCGGAAAGGTTCAATGAGCCAATCACATTCCTTTGTATTCACTCCACCTTCACCAAAACTGACTAACCTGTATCAGAAAAAGTGATTTTTACTCAACAGTCATGTGACAGCGCGGACATTTTATCCATATTTGGGATACGGTCACCACTTTTCCGCCACCGGACCCTCCCGAATATGGATGCTTCCTCCGGTGTGTTGCCTCGATAAGGTTGAGATGTGCATGTCCTGTGACTATGAAGGAAATGTCTATAACAATCGCGGGCACACCAAGAAAATGTATGTTGTTTTGGATGCTCTTCGTGTCCTGCTCTGCTTCCTAGGTGGCCGTGGGAAACGGCAATGGAGAACTGAAGGTATTTGGCATACATCAGAAGACACGGGCGGTGGATGTAAGAACAGAGATACCGTATTTTGCGGAGTATAAGCCGCACCCAGATTTTTTTCACGAAAAACAGACATCTACCTTTTTCATCGCCATTAATTTGACCACCGTAGTACAAGCCGCACTTCTTTGGGTGAATTAGCGGTACGAGTGCTGTGGTGTACCCGTGTACATCGTACATATTTGCACTCTCATGTTTCTTGTTATGGAGACTTGATGATACCACAAGTGCTTTTAAAGTGCGGCTTATACTCAGGATAGTTCGGTAGTGACTTGGTGCCTGGGCTCTGACTTCCAAACACCTCATTAGACAACAGAAGAGCAGACTGACTCCCTGCTCGAGGCACCTAGAGTTTCTGAAGACGTGTTTGCTCGCTACCAGCTGCTTGCATTTGCCTGCGCTGTTGATACAACGACACACATAGCTTAGCAAACCAATTTTTTCCCATGTAAAAGCCGCGTCCGTGCTTCGGGTAAGTTGGCTTGAAATTCACTGTATGCAGCTTCGATACCAACCATGCATCACGGACTTGAATGTACTTCGAAGTAGTATTTCTCCTCCGGGGGGGGGGGGGGAGGATATGTACTGCTGCACGTATTTCGTATACTTGTCAAGATACGGTGACAGTGCCTTGTCTTTTTGTGTTGTTGATCAGGTATCGTACGTGGCCAAGGCCTACGACAAGTCTCCAGTGAACTGCTTGCATACGATGGTACCATCCGGGAAGGACAAGGCAGTCATCTTCGTGGGAGGTCAGGGTTCTGAGGGCATGGAGGACGAGCATGCCGACATCCAGGCCTACTCGAAGCGAAAGTCGACGCCGTTCCTGGAGATCAACGCCAACCTGCGCGGTCCAGTCAACTTCATGTAGGGTACTAGGCGTTGAGCCAGGCTGTTTAAAATTGTGCAGGAAAGCCTATCATAAACAACCGCCGGGCAGAATGAGATCACCAAGCACTACAGACAAATGTATGTACACCTCTCAGGCATCAAAGTAGGGTTTAAAACATCAGGGAGTAATGACGTCTTCGAAGACAGCATCTTCGTGACACATCCTCGACTGCTCCAGCCGAAGCAGTGCACAAGCTTGCATCGAGCTTGTTTTACAATTGCATATTCGAAGCAAGGGTTAGTGGCAAAGAGGACCTATGCCCTCTGAAATCTTGATCTCAGTGCCGTCGGACACCGGATTACTTTTGCTGTGCTTGTGTTGCGCTCCTGCTGGAGCTGGACTGTCTCTGATGTTCCTTCCTTTCCCTCTGCTCTGGGTTTTTGAATCTCTCTGTCTGTTCAGTTCCGTGTACAACGAAGACGTGTTTGTTGCGTCGGACACCATGCTCAACCACATCTTCAACTCCACGGAGGAGAGAGGATTCTTCATGCCACCGCGCGCCATCACGGGACTAACATACGGCCGGTATGAATCACGCAGAGACGCAAACACAGATTCTGAACTCGGCGATGTGTGTTGAATGGGAGCAGGGGCTATTAGACAAGGCATGCATCTGTCTTCTACAAATATACGTAATGCCGAATGACACGAACACGTGTATGAACTTGTGACTCTGCATAGCTGGCCTGTACATGAAAGGTAGGGGTAAGGGGAGGGTTAAAGGGTGTGGGGTAAGGGGTAATATGTTGTGCTATTGTTGAATGCTTGCAACGCAGATTCCCATGATTGTACCATAAGAGCATTCGGCCGTTCACCCATGGTCCTTGGAAGCTTTGACAACGGCCAGTTCTTCTGACTAGCCTGGCTGAAGTGCATGAGTCATTTCACTTGACTCCGTAGTGGGCGGAGCTGGTATGCCGACGTGTCTGATTAGTCGCCTGTTAAGGTCTTATTTTCTGATTTCTTTTTCTGCGTACTTTGCAGCATGGAGAGCGTCCTCCTCCCAGTTATATCCACTGCCGATCGTCTCCTTCGAATGCTCTCGGTACGAGTCACCTCACACTATACACTATGGGTATTACCACTAACACGTAGCAGAACCTTTGCAGGCCCGACATCACATTCCCTGGGATTTATAGGATACCAACATTGAACCCCGATTATGAATGTGGCGGCTATTTACAATAGGCGCCTATTGCAGCGTGCATGTAAAGTTATGTGTGTTGGGGTCGGGGGGGGGGGGCTGTCATTTGTTTGCCAATGCTTTGCACTGAACGCTCAGACCTGTGACACTCACACATGAAATACTGCAAGAACAATATGGCCGTGTCTGCCGGTGGCTACTCGTTGTGATGGTTTGTCCGCTTGCACTTTTCAGCAGCAAAACATTCTGGCGGCAATATATTGCCGTTTGAGTGACTGACTAGTAACTAAACATTGCTGCGCTGTTTGTTGCAATGAATTGCGCAATGTTTCTTTATCTGACTGGATTGTATGTGTTGTTGCTTACTGTGTGCATGTGCAGTTGGTTTCGGAGTCGTTAGACGGGGTAAGTGAGCTCTACTAGTGTGCACATGTGTGTGTTGCTCTATGCACCGTTGCACTACCATGCACATGTGTGTGTTGCTCTATGCCACGTTGCGCTCTGATGCAGGCTTGCTTGCCTGGTGTGTACTGTAGCTGTGATCACATTCAAGGTATACATCATGGTCAGGACCGCCGGAAGCAGTTTGATTGGTCCGGTAGTATCACGGCCCTTTCTACTTTGTGTATGATATGGCGGGTACACAGTACACATTGTGTATGATATGATGTGTACAAATTACCACCACAATAGGAAACATGATTGTGTTGGTGGACAAAGGGCTGGGCCGGTGATACCCTGACCAACCGGACCAGTTACGGCGGGCCTGATGGTATGGCTGTATCTGTCAAGTTCTTGTGCATGGTGCTGTGGTGCACACTGACTTCATCCATCAATGCTTGTACTTATATTGTGTACGTGCTGGCCAAATTCAATGTTCAGGCTACAAACACCGATGAAGGATCAAAAGTTCAAAACGCAACAATAATTGTGAAATATGTTGATGGAAACAAGAAGCTAGTTAGGGCAAAAGACGACAAAGTTGACTCACTTCACTCTCTCAAATCTTTTGAAGCCAATGCCCATTGTCTTCGATTGAGAGAGGAAAAGAAAGTGTGTGATGGGCTGCATAGCTGTGGCTCAGGACTTCAATATTGTCTTGTGTTCTACTTTTTTTCCATTCTCTTCTTATGTGCGTTCCACAGACTACAGGCCCGAAGACCCAGTTGATTGAGGTCGAGCTGCCAGCACAGGCATCGGTGCTCACGTCCTACGGAGAAACAGGTAGCGAAGACGCTGCACTGCATTCTGGTGTATTGTACACGATTGGGCAGCTTAATAATAAGGGCAAGGTGTTATCATGTGCATGGGTCTATACATGTAGAGCCTGTCCTTGGCACCTGCTGCCGAGTGTTAGACTGTTAAAACATGCATTTAGAAGTGTGCAGAAACACCAGCCTGACTAATATTTGTATTTTTGTATTTGTATTTATGGATTCTCCACAGGCTTTAGCCTGAATCGAGAGGGTCTCCTATTAAATCCAGTCCTCCCTAGTAACAAGCCATAGTCTATACTGATAAGAGCCTGTATGTACAGTAGTAGCCAGTGAAATCTGGATGTAGGTGCACTTGCAGTGCCGCAAACCGGTTCTGATTAGTGTAGCTGTTGTCGGTGTTGCAAATGCAAAACCCGTCTGGATTTCACTTTCCACAGCTGTGTGTGTGTGTGTGTGTGTGTGTGTGTGTGTGTTTGTGTGTTTGTGTGTGTGTGTGTGTTTGTGTGTGTGTGCGTGTGCGTGCGTGCGTGGGTGTGGGTGGGTGTGCGAGTGTGTGTGTTTGTGTGTGTGTGTGTGTGTGTGTGTGTGTGTGTGTGTGTGTGTGTGTGTGTGTGTGTGTGTGTGTGTGTGTGTGTGTGTGTGTGTGTGTGCATGCGTGCGTGTTGTGGGGGGGGGGAGGGAGGGGGAGGAATAGCCGGCACAAAAGTATCACCTGTGCAATGCTCACATTGCATTGGATCCACAACAGCGCAGCCTAATGCAGATCCTGTCACACGGTGGAGCCACAAGTGTGTTGTGCTGGCGGATACATGTAGCGTTTGAAGGGATGGGCATTGGAACTGCAACGAGATTCAATGTGTGTCTATAAGATTGCAGTGCAATGTCATATGTGAGAGTTGCTAAACTGGCTCCTCGCCGCTCAAAGCACCAAAATAGTTGCACTAACATATTATATTATGCGTCAATGCAGCAGTGCTGCTGCTCTGCGTGATCACAAGCCATAGCATCAACACCAGGGCTCCGGATTCAGTTGAATGTAGCTTTTAGTGCTTGTAGACATAGTAATAGCGATGTTCGGTTATTTGTTTCAGATACGCCGAGCCAAAACATCCTCTACGGCGGTCAGGATGGCCGTTTCGGAATGGTCGGGACACAGCGGCCGTGAGTATAACCGCAGTGCTGTCGTTATAACTGCGACACTATTAATAGACATGCGCTGCTCAGAATTGCTCCTGATCACTGAGTGATCATTGAGGTACTCTCACTACCAACTCAACTGATGGCCCTTTCAATTAAATAATTACTAAGTTTTGTGTTAGCTGCCCTCACGAACCGAGTTTCTCCTCGCAATCTAATGTGTGAGCGTGTACGTATCTACACCTCTTGATGCTAACCAGGCACTTGCCGAGCCTGCCCAGGCGCCAGTGGATATGTATGTGGTGTGCTAGTCAACTCAGATTCATTCTATGCCAGAGCTGTACACATGGACCCGGAATAGATCACATTTTAATCCATCAGTGAACGTCTGGTCAGTATCGAGAGAGACGTTTGGCATATGTTTTACGTTTGTCCTGCATACACTGCATACACTGCAGGGTAAAACACCGCTTCTGTGTGGACAATGACAAGAAGAAAGGTAAATAACCGTGTCCTCTTTGCTTGGATGACCACTTTCAAACAAGCCGCTAGCTCTGTGCTTTGGGATGGAAGTCCCGGCACTGTCTTTGGGGTCATGTGGAGAGTGGGTGTGCTTGCTCGTACGCTGTACACAGGTGTCGGAACGCTTCATCAGACATGCTACTAATGTGTACCCATACAACGAGCTGCTGTACAGTGATACACGGTATTCTCTGCTTGCCGCTGTTTTGACGCATGCAGGCAGCGTGGACACTATCGCGACGTTTGACTTGACTGGTGATGGCGTACAGGAGATTGTCGTGGGCCGTTCCGATGGCTCAGTTGAAGTGTTTCGGCTGGACACCGCCACTAGGAAGGCAGTTCTCTGCTCCGAACATGTAGGTTGTGCACAGTGAAAGGTCGATTCAACTCATTGTAGAACACACACGCACACGCACACACACACACACACAAACATACCCCCCCCCCGCGTCTTAATGTTCATTGGATAAAGTTCACTGCAAATACTGAATATACTATGATCAATTTGATCATGCACTTTATTGTGGATGCAGACAATTGATGAGCCCCCCCTGTTTTGGCATATTCAGTATTGTTATGTCTTGCATTATGTCATATTACGTCATGCACTATCTGTAGTCTTCACTCTCTTTTTATATCCGCATGCTCGTAAATGATCATGGTCTTTTTCCTCAAGTGAAATCTGTGTGAACTCGAGAGAAGTACATGTCAGTCCGAATGTGAATGGGGGCATGACAAATATTGACACCCAGCTATGCTCAAAGTTGTGGTGATGCCGCAAGCGTAGTTTGTGGCCCTTTCTCCTAGGTAGCTGTCTGTTTCATGCATGTTCATGTATTCTTGTTTAGCCGCTGAGTGCCGGTTACGGGTGAGCACAAAGTAGAGGTGCGTAATCTCTTTGTCTGGCCTCTCTTCTGCTTTCTGCGCCCTCAGACATTTAGTGAGAGCATTTCCTCAGTGAGCTGTGGCAATGTTGGATCAAGTGATGAACGCGAGGTGGTCTTGTCGACGTACAGCGGCCGTATCTTCGGCTTGAGAGCGGGCATGTCCACCATGCTGAATCAGACGGCCAAGCCGAAAGAGCAAGACGAGGTTGCTGGCGATCACAGTCGGCATGTCGCATCACTGAGGTGAGTAACACTACCATTGCTTCTTTCGCAATAGATGAATTGAATAGTTTTTTTTGTTGTTTTAGAAGCACGACGTTCTGTCTGTTGACTTAAGACTGGGTGGCGGTGCTTGTACTTGTACATGTGTGGTGGTCTCAATCTCCGGACGGCTAGCTGTTTCGACATTGTTAGCGGAGTTTAGTAACTGGCTGTGCATGGTGTTTACAGAGCAGTGTGAACCAGCGTGTGACTATCACTGTAGGCTACTGCACACACACACACACACACACACACACACACACACACACACACACACACACACACACACACACACACACACACACACACACACACACACACACACACACTCTGATGGTATTCACGTATGGTGCACATACGTGTGTTCTAAGAATACGGCCAACTTCTGCCATTTGGGGCAGTTCAAAGAATCTCAGATGTCCCATTTCTTTGAAATGCCATCGAGTGCAAGCCGACGTATTTTGCTTTTGCTGCAAAGCAGTGCATCTATGTTGTGTGATGTCACGTGATAAGTATGTGTCCATGTCCTCTGTGACCTGCAACCAGGTCTGAGATAGCCCGGCTGGAGATAGAACTGGCGGACAAGAAGCGACAAGTGGCGGCGGAACAAAGTCGGCCAACGAATCCATCCGAGTACATTGCGGACGGCCTTGTAAGCAAACTGACACAATCATGTCACCAGAAACTTTCTTTGATCTTAGTAGACAATGCAAGCTTGTGCAACTTCCCAAGCCAAACCACGGTGCATTCTGAAGTCGAATACCCTGTGTGTCATCATCTTCTCAAGGCCACTGGCCTGCATCAATTGTTGCTCTTCAGCCCGTGTTGGGCTTCAAAGAGTGGGGACTGAGACTGGGAAGGGAGTTCTGTGAACTGACACTGTGCAGCAGATCACCGACCAGTTTACTTGAATGAATGGCCAGAATCAATGGAGTACAGTCAACTTTGCGTATAACAACACTCGGCGGGGCATCAGAAAAGTGGCCTTTTTCGCGAAGTGTCCTTATAACCCGAAGTCTCATTATATGGATTACAGTTAGATGGGACTTTGCTCTGGGCATGGAAATTCTGTCGTTATTCGCGAATTGTCGTTATATCCGCAGTCGTTATTGGCGAAGTTGACTGTACAGCATTTTCTTACACAGCTCTCACTGCATTGACATTGTGGAGACAAGCAGGCGTGATCTGCCGCTTTGTATTGTCCTGTTCACCACTTCCAGATAAGCATACACGATTCATTCACGTTCAGCACCCAGGACTCTACCTATGTCCTTGTCATTGAGACGCAGATTGCAGTGGACATGGTGTTCCTTCGGGTAAGCTGCTGTCCAGTGATGATGTTTAGACGATTTGTATTTAGAAAAGCAACGTTGCCGTGGAATCCTGGGAGGGTGTGTGTGTGTGTGAGAGGGGGGGGGTCTACCCACTTGGAAAAACATGACTCTCTTGGCAGTTGTTTGCCGGAATGACTTTGATTAGGAGGCATTAGAAATTTAGAATTGAAATTCTTCAAATATAACTCGAAATCTAGGTAGCTTGCAGTTTTCACTCACAGAGCAATTGTTCAATACATGGGGTAGTGGTCTACCAGGGCAATTACACTAGTGCTGAGTCGGGTAGCATTTTCTTTGGGTATCGGGTTCGGGTAGTTTTCCGCTGGTAGCACGGGTACCCGATCAGGTAATGTTTCCATGGTAACACCACAATGCACCCCTTCCCTTACACACTGGGTAGACATGCGGAGTACTACATGAATTTGTACACGTGCACTGTCCATGATGTCATCTGTGACTTCGGGTATTATTCTATACCCGTCTACCCGAGGTCCTCGCGGGTAGCACGGGTACCCGACTACCCGTGCACACCCCTAAATTACACTCAGTTTTTTGAATGATTTAGGTTAATTTATGGGAGCTCAGACATTGGAAGTGAAAACTATCACTTGAAAACTAAGTGTTGGAGAACACGCCACTCCACGCCTGCTTACGGCCAGTTCACTGACAACACGACAGAGCTTCAAAGGAAAAGAGGTATTCTTCTAAGATCGAAAGAGAAAACGTCTACTATCACGACAAGTTGGAACTGACCTCACACTCGAGATCGAACCCAAGGTAGGCGATGCAACAATCCACATGACACACAATCGACACAGCAAGCTACGCGCCAAAAGTCTACACAGCACACATGGTAGATCTTCGCATCAATGTGTCTAGCACCTATGCATAAATCGAACCTACGCGTGCATGCACTGATTACGCTATCAGCATTCAGCAACAGGTCGGCTTACGGTAGCAAACAGGCGATTCATACACAACAATCACCAGACCAAAGGTAGACTACATGAAAGGTAACATGGATCAGCAAGACTGTGCGAAGCATTATAGTACAGTCGTCCCTCTCTAATCCGGCACCTTTTGCTACGGCATTTTCTGCTGGATTAACGAGGGTGCTGGATTAAGAAATCCTGCCCTCTGACCCGGCCCTACCCAATTGCATGCATGTATCATACGTCAAAACGCAGGGTTTTTCCGTGTCGACCCCAATATTTGGTGCACGGCTTTATATTCTCAACTTTTCTCCAGGAATATACACAGTGATAAAGTAAAACAGAACATGTTCACATGTATACGTACTCTTGCACACACACGCACAGTCGATTTACGACTGCCGGATTATGAAATCAAACTACGTGCAGTTTGAGCGATTCGTTTCAAAAAGTCACTGCTGGAGGCGGAATTCAAGTGCCGGATTAAGATGTAGGAATTGAACGAAAAAAATCGGTTTGGTCAGAAACTGCGCCGGTTGGCAAGGGTTCCGGATAAACAAATGTCGGATTAGAGAGGGACGACTGTATCATGTTACCAGAAAACTATAACATGAGCAACACACAAGTTTGTCCCGTTGGCAGTGGTGTTTTCTGCCTCCATTGTCAGCTCAGTAGTGGTAAAACACATTATTAATGCGCAAAAATAAGCCCTGATGTGTCCTGTGTGTTCCCCAATTTGTTGTGTTCTTGTGTCTTGCGTACGCCGCACAGAGTGACACAACAATGGACGTGGTAGACCTAGATAAGAACACAGTGCTGGCCAGTCAGTGCGCGCCAGACCCAGCGGTATGTCACTCGGGCCGGCGTTGCTGCTGGTGTACCTAGGCTGTAGTACATCTACATGTGGGCTGTCTTTTTGACAAGTTCAATGGACATGTCTGTGTATGTGTGCATGGGTTATTTGTGTATGTGTATACATGTGTGTTGGGGGGGGGGGGTGGTGGTGCAGGTGTGTGTGTGGGTGTGTGTGGCGGGTGGCATGTGTGTATGTGCATCCATCTGTTTTTCTGTCTGTCTTGCTGTCTGTGTGTGTATGTGAGAGAGGGAGAGAGAGAGAGAGAGAGAGAGAGAGAGAGAGAGAGAGAGAGAGAGAGAGAGAGTGAGAGAGAGAGAGAGAGAGAGAGAGAGAGCAGTTTTGCACCGGTGCGTCTTGCCTGTAAATTTCGTCTTGCTGGTAGAGTTGCTGTTGGCTATGCTCGTACTCATGTCACTCTGATGCCGCGACTGTATTTCTGTTGTTGTGTTTACCGCGGTACGTTGGTGATGTCCAGAACAAGACGCTCGTGTCCTACACACTCCGCTGCCAGGTGCACACGACTCGCATTGAGCTCAAGGTTGGTATACAGGCCGGGTGCCGGAGGCGGGGACGATTTTAGGTGGCAGGCTTTGTCACAAAGTCACTTTGTGTTACTTGGCCTATGGTCTTTCCATTCTGTAGCTGGCAAAAGGGGTTTGAAAACAAGACTAGCTGCGGATCGCTGTAGCTGGCTTGATAATTATTATAAGAGATGTGGGTAACACCGTCATCATGGACATCACGTGTGACTTGTCATGGCCGCAATAAATTACTAGTATGCAGCCACGGTGTCATAATAATTATCATGCTTTGTACTCCCAGGTAGCATGTTGTGTTTGCAGTTTGCAGATTGTTTCCATGATCGGACTATCCTACTGCTCGCACTCTGGGGGTTACTGACAAATGACATCATCCTACTGCTCGCACTCTGGGGGTTACTGACAAATGACATCATCCTACTGCCCGCACTCTGGGGGTTACTGACAGATCACATACCAATACAGACGTGAATCGGTCGAAACATTGTTTGAAGTTTTATTTTACATCGCAAACCAAAACGGGCATTGATGCCCAATATTATGATGGCGATAGAATTAAAAGTATGGCTCGATAAAGCTGCACTTGAGAAAATGAGAAAACAGTCAATAGGAAGTATTTGTACCGGTAATTACAATTGTACATGTACAATACACATGTACAATAATGCATAGTAGAAGAAATGATTGATACGCACCGTCGCCGCCCACTACTGTGTTCTTGTCATCTGTGTTTGTTCCAGTTTCGGCCAATCGAGGGCCAACAGGGCACTCTCTCTGTTATTGTTGTGCCTGCACCGCCGATGACCAAGTACAAAGTTGCACGGGAACTCAAGTACCCCATTCGTCCTCTGTGCCTCCATAGCATTCAGCACTTTGACTCAGTGGAGAGGTAAGTGGAACGCGTTGCAGGACTTACGGAACAAACTGCCCATGGATTTGGGGTCTTGGGGAAGGGGGGGGGGGTGTTCTTAAGTGAATCGTTTACACTTAACAGAGCCGGGTACAGCAGCTAGGTGGGCTGATTAGGTCTTTCTGGGCTACATTTCAGTCAACGAAGCATTACCCTATTCTTATTATAGCAAACATTGCATAACAAGTGTGGCACATTTGAAAAGCATGGGGCTCATTTTTTGGTCCCAAATTCGTGACACTAACTAATACTGGGCGGTGTAGACAGACATTGTGACTAGCACTGACTACAAAATTAAAGGCACAACAATACCTGTAGTTTTCATCCAGAATTGATGTTCTTGTTTTCCACTGCTTTCTATTTCCTCCGCAGCAGGCCACTGAGCTGGTTGCATTTTGAGGGGAAAATTCCTGTGCAGGAAGCTCACAAAATGCTGGCAGTGTGCTTACCGGATTTAGGAGATTTGTAAGTAACTGTGTGTGTGTGTGAGTGTGTGTGTGTGTGTGTCGGTGTGTGTGTGTGTGTGTCGGTGTGCCGGTGTGTGTGTGTGTGTGTGTGTGTGTGTGTGCCGGTGTGCCGGTGTGTGTGTGTCGGTGTGTGTGTGCGTGTCCGTGTGCGTGTGTCGGTGTGTGTGTGTGTGTGTGTGTGTGTGTGTGTGTGTGTCGGTGTGCCGGTGTGCCGGTGTGTGTGTCGGTGTGTGTGTGTGTGTGTGTGTGTCGGTGTGTGTGTGTGTGTGTGTGTGTGTGTGTGTGTGTGTGTGTGTCGGTGTATGTGTGTCGGTATGTTGGCGTGTGCACGCGTGCGTGTGTGCACATGCATGTGTATGTGCATGTGCAAGTCGTCATGTCCGGGGATATCGCAGCTGTCCAGCTGGTTGGCTGTGATGGATATTTTCCTTTTGCGCACCGGCCACTTTACAAGTCAACTGATGGTGTGAAAGCGTGGGGAAGTTGTACAGCTCAAGTTGTTGTGGCTGGGTCAACTTTGGGCCGTAGCGGATCGAGAGAGGTTAATTTGCTCAAGCTCCCCTGCCTTGGAGAGGGGAGGAGGGGGAGGAAGACAAAGAGAGCTTAGAAAGTCGAGCCATGGAGAGTCGGTAGAACTTTGTACAGCCTGCTGCTACCAGTCATATAACATGTGATGGTGTGATCTTTGCCCACTGTGTGCACCATAGCGCACCCGACTCGCCTCCCGGTGAGGACATCGAACTGAAGTACATCTCATCCATCACCGGCACTGTTGTCAAAGCCATGTACAAGTAAGTCCTTCTACGCAGTACCCAGCACTCAATGAAATTCAACCCCGTGACCATGGCAACGGTGGTATGTTACCATGGTCCAGCACACAGATCAGTGCCCACAAGGCTAGCATAGGGGTGCACAGTGCCCCAATACCAAAGGTCACGCGACACGGATTTCATTATGCCGCACACTGCCCAGTAGTGGAGAAGAAATGATGAGTGAAATCCAACCCATAGCTTCTCAGTTAGCGCGCACTGTCGTATGAAAAATAATATTTACGTGTTGACACAATTCTTCATAGGTAAACCTTGTGCTCGTGGTGGCTGTGGTGGTCTTTGCGAGCCGATTGGTGGAAAATTATTGTGTATACTACTGTAGTCTTCGTAAACACAGGCCCTGTAAAGCAAGGCAAGCTAGCATGCCGACACTATCAGGAACCCGGCTTTCAATTCAAGGCAGTTTATACTAGTGATGCGTGCATACGTGCTGCTTGGGGATTGCTGCTGCTTCTCTGACCCAGTGGCCTCTTGCTGCCTTTACTGGTCACGGTCGTCAGTGCTACCCATGCTCTGGCTGTCATGCTGTCTGTGCTGCTGCAGAGAGGGTAGTATTGCCATTGCGTCCGACAACGTGTCCAGCCTGGCCATCCTGAAGGAGTTCATCACCAAGCTTGGTTTGGAATGGCGCGTGTCTCTCAGATGCACAGCAGGTAGGCAGTGAACATACATGTGCTTACAGACGACAGTGTGTGTGTGTGTAGGGGGGGGGGGGGTCACCTGGCGCTAGTGGAAGCTCCGAGTTTCTGCGGGCATCAAGCAACTTGTCATGTCCTGGACATGGACCATATGTATGTAGTGCGCATGCTCGCACGTGAGCTTGGTCTTTTTCGGATATGGAGTTTGAGACGAACTGAAATCTGTAATGGCCTCGAGTGTGTGTGTGATCGAGCTGGATGAGTCCGAGTAGAACCCACCTGGGGTAGGACACAACAACTGGCGACGAAGATATGGCTCGGATATCATCGCTTCAGCCGTTTACCGGCGGCGACTTTGAAGAGTTTGAGGAAAGACTTGAATTCTATTTCTTTGCCAATGATATTGGAACCGTGGCTGCTTCGGCCAATGCTGCAGACAAGTTGGCTGCCAGCAAGAAAAGGAAGGCTGTATTAGTGAGTTTGCTGTCTGCGGAAGTCTACTCGATTTTGAGGAGCCTCTGTCTGCCAGCGAAAGTAGCTGACAAGAAACTGTCGGAGATTTGCGATCTTTTGAGGAAGTATTTTCAACCTGCAATTTCGCAAGTTTCGGCGACGTTCAATTTCCATCAGTTGAAGCAGAAGGAAAATGAGTCGACTGCGGATTTCATCATTCGTCTGAAGAGATTGGCTGTGAGGTGTGAGTTTGCTGATCACCTCGATCGAGCGCTTCGAGACCAGTTTATTGCTGGCTTGAGCAGCTCATCCACTCGAAATTTCTTATTGACGAAAGAAGATACTTCGGCACAGTCGTTCAATGACATCGTCAAACTAGCTTTGACGCAGGAATCGGCTGCGCGCGCGGCCGTGCAGCTTACCTCTCAGCAGGAAGTGCACAAGGTGAATCACCGGCCAGTGGAATCGCGTTCGCAGGCGCAGTCTGGTGTTTCTCGTCAATCTCATCAATCTCGAGAGCAGAGATTGTGCTACCGCTGTGGGTCTACTCAACACTTGGCGGATAAGTGCAAACACAAGGCCACTGAGTGTCGTCACTGCCACATGAAGGGGCACTTGGAGCGTGTTTGTCGGCAGAAATCTACGCCAGGCGCGTCGGTGCACAATGTTGTGACTGATGACGCAGGTGAGCATGAATCTGCTGATCTTGAGTGCATGCCAATGTTCCACATTTCGGATCAGGGCGAATTGAAGAGCAAATCTGTGCCCTCCTACAAATTGGAAATTGCTGTGAATGATGTTCCTGTTGTAATGGAAATCGACACGGGCAGTGGCATTTCAATCATTTCTGTCCATGATTTTGAGTCACTTGGGGTGTCTCGTACAAATTTAACCAAACCGAGTGTACGCATGACCGGTTTTTCTGGGGCAGAAATCAAATGTATTGGTGAAGGGAAGTTCAATGTCAGCATTGATGGTGTGGAGAAACCAACACTACTCCGTGTGGTGGATAATGGTGGTCCGTCATTGTTGGGCAGGGATATGTTGTCCCAATTTACTCTACCGTGGAAACAGATTGTCAATGTCAATCATGTTCAAATGGATGGTAGGAGGAGAGCTCTCATTGAGGAATTGGAGGAGCTATTCGATACGACTCAGGTTGGCAAGCTGAGGTCGGCTCAAATCACCCTGAGAGTGGATGATTCTGATCCAATGTTCCACAAGGCGCGTCCCGTACCGTTCTCTATCACGGAGAAGTATGAGGAGGCTTTGGAGAAATTGGAAGCAGAGGGAGTTATTCGCAAAGTTGAGCACTCCAAATGGGCATCGCCTACTGTGCCAGTACTGAAATCGGATGGTAGTATCCGAATTTGTGCTGATTACTCTCGCTCAATCAATGCCAAGTCTGATTTGGAGCACTACCCGCTACCTACTATTGAGGAAATGTTAGCGAAATTGTCGGGGGGAGATAAATTCACCAAATTGGATCTCTCCCAAGCCTATCACCAACTGGAGCTTGATCCAGCTTCTCGGCCGTACACAACAATCTCTACTCACAAGGGGTTGTATGAATACGTGAGATTGCCGTTTGGCATTCACTCGGCAGTGGCAATTTTCCAACGCACAATGGAATCCATATTGGCAGATCTGCCTGGGTGCATCGTCTATGTGGATGACATCTTGATTACTGGGAAGGATGAGGATGAACACCACAACAACCTGATCAGGGTACTACGTCGCCTACAGGAGGTCGGGATGAAGCTTAATCCCAGTAAGTTTCATTTCATGATGGATGAGATTTCCTACCTGGGTCACACGATTTCTAGTGCTGGTGTGGCTCCTACAGCGGATAAGATTGAGGCAATGCGGGACGCTAAGGCTCCTTCGAATGTTATCGAGCTTCAATCATTCATTGGAACGGCGAATTTCTTGCGACGGTTCATACCTCATTTCGCAACAATAATGGTACCTCTGTACAATCTGGTGAAGAAATCTGCTGAATGGCAATGGGACCCCGGAATTTCAGTGCGGCCAAGCTGTCCTGGCTTTGAATTTCTGCAAAGGAGGAGATAAGTGGGCCCCAGCCGTGGTCACGGCAGTTCTCAGTCCGATGACGTATCAGATACAAGTCGGTGATGCAATGTGGAAACGCCATCGCAACCAGCTCCGTCCTCGGCAAATCCCTCAGTTCGATGCAGGGGCGTCTGAGCAGAGTGGAGCAAGTTTAACAGCTCAGGTTCCGTCACAACCGTCACTCAGCAACAACGGCAGCGGAGCTAGGCGCGCCGGTCTCAGCAACAACCGGTACTAGTGAGTCTGCGTCCGTTAGCACTTCACGTGCCAGCTACAGCAAGACGTCGTCACCGCAAGCTGAACGACGGTCAACCCGCGCTACTGTTCGACCAGTTCGTTTCAAGGATTGACGTTCAGAACACTCAGTTCATATGGACCTATTCTAGTCTGTAGAGTTTAAATGATATATTTTGGACTCTGCTGGATATTGTATATAATTATATATTTATGGTGTATATATGGTGTATAGTGTATCATGAAATATTATGTCTCGGCAGTTGTGAGTTTTGTGATTGCATCTTGATATGTTTACTATTGCATAGTTCTAGATGCTTCGCCTCAACTAGTGAGGGGGAAATTGTCATGTCCTGGACATGGACCATATGTATGTAGTGCGCATGCTCGCACGTGAGCTTGGTCTTTTTCGGATATGGAGTTTGAGACGAATTGAAATCTGTAATGGCCTCGAGTGTGTGTGTGATCGAGCTGGATGAGTCCGAGTAGAACCCACCTGGGGTAGGACACAACACAACTCTAAAGCGAAGCGTAACAACACACCTTCCCACTCTCCTCTCTACTGTGTCATCAAGCCCTTGGGCCTGCCAGTGATACCAAGAGTACATAACCCCCCAGAGTGTGCAACTCCACTATGGGTGCTGTCCCGACAGAATTTCAAGTTGACATCATTTTGATGATGCAATGCGCACTGTACACGGATTATCAGACGAATCCGGAACCTGTGGTTGACCGAAGCCGATCGATCCTGTACAAATTATTGCAAAGAAAAACGTGTGATGCGTTGACACCCGTACACATGTTGTAAATCACTGGTGCGAGGAGCATTGCGTCATTAATAATGACGTCAACTTGAAATTCTGTCGGGACAGCAGGGTATGTGGGAGTTGCACACTCTGGGGGGTTATGTTACCATGGTGATACTAGTGGTAGATTGTGAACACTTCGAAAATCTGACAAATGGCCCGCCCCGGTTGTGGACTCAGTTCTGTACGTATTTCAAAGGCCATTGTAGTATCTGGTTATGGTCTAGAGGTTATGCCGCGGAATGATTTCGTATGGTCTAGACGTTATGCCGCGGAATGATGTCATGGCGGTGAGTCAGCGGAATCGCGTATAGGCGCTATGTATGCAGCGGAGCCGCTCATGGGCGCTATGTACACTGCGTGAGTCGCTAGTGCATCCCTGCATGTGGTGTGACAGTTTGCCATCAAATGTCTATCATTGAGAAAGAGCCGGAGTCGACTCTTCGGTGCATGTATTTTTGCTAATTGCTTGACTCACAACTTTATCCCTCACTGTACGCCTGTTCACTGTAATTCATCTTGCAGCTCGGTACTATTGTGAATTATTTTTAAATGATTTGCTTAGTGCAGTGGTCCTGGTGCTTCATATTGTTAATTATAATGTTTAGAAATCAACGAGGAATCAGTGCCTTGGATGCTGGATCTGATTGATCGGAAGGTTAAGCCTCAGTTGAAACTGAACCAGAGACTCGTCCTCTGGCAGGCGCTCAAGGTGAGTCACCAGATACCCCAGGGCCAGGGATGTCAGTATGCATCAACACCACCACTGCTCCTCCCCCTCCCCCACCACCACCACTGCTCCTCCCCCCCCCCCCCCCACCACCACCACCACTGCTACCCCCCCCCCCCACCTCCACTGCTCCTCCCCCCTCCCCCACCACCACCACTGCCCCCCCCCCCCCCAGCCCCACACACCACCACCACTGCTCCTTCCCCCCCCCCCACACACACACCACCACTGCTACCCCCCCACACACACACCACACCACCACTGCTACCCCCCCCCCCCCCCACACACACACACACACACACACCACACCACCACTGCTACCCCCCCCCCCCACACACACACACCACACCACCACTGCTACCCCCCCCCCCCCCACACACACACACACCACACCCCCACTGCTCCTCCCCCCTCCCCCCCCCCACCCCTCCCCCACCACTGCTCCTCCCCCCCCCCCCCACCACAGGCCACCACCACTTACGGAAGCTATAAGTATACAGCATGAGTGGGCGGTTTTTGCTGGCCCAGTGCATCGATATGCTGGGGCTTTGACAAAGCTCTCAACCGATGATGTAATCGTGCAAACTCTATAATGCTATGCGGGTAACTGCCAATCAGATTGCAACCTCCAGTGTTTAAAAAGCACAAACACGCACCTGACTAGTGTTTGCCTCAGCGTAACTCTCAGTGCTTTCTCTTCCTTTTGCTCACGGTTCTATCATTCCAACCTGGCAGGAAGTGGAAATGTCTGAAGGCAGTGATATGATCACATCACCCGAATATAAAGAAATCCTTGGTAAGAAAACTTTTGTACACTCCGGAACCTCAACCAGCCATGGGTATGAACCACCCATGAATGGGATTCTACTTCAACAACGACGACGACGACGTCAACACCACCACTTGTTTGTCTTGCAATACGGCTGTCCGCAGCCAGCCCTGCACTAGTTACTGTTATGGCTGATGTGAGGTGTCAGAAAGAGCTTAAGTTTCACTGTACTTGTACCCGGTACATTAACTTCAAGGCAATGGATCGAACTACCATTCTGTGCCATTTTTGCTTTGTATGCAATGTGCGTTAAAGAGAGGCCTATAGATGGTGCTTGAGAGTATGAACCCGGGAGTAGTAAAATACCGGTATCTTACTACTCCCTGGTGTGAACGTGTTGTACAATACTTGTTGCGTTTGACCGGTATGATCATGTTGAATCAGGATGATTTTGGAAGAAGGGGCTGTGTGTCCTTTACGGCTCCTGTGAATCGTTCTATTCTTGTTCCATGCATGCATGCAGCTACCGGTGAGGACATCAAGAAGCAAAGTGAAATGGCCGCAGCTAGCAGTGTGCTGGAGCGTCTCTATGATATCCTTCTCCAACTAGCTGTACATGTTGTCGTACAGTCAGACCTCGCGTATCCGGCCCTCTTTTATCCGGATCCCTCGCCACCCGGAAAAACATAGCTGGTTACAGATTTACACCATACGCGATGCCTCCAACATAACCGGTGTTCGGTTATCCGGCTCCCTCGCCTATCCGGATATTTTGTGGAAAACGGATGTGTGCGGTTAAGCGAGGTCTGACTGTATCTCTAGTCTTGCTGTCCTTTTTCTTAGGCTGCCCATTGAACAGTCCGTGGGCTGGCTGCTTGGCTTGCTGGGGAGCAAGCACTGTTGATTTTGTGTAAGCCGTTCAGGGGCGGACCCAGAGATCTCCACAGGCCATTTTCCAAAACTGAATAGCTGATACATGCATATGGTAGTAAAAACAAAAATCTAGTAGTACAGTTACGAAATTTAGGGGGTTCCACGGAACACCCCCCCCCCCCCCCCCCTGTGAAGCTGTGTGCTGATGTAATGGTTGTTGCTGTCTCTAGTCTGGCTATGATGGGGCATTGGGTGTGTGTCCACTGGCTGTATGCCGGGCTGTTGCATGTATCATTCCGGTCTCCAGTCCTGTACAAACTTTCCTTGACTGTCTATGTGCTGTTGCTGGTGCACGAGTCATCACAGATCTCTACATTGACTATTACAAGATGGAGGTGAGCTACACAAGTGCTACGGCTGCTGTTGTTGCCGGGCTGCTGCTTGTGTGTGTGTGTGTGTGTGTGTGTGTGCACGTGTGTGTGTGTGTGTGTGTGGGTGTGTGGGTGCGCACGCGCGCGCGCGCGCGTGTGTATGTTTGTCCCTTATGGTGCAGTGGTATGTGCAGTCGACTGTCAATGGAGAGGTTGCGTGCTCAAATCCGGGCACCTCTTCTTATTCCCCTGACCTTCCTTTCCTTCTCATGAACGGTTACAAAGACCCAGTTCACACATTCTGCAGTACATGCATGTCATGTCCGGATGTGTATGATTGTATGCATCACAACACGAGCAAAGACCAAAAAGTAGGGAGTCGCTGGCAAGAAGCCTTCAAACAGTCACGGTGGCATAGGCCAGGCTTCAATCAGCTGGTGGTCAATTATTCACGTAGTGAGTTGTTGAATCTGGGAGCAATCCCAATACAAAGTACTAATGTACTGTCCCGGGCTTCTACCGCTGCATCCGGCTATCATTGCCTTCGGTGGCGGGTGCCCAGAGATCAAAATGAAAGCAGTGTATGTACCCGTGTGTCCTGTATGTGTTCTGTAGGACATCAACAGCAAGAATCACACCAACATTCTACTGCGTCTGCTGGACCAGTACGACCTCGCCGCCCTGAAGGACTTCTTCATGCGCGACCCGTCCGACCGATCTCTGTGGCAGGACGAGGACTTGGCACAGGAGTAATGCCCTGTGTCAGGCTGGGCCCAGTGCACAGGAGACCGGTGCAGAAGAATGGCCATGCTGTGCATGCAAGTTGGATTGGTGCTGGCTGCATGACCCCTCCAGTTTACCCCCGTGTGGAGGCTCGCAACTGAGCTTGCATGTTCATTCACTGGATGCAAGGCCGGCTGCTCGTACACGCTACATTGCATGACACCACGGTGTGTTGCCTGCTCCAGTCACTCCGTGCAGTCGACAGTAACTGTCGTGCACACCATGCAACAGCTGTAGGCGATTGTAGAGAAACACTGGGTGCCGTGGAAATACACACCGGCGTGTACATTGAAGTAGATGACACCGATTTAGCTAGACGTAGTGCGGCGTGCATGTGTTGTTCCTTGAAGCTAATAATTCTTGTACAGAACGGACTTATCCTTTAGTGTAAGTAGTTGTCTGTGGCCCTACTGTGGGTGTACTGTGGCCCTACTGTGGGTGTACGACTCCTAAACAGTGGGTACCCGTATGTGCGCACGGCCAGCGTCGGCCACCCCTTCCTTTTGACCACAATTTGACCACATGATACAGTAATTGGACGAGTCAGGTTGCGTTTGGATTATGTCACAATAATAATGTTATGACATCCAGGCAGGGTGCACATCAGGCGTTTTAAGCGAGTGCACCTGATGCCTACGGTGTGCACTGCACTGCAACCACTTGAAGTACTACGTGTTCGTGTTGTATGACTTACAGACAGGACACCACCAGTCTAAAACACGCCGCCACGAAAGGGTGGCGGTGGTGGGGAGTTCTTGTCACACCCGAGTCTGTATTGTACTGTAAAATCCCGCCAGAGCGCCCCTACCTCCGCCACCCTTCGAGTAGGTCCAGGTGGGGAGAGGCGAGTCCTACTTGCTGCATTCGGTACTACATGTACAGCAAAAAGTACTCACCCTACGAAAACTGTGTGTGTATGTCTCGTACACCGGTCAAGGGCAGGAAGCCGTACAGACTACAGACCCATTAAAACCCAGGGCTTGTGCGACACTTGGTGAAGAGGGTGGGAGCTGTTGCGTACATTTCCAACCGGGTCGAGCCCACGTCTGCAGTGAGATACGCCATCACACTTCACACAGTCATACGAGGATTCTCACTTCCCCGACAAGAAGTCAGGGAGGGGCGCATGGTAGGGATGGGGCGCTCTGGTGGGATTTCACAACAATGTATATGGGTAGCATGCACATTACCAAGAGTACATAACCCCAAGAGTGTGCAACTGCCTGCACAACCTCTATGCTGTGCTGCGACGGCAGAACTTCACATCACGTGACATGGTTCAAAAGGTTATGCTGGCAAACAGTGCAAAGTGACCACAAGAGAGTTGTACCCAAAGCTGGGCTGCGTACAACCCTGTATCTACTAGTATCATGCACAGAGTGCAAATAATGTGTACGGGTTCATCACGTGATGTGAAGTTCTGCCGTCGCAGACCCCATAGCTGGAGTCGCACACTCTTGGGTTATGTACTCTTGACATTACATGCTAATCTTGATGACTGAAGTGCATGATCCCCCTACTCCCTTCTACGGTCACCATGGTCACTGGACTGCGTGTGCATGCACTGAACCCCATGCAGTTCTGCTGTAAACAAGTATCCACTAAGCCCGGTTGGACTGCATGTGCTGGCCCCACTGCAGTGGCTGCAGAATGCGCCCATCGTTGCAGCGTGTACTCAAGATCTTGACGACCATGTACTCCACAACCAACCAATACACACAACGCACACATGTTTATAAATCAATTTAATAGAACGATTCTGAGCTGGAGGACGACATTCGCGGATGGATGCGGAAACTACAAAAAAAAAACTAAAAGAAATCTATTTAATAGAACGAATCTGAGCTAGAGAGTAACTTTCGCAAATGGATGCAGAAACTACAGAGAAACTATCGATACTGAGAATTGGTGCGCAAGTACAATTGCACATTACATGGATGATTCTTGAAGAGTTGATGATGTGATACAGTTAAAATCGTCTTTGACGCAAAATATGTTGAAAAAGTCAGGATCAAGATTCAAGACGCAGAAAGCGGGGTGTTAAAAGCAGGGCGCGCTAAAAGACGCAAAAAGAAGTAGAACAGAAAAGTGGAGTTGAGGCACAAAAGCACTACTCCGAAATGTACGAAGCACCAATTGTGTTCTGAAGAAAGTTCATAGTTGAAAGTCACTCTCGTATCTTACCCAGTGCAGTGTTTCAGACTCAAGATAACGGATGGGAAAAGCAGGTAGATAACGGATGGGAAAAGCAGGTAGTCAAGGCAGCGGGGACAGAGCACTCACTGGACACCCATACACACACCACCACCACCACCACGGGCAGTGCGATGCAGAGTAGGGCCAGGAGAGATAATCAAGATGATGATGGGCCAGTTAGAACATTTACACTGCATGCGAAAAAGCCCGGGAATGCCCAGTGCAGTCAGTTAGCCTGTGCAGCTTGAAAAACAATAGCACAACAGACACGTAGCAGGAGGGGAACACTTTGACCAAAGGGCTGTACAAACACACAAAGACAAATGAAGGATGAAGAGCACGGCTGCAAGGTAGCGGACAAACATGCCTATGTACAAACGAATAGAAGCACACACACACACACACACATGCACGCACTTGTACACACACACACACACACACACACACACACACACACACACACACACACACACACACACACATGTACACACACACACACACATGTACACACACACACACACACACACATGTACACACACACATACACACAGCGGGACGGACACACGTAGCAGAGGTATTTACACGGAGCAACTACACACTATTGGTGCGGCTGCTGCAGCAGCGAGATAGTAGGCGGTGGTGGCTTGTTAGATCAGGAACGGCGAGTGTTGGTTAGTTAGAAGTTCGAGCATGATGAAGGTATTGTGAGAAATAAATTATTGGAGAAGATCCGACTGACCCGGTTCAGATGAGAGGAGCAGTAACTTGATGGGGCTCCTTGCAGAGCGGGGATTAGCAGTAGAGCGGATTATTATTGATCGGAACGGACGGTTAACGGTGAGCATGGCGTCTCATGACGTAGCCATGTCGGGATGAGACGGACAACATCGGTGCACATCAAACCACTTGTCGATGCAACTGCACAGTAGAAGCAGAGGAAGAAGAGGGCAAGAAGTGACACGGCACAGCACACAGAATACCGTCAACGATCATCGCGTTGGCAAATGGTGTTTGCAGGCAAACACGCATAGCGTTACATCTGTCATGTCCTGGGTCAGACTCGTTGTGAAAACGACCATGCACTGAGTTTTCAACAAGTCAGAAGCTGGACCCCGAAATATTCTAGAGTTCTGTAGGAACCATGATTCGTCCTACGAGGGATCTGGCACTTTTTCGTCAGTTGAGCAATCAAGGCTTACAATTCGTGGCAGAAGCCACCAAGTGTTGCCGTCCAACCACACCTTCAGTACAGTCATCAGCGTTGTACTCACTAAAACTGTTTGGCTTGAGGTGACCACGCTTTGTCCTGCAAGGGAGCTGATAACCTTGTTAGTTGAGTAAGAATGCGCGCCTCTTCTCACGTCATACAGGTACGATGTAACGGGTCTGAAGTGCTCACACGCTGTGGACTCCGTACCTTTTTGGAGAAAAACGACTCTGTCGTCTGAAATGGGGGAAGGGTCCACCTTGGGCGGAAACGAACTGATCGGCTACATCATTGTATTGCAAAGAGTTTCCATCTGTTCGAATAACATGCATGATGAGCTAGGCAAAAACGCATAGCGAAGGGCCCTGAGCGAAAGAAATAAACTTTCTCTTTGCATTCGAGGGTAATACGACACCGTCTACCACCTTGATGACCTAGGCAAAATAAGCATAGGGATGTTATAAATTTTTCATTCCTCCTATTTTTTTCAAGACATAACCTAGGATTCGAACCCGCACTATCGCCCTGCATGCATTCCCCCGATACACTTCGCATACATACGCATTCTTCCAAGTTGTTTCATGTTATGATCTTGCATTGGAAAGCCCTATTTGAATATTGTGGCCAGCTGTCTTTGATGGTACGGTACGGGACAGGTACGGGATAGCGCCAGGCATGCCGACGGCACAAACACACAAACACGGAATTAAAGCTGTGTGGACCCTGGCTAGCGCCAGACGTTACTGAAGTAACGTCTTTTGCATAGCTACGGGAATAAAAGCGCTGCTTTTATACACGACTTTGCGGTACACGCCAAACGGACTCCTACTAACTACAATTGTACCTAAACTAGAGATAACTCAAAGATCCCTCAGTTCATGGTAGAATGTTTTACGACATCAGTGTTCGTAGCCATTCGGTTCACTGATGCCATCATGCGCGTCGTAACCTGAGACGTACAGGGCAGAGAGTCAGCATATCGCAGCTACGGTGGGCCAAGCAGAACAACGGACGGTAGATCCACACGCACCCTGAACGCGACTAACTGGCACCAGCATAAGTGCAGCACTGCTCAATGAAATCCAGTCGAGTTTCTCAAGTACGTGCCGAGCGTTGCGCTGCCCTAGACCCGTGAACACTGGGCTGCGAAAAGTTGCACGGCGCCAACTTGACTCTCGCGACTGGATTTCATTGAGCAGCACTGTACATCGAAGTATGCCCGTATCAATATGACAAGCGCGGAAAGGCATACGCACTTGAGCATACTTTTAAGTGCGCATCGTTTTTTTGGCTTTCAAACGTGACTTTTTCGCGGTGCATGAATCCACCGCATCTCAAGATCGGAGCTGCGCATCCTTGGTTACCTACTTTTCCTAACCGGTAAACTATCTCTGCAGCACACAAATGTCCGGCTTACGTTTTGTGGAACTGGCAGAGACAAGGCAGGCGGGCAATCACATTGCCAACTTCCATATCTTCAAAACAGATGATGCACTCACCAGCAGCGACTGTTAGCGTATCCGCTGCCAAGACAAAATACATGGAAAGAAAAACAGAGAGATCAATTCAACCCATACTGTCTACCGAACAGCCAAATCACTACATTGTAGAATATAATTATACTCGACAAAAATCCGGCCAATACTGCAGATGGTTGTCGACTACAGCATTGCAGCATTGGCTGGATTTTTTTGGCGACGATTGTAGTATTGGAAGAACTTCAGTACATGCAATTCCCTCTTAACTCTCAACTGCATGATCAGCACCTGATCTGCGTGTACTGCACGCACTCGCCAAGAGAGCTATCAGTGTACAGTAGATACCTACTTTCTTACACTAGATGACCATGTGAACAGCGAGACCATGTGAACTGCGAGACCATGTGAACTGCGAGACCATGTGAACTGCGAGCACCCACTCACATAGTGCATATGTATGCCTACACATAACCATGCATGTACACACACACACACACACACACACACACACACACACACACACACACTCACACACTCACACCACATACACACACACACGGTCTGACATGCATGACGCCAAGAGTATAATATAACCCCCCCCCCCAAGAGTGTGCAACTCCTGATACCCTTTCTATGGGGCACGCCGGCGGCGAAAACTCACATCATGTGGTGCAGTGTCGCAGTTGTACGTTTCCAGGCCGTTTTTAGCAAGCAGCGGAGTAATAAAAAACGCACTCTCTGACAGAAACTCACTGCGGGTATGCAGCATGATCGTGGCAGATATTCGGATTGCGCGCACGCTATGCGTCGTTTGTATGTACCGTACTGGCAATATATGTTGCCGCGTAACGCGTAACGCAGGGGGGTGCGGCGTAACGCGCGACCAGGCTAGTGCGACAAATTTTCGTTGAGTTCGTAACGCGCGTCCGGCGGGGTGCGGCGATCTTTTCACTCAAAATGATGCGGCAAAAGCAAAAAAATGATGCGGCAATAGCAAAAAAGTGATGCGGCAATAGCAAAAAAGGACTGCGGCAATATAGAAACCTGTGTAACGGCTCCTGTGCGACTTTGCATGTAACGCCCTGCGTGCGGCAAACATGTGCCAATGTAACGCTTCATGGCCTCACTGCGGCAACATATATTGCCAGTACGGTAGTACGAATGTATCTGAGACCTGTGATGTGAGTTTTCGCCGTCGAAGACCCCATATGCAGAGTTGTACACTCTGGGGGGGGGGGGGGGGGGGGGGTTATATACTCTTGATTACACTCTGCAGCCTGACTGGACCCTATCAGCATCCTGAGCTTAACTATGAATCAACAACCTACCATTGTAGGATACCCGCGGCTTGGACAGGCACTCCATCAGGTGGTCCTCGATATTCTCAACCTTCACTTGCTTGGAACACGACGGGCACTTAACACCTTCAACACACAACCCCACACAAACTGTATAAACAACACATGTTCCTACAAGAGAGCTGCCAGCTCAGGGCCCTTGATAGGCTTGGTATTTCCCTAGGGCAGCAAGTGTGTTACTCAAACTGATAAAAACGTCCTTGCAATGCAAGAACACGTACCCGATATCCGTATTGCAAAGACGTTTCATCAGTTTGAATAGCACGCATGATGACCTAGGCAAAAACCGAGCATAGCGAGGGCAAGGAGTAGGTACGTTACACAGAAGTTTCACAGTTCATGGACTAAACTGCCCGACAGAGTATATTGAGTAAGAGAACTACAGTTGCACTCGGTGAATTCCGACCCAAAGAGCAAATCTGTCGCCCCGGACCAGTTCCGATTACATGACCGTATTTGTACATGATTGTGTACACGTCCAGCCGCATTCGTGCCACTTCCAGGGCGTCAAGGGCGGCAGCTTTGCACTCTGGGTCGGATTTCACGGATCCGGCACTTTGCCGCCCAGCATCATTCTATATGCCATACATAATACAAGTACACACATTAGTTCCACCAGAAATGCAGCTCTGTGTCGGAGACTGGTTTCGTACTAGTAATTCATTCGCCGCTGCTGTGTATGATTGAGTGCTCTCGTACTTCCTGCACACGGACGGTGAGTCCCTGTATCAGTACACAGTACACTTATATCTCTCTGATCCACGGGCACCTCGGTCTACCGGGCACCCTATGGGTGAGTTAAGTGGAAATATTACTACTCTTTTGCCAAGGTGTGTGGAAATAGTGATGTCATATCCCAGATGTCTGGACCTTCCACATCAAAATGTACATGGTTCAGATTCAGTGTTTAATACGGACATTTCCAGGTTACGGGCAGTGTCCGGTCCCAGACTGCCCGGATAAGGGAGATATGAGTGTACACGAAACTAGTACACGAACAGCGCAACCGTCGCTGCCCAAGCCCACGCTTTGTGACCGGTGCTACCTCATCTTGGACGCACTCGGCAGCACATGCTGTTGTGGACATAGAAACCCGGTGGAGTGACCGGGGACCAGCCGGCGCCCTTAGTACGTACGCGCACTATAGTTCACGTACAAACTGCAGAACATGCACCAGCAGTGTCTACAGTCCATTTCAAAACTATAGACGCGTACCTAGGCAAAAACCGTTATGCCAGCATCTATTCCACATAAAACTGTGATCACTTTGTGCATAAGTTTTTCCAAATTGGGCGTCTGTTATCCAATCGTTTAGAAACTATATGAGAGTAATTGTGGAGCAGTCCTGAGCAACATTCCGACAACTATTCTCAAAAAGCTCCAGCCAAATTTGAAATATTTCAAAAACCCTGCGCGTCTATAGTTTTGAAATGGACTATAGCACACATGTGAACGTGTAGCATATGCGTACTTACGGCTGCAAGGCCAGCGCCTCGTGGCCACTTACTTCTCACCGGATTTTCATGTCCATGCATAAGATGGAGACGAAAGACACAGTTACGCGGCACTAGCACACATACCATGGACCATATATAATGTGGCGTCCGACCACGTCTGCTAGCTACCCCCTCTCCCCCTCAGTCAGACATGAGTGCGATGGGGTTGCCAGAGAGGTCGGGTTGGGGATAACGGAGGTTGGCGCACGTTGCACTGTCTACAGCAGTTTAACCACGTGGCATCCGCTATCATTGTTATACAGAAGCATAGTCCCAGTATCACCCATTACTACATGACATGTTTGGCAGGAAATGTCACATTACTCGCAATTTGAAATCTGCATTACACAATGCCATTCAAAATTTCACTCAGACTTTTTTTAATGAGCTGCAACTATTTCAGTTCGGGTGATTTTCTACATCATCAGGTAGGTAAAGTCGACGCAATTTGAACGTATCGCATTATAGGAAATTGCACTAATCATACCTATAGGATAGTTTTCCTCCAGCTGAGATGACAGAGGCAACGAAAGTGGTGGATGAGGTCCATTGTCAGAAGTCAATCGTCGACTGTGGTGCCTTCGCATTGACAGGGACCCAGAGGGAGAGGGACGAGTGGACGGTCCATCAGCACTGCCGCATCGATGTCTACTTGATGAATTTGGCCTTTCATCCTCTGTCGATGACACACGAGCACCCATTGTTATTGAATGAAAATCATGGAAAACTCATCAAATTCAAACCATCTACGAAACTAATTCCTTCGAGGCTGATTGTTCAGAAAGAAACACACTGGACTAATGGGGCATTACGAAGCGCTTTGTACTCCCTGGACGGTCGGACCTCGATCATTTACCAGCCACGAAGCCGTACCAAAGACGACACCATTCTAATCTATCCCTCCTGACATTGTTTCAATGCTGTCTGGAGCTACAAAAAGCAGGGAGGCGTACAACAGAGTCAGTGGACGCGTGCATGAGCTACAGTAGCTGGCAAGTAAGTATGGCCTGTCAAAGCACGACTTCACACAGACTGAGTCACACTGATCGAGACGAGAGTCATCCTGGTCATAGCATGCTAGCAAAACAACACAACAGGCGCTACGCGCGCCGTAGCTCTACTCCTCTGATCCATCCTGCAGTCGCGACTCGCGATTCGTCAGGCTAGGTCGCGCGGTCAGCAAACGCGTAAACGGCATCAGCGCAGTACAACTACCAGTACCCGGTATACCCCTGCTGAATCGATCAGCCACCGAGGCCGAGGCCGCGAGGGAAAAGCGCTGCCAAGTGCTGAATCAAAAACGTCTACCTGTCTGGTGACGTCTACGCGAGCTACGAGCGGCATCGGCACCAGCATGGAAAACACGAAAATCGTGTGGACATAGCACGCTGCACGGACTCCCGAGCGACTCAGCAACTCACTGAAATGCGAAGTCAATCGTGAATTTTTCATCATCTTCAAAGCTTCGCATGAGTTTGTTTTTTCAAAGCGTCGTTGTTTGAAGTATTAGTTGAACAGCTAGATTTACTTTGTGTGTTTTATCACTGGAGAGGATGACCTGTCGTGTGGCTGACCGCCTGCCCGTGGCGTTACGAGGGGTAGGCGAGGCTGTGCGTCTCGATAGCAAGACACGAATGACGGTGAGGGAAGACGTTCGTTTTGTATTCTGTTTTATGCCACTCCACCCACTCTGTACTTGCATTTCAGGTCCCAGCTCTCGATATGAGTACTCTATACACCGTAGATCTACAGAGTCATAATAACCGCATGCCATACGCACCAAGGCGTCTACTGATAGCTCGAGCCTATGGAATCGAATCTCCTCCACTGGCACTGTCTCATTCCAGTTCTGGTGACAGTATGGACTATGGCCACTATCTAGTATAACTATAATCATGTTTAGTAGCCCCTCACTTACCCCCCAACAGAAATTATATTCATGTTAAGTGAAAACAGGGGGATAGGTGAAACCCATATTCTGCTGCACGACCATCAACATTTCGAAAGCACACGACGATACCTTTGGCATGCTTGCGGTCAAACACTCTCCTTGGCTTTTTCACATCCTGATCCTAGGATCTGAACCAATTCCATTATTAAACAACGTTTCGGCACATGGCCATCATTCTGTTTGTTCAGTTACCTGATGATGGCCATGTGCCGAAACGTTTAGTAATGGAATTGGTTCAGATTTGCAGCGAGACTGGAATGGGTGTGTCCACCCACTCCTGATCCTAGGAGGTGCAGAAAATAAATTCAGTATTTGGAAGAAGTTTGAGGCGTGATTACATAGCAAGCCATTAAAAGGCTAAGGACCAAATCTCTTCAGTACACCTCCAACTCGCAGCACACGAAGTCCTCGGCTACACCATGACTTTGTGTGTTGCGAGCTGGAGGTGTACTGAAGAGATGACAAGGCTACAGTCCAATATTGTCTTGCCACGCCAAATGCAACGTATAGGGCGAATCCCTGACTTCACCCCAGACAAATGTGCCTTTATGAACCATCTACGCATGAAAAACACGAAAATCGGAAAATGAGTAGAGGGGGGGGGGGGCAATTTTTCACAGGGGGGCGCTGCGCCCCCCTACCCCCCTTTGGCTAGAACCCTGGGACATTATAGCGTAACTTGTAGTGCCTTGGTCCTTTTTCTTTTCTATAAATTTATCCTTGGCTCTGCATCCGAGTCCACTCTCCTTTTTTACCAAATTATAGTCGTCGCAAAAATCTAGGGATTTGCCGTAGTATCCATTGGACAGGTGGTACTGTACACTGCTGACAGCGACGACTGTCTGTGAGTATGGAGGGGAAGAGGTGACATAGAACCCCGTCAAAAGGACCATCACTCCGATAAGGCGAGCACCCGCACAAAAAGACCACTGCAACCATGGCCAACGGATGTTACTTCCAGTCAAGTGACCCTGGATAAGGAGACCACCTGTACACGGGGACCACATTTGTAAGGTCCCTTGAGAGGTGGTCGCCTTAGACAGGTTTCACTGTTGAGTAGGAAAGGGGCTTTACTCGTTTACTGTAAAAGCCATTATTCTGACGAGCCTCAAATATAACGATTTCCTAAAATTGACTGGTTTACGTGTACCAAAGATAACGATTCTCACGCATTCTCAATGCTCACTGGCAACAGTGTAAGTATCGATTCCTGTATAATTTGATAACCGCAATCAATAAGACAAGCTGAATCGACATTTGTGTATACTTTATTCATGCACAAATGTCGATTCAGCTTGTCTTATTGATTGCGGTTATCAAATTATTGTCTCCTCGCCGTTTGTTTCAATATTTCTGTATAATGTTTTTCTATTTTAACGACAGACTTCTCCTCGTTAACTTGTTAGATTTAGCACTTCGTTTTAATTAGGGCTCAAACGGTTAGTCCGATTAACCGGTTGCAGACCGGTTACGAAGAATTAACGGTTAACCGATAAAGATAACGGTTACGCAGTAACTTTTCAGTCAATTTTTCAAGTATCAGGTCGTTGCAAAGTATGCACTTTTGCAGGCTGTTGCACGCGTACGCATTTTCTGGGCTGTCAACTCGGTCATACCTGGTCTCTTGGTGTGAGAGTTTGTATGAATGAGCACGCAAAAGAATGTACATGTGTGCGTTGTACTGAATAGGGTACATTTTTTGAATGAGTATAGTCAAATATACGGTTAAAAAAGAGTCCGCAGGATTGCCGTGGCTTATAGGTTATAACCGTTAAACCGACCGTTAGCTTAGCAGTTAACCGTTAGGGGTAAAACCGTGACCGTTTGAGCCCTAGTTATAATTATATAAGGCTTCTACAGTATCTATTCTCGAGCATTACAAGTTGGTATCATGGTTGGTTGACAGAAGCATGATCTGGCAAAGGTCTACCCCTGCCGTTTGAAAGCTGTTCCAGGGGCCGTTTTGTCTCAAACATACACGCTCCGGTACGAACGAGCCCGGCTGATCTGCGGAGCTATAGTTTTCCGATCCCGGTGTGCTCTATGGTATGTTTCATGGTGATCATCAGGGTCATGTGTGCAGAGCTGCATGTATCAATAATGCTCCCAACAGCATGTGGCACTGAAATATGGTATGTCTGGAACGATACTTGACCCCTACCACCCCTGCTTGCCACAGCTGGTGTCATGCTTGCTCACAGCGGGTATGTCAGAAGTGACAGTTTGCAGGTGAAGTAATTAGTTGAGGCGTGTTTTCAGGGTAGTGCTGCGCAGTGTAGGTGCAGGTAGGACTTCACACTGTCTCTGCTAACATTGCTGCCAGGCGTCTGCAGTATCTAACGACCACATGTGTTTACATGTCTGTGTGTGGTGTGTGTGTGTTTGTGTGTTTGTGTGTGTGTGTGTGTGTGTGTGTGTGTGTGTGTGTGTGTGTGTGTGTGTGTGTGTGTGTGTGTGTGTGTGTGTGTGTGTGTGTGAGTGGTGTGTACCTGTGTGCACCATGCATATGTGCATTGCACCTTCTGCTTTGACAGGAGGCGTATGTCAAGTACATGGCATGCGTTATTTACATTGGGCAGGCATTGATTGATGATGCGGCGCGGCGGGGTAAGGATGATGACAGTGCAAAGCAGACTGCGTGTGTTTTTTTGTTTTTTTGTTTTTTTCTCTACAAAATCCACATATCTCCAGACACTGGGGTGAATAATGGAGTGCGTGTGCACGTGTGCGTGTGTGTGTGCGTGCGTGTGTGTGTGGGGGGGGGGGGGGGTGGGGGGTGGGGGGAGGGGGAGCTGTTAGGACATTGTGTATGGCGGTATCCTCATCATTAGGGATGCTTTGTGTGGAGTGGCAGCATAATGGTATTAGAAACACTGGTTTGCCACTGAATACAAAGCGTAATGCAATAATGTCCTTCTTTTGATCTCTCCACGGCCGTACTCAGTATATGGCTGTAGAATTGTGTTGTTGTTATTGTATACACGTACATGTACAGTGATGCTCAATGAAATCCAGCTGCGTCACTCAAGTACACGCCAGGCGTTGCACAGCCCTTGGCCTGCGAAATGGTGTAAGGTGCAAACTCGAGTGACGCGACTGGATTTCATGGAGCAGGACTGTACAAGCTTCACGCATCTCAGCGCTCATCACACAGTGGCATTTGGTATTCACTTCTTGCATACATTGTACATGTGTCTGCAATCTTGCTGCGTAGATCTCTGGGAGCTGAGTCTGCCGGAAACGATGCGTTTCTTCAAGATGGCCTCGCAGTGTCTGGAACGTGCGGCGGCCGTGGTAGAGAGCTCGCTGCGTCACTGCGACGCCGAGAAGGAGCAGCCCGCGTCGCCGGATATCACCGTGGACGTTGACGGCCAGATTCTCGGCGACGAGCCCGAGCCGACGGAGCAGAACTGGGCGGATGTGCCGCCACTCTCGGCCATCCGGTCTGTGGGTGAGCAAAGCGGCCACTGCTCGCCAATTGGCGACAATGAGGTAAGCTAAATGGCTGGCAATGAGGCGATGTTCATCTCGTAATGAGACTGCTATGGAATTTGTGATCTACCGTACATGATGTATGGGAACCTGTGTTGAGGAACCACCGCGATAGGAGTCCACCTGTACTCTTGACATTGGTTGTCTCACGTTCTACCCTACCTCGCTGGTCTCAACGGGTGCTTGATCTTGCCACATTGCCGCACTGCGGTTCGCGTTTCCTCCTGTGTGTGTGTGTGTGCGTGCGCGCGTGTGTGCGTGTGTGTGTGTATGTGTGTATGTGTGTGTGTGTATGTGTGTGTATGTATGTGTGTGTGTGTGTCTGCTTGTTGTTGCTGATACTGTAGTTCCGCTTTGTTCTTCATTTTCTTCTTTTGGTATTGTTTGCAGCGTGATGGCAGCATGTCGCCGCTGGAGCACGTTCCCAACGTCGAGTCCATCTCCCACATCTACTCTGCATCACCGGACGGCCGTCAGCTGGCTGAGGCACTGCACAAGAACGAACAGCTGATGCGAGCCTACCAGACACGCATGAAGAAGATCGCTGATAACCGCGGCGGAGCAAGCAAAGCTCACCTACAAGTGGTATGTGCATTGGAGTTGTTCACTGACGGCATCTGTTGACTGCTTCATGTGCTCATGATTCTCGTCAAACTGCCAAATGTTGGGAAACCGGCAGGGGAGATTTCTTAGCGGGTGGCTAAAGCATCGTACGCGATATCCGGTGTAGTACGAGTACATGTTGAGCAATCTGTCAGTTTCTGTTTTTGTATCGCTTGAATGGTCTTATGTGAAATTCGATGCGGTCGTTTTTGAATTTTTGATATTTGTTTTCTTTTGCCCAGAACTTCATGCTGATGCGGGACTGCCAGGAGAACATTGCCATAGCTCGATCACGCCAAGATGCTGTATCCTCTAAAGCAGACTTTCACGAGTGAGACACATGGTGTGTCGACATTAGTCTCACTCCGTGACTGGCTCCTTCAGTAGTTGTTTAGTTCAGTACTATGTTGTGTACTGTGGAGAACAATAGTGGTGGTGGTGACTGAATTGCGACCTCATGAATAAAACAATAGTGATGGTGGTGACTGAATTGCGACCTCATGAATAAAACAATAGTGGTGGTGGTGACTGAATTGTGACCTCATGAATAAAACAATAGTGATGGTGGTGACTGAATTGTGACCTCATGAATAAAACAATAGTGATGGTGGTGACTGAATTGTGACCTCATGAATAAAACAATAGTGATGGTGGTGACTGCATTGTGACCTCATGAATAAAACAATAGTGATTGTGGTGACTGAATTGTGACCTCATGAATATAACAATAGTGATGGTGGTGACTGAATTGTGACCTCATGAATATAACAATAGTGGTGGTGGTGACTGAATTGTGACCTCATGAATAAAGCACTATAGATACTGGGTTGTACAGGTGAACGAGACTTAGTGTTTTCCGTCAGGTTGGATCCCTCTCCAGACAGCTGGTTCGCTCCAACAGGGCTCACCAGTGGAGGTAGTAGATGCTGGATGATTGGGGTGTATGAATGATGCGATAGGGACAAACTGGTGCAACTGTGCGTTTTCTACATAGAAGTACGGAATGTCCAAGGAAGCTGCGGTGTTACTTGAAGTACCTGAAGTATGCCAGTGGATGCCAGTGGATGCCAGTGGATGCCAGTGGATGCCAGTGGATGCCAGTGGATGCCAGTGGATGCCAGTGGATGCCCTACTCACACTCACACGCACGCACACATGCACACATTGTTCAGAAGTGCATGCCTTAACTGCACACTGCCTATCATCATCAGCTGCTGCAGAAGATGAAGCTGCGGCAACAGCGAGACGCAGCCGACGGATCAAAGTGAGTGCGCTTGCCATTGATCCCACAGCATGCGTTTGCTCTGCATAGCTACGCTTCACTGAAATGTTTTTAAAATGAAGAACACATGCCGCCACATGTCTTGGCCAAGCTGGTTGTGTTGCTCAACACAATTGTATGACCGGTGGTAACGCGGACGTGCGAACATTACTTTACTTACATGTCTTGTAATTGTAAAGTCTCTCTCCCGTGTGAGTACGTTCTTGACTGAAAGGTTTTTGAGATGCTTGACCCATGCGTCCATCATGTCTCGGCTATTGCTTCATGTCCAGATCACCCACGTCAGTCGTGCCCACCGGGATTGGCGAGGAGATCGTACTGGACCGGGAGCGGCTATGCGCTGACATTGAACACTTTGAGGAGACGCAAGTGAGTTCGGGAAAGAGTGCATGATCCCAATAATGGATGCATGCAATTAGAAAATACGGCTTCAGTTGACTTGACTTCGCTTTTTCGTTTCCAAAGCGGCAAAAACACAAACTCGCGTTGAAGGTCGGCGTTTCTGTTGGTTTGTTTTGCATTTTTTTTAAATTCATCACTGCAGGCCTGGAGCAAAGAGCTACGCACCAAGATATTCTCACATCCGGAAGAGACGCTGTACATCAACGACTTCATCATCAAGGCACTCAGGTAGGGGGGACTGGGCTATGGGTTGAGATCAAGTGTTCCATGTACCATATTTTCCGAAGTATGAGCCGCACTTTAAACGCCAGTAATTCACCCAATAAAAACTTTTACTACGGTGGTCAAATTAACGGTGATAAATAGGGTTGATGTCTGTGTTTCGTGACAACAACATCTAGGTGCCACTTATACTCCGGTGCGGGTTATACTCCGGAAAGTGTGGTATTTAACGAGTGTCTTAGAATACGCCCGACCCCAGAGATACAGTGTCTTTATCAACTGCTAGCTTAGTTTTTTAGCAATACTTCTTCGCTACTCCAACCCCCAAAATGGTCTCTTTACTGCAAATAACTTTACATGCCACCATCTAACTTGCCTTAATTGGGAAATTCTGGTGTGATGGCAACTCTCAGGCTGTAATGGAGCACTACCTTGCACTGCCTTCTCATCACCTGTGTGTGTGTGTGTTCTGCATGCGTGTGTGTGTGTGTTCTACATGCGTGTTTGTGTTGCTTGCAGTACCGGTAATCACCCGTTGAGTTCACTACTGGGCCAGTTTCAATATGATATCTACCAGCGATTGCTGCCGCTATCAAACCAACACAACAGATCTATTGAAGTAGACCTGCAGGCCATCAACAACAAGCGTGCCAAGACCATTGCCATTCCGAAGACGCCGACCTCGCCCCAGCACCGTAAGGACTCGCCTGGCCTTGTGGCGTCATGCAGGCCGCATTTATGTGGCTGTTTATGTGTGGTGTGTGTGTGTGTGGGGGGGGGGGGGGGGGGGTGGTGGTGCTTTGTATGGATATCATATAGTTTGTTTGTGCTTTGCTGACATGTAGGATCTGGTGTTGTTGTGTGTATAGCCATGTTGCATGTAGGCGCAGTGTGCCAACGATCCCATGCATAATAATTATTTTTGACTTTCATCGTCCAACCTTCTCAGCAATCTATTGCTCGCCTACAACTACCGTATTCCCGTGATTATAAGTCGCACACACACTTTCAGGTTTGAGCCATATTATTTTGATATATTCACTTCAGTAGTAAGTTTGAAACTCGTAAGTCATGATCGATGGTACCGGTAAGTCACACTCCCTTTTTGCCCTTGAATTTTAGTGTAAAAAAGGGTGCGAGGGATTGTATTCGGGGAAATACGGTACACAGATTCGTAGTCCTTACTTTGTAGTTCTTGTTCTTGCCTGGCTTTCAGGTGCTGCGTCCGTCTCTACATCATGGCCCCACCACGGTAACCCGTCGCGTCATCTCACCGGACGTGATCATGATCATGACAGCACTGATGGCATTGCTAGCACTGGCGTTGGCGGCGCTAGCAGCGCGGCAGCAGCAGAAGCAGCACAGCTCAGGCACTCTGTGTCGTCCACGCCACCGTCGCGATCGTCTTCACCGCCGCCTACGCAGCATCGAGGTCACCGACGAAACGTGTCGTCGGGCGGCCGTCTCGAGAATGTCGTTCCGGACCTGAACAACTTGGTACTGCCACCCACCAGCAGACGGCGACAGAAGGTCTCGCTTCTTAAGAAGCCCACGCAACTGCATCCGCTGATGAACAGCGAGAGTCCATCCGACGTGGAAGAGGATGTCAGCGACGAAGACACATTCCCCGTTGTCAGTCCGCAGCAGCTGCTAGCTCGCTCGCTGACGACAGCGAAACAGTCCACGACCTTGCCGCCGCCGAGTGCCGAACGAGTGCGAGGCCTCTTCTCGTCCTGGTGTACGCCGGAGGAGCTGGAGGCGGCTGAGTCCACGCACATCCAACTGCAGTGTGTCACCACACTCATACATTCCTACATCGGTAAGTCAACGCGTGTAGTACGAGTGTGGTGTTCATGCATGGTACTGTGCACAAATGTAGGACGAGTGAGGCCGCAGTGTATGTATTGTACATGTGTATGTGTTACTGTGAAACCTTTCAGTTTTGTAAGTACGCCGAAATGATGTGAGCATTGTTGCCCGACTTAATCTCGTATACCGTACTCTTGTGTGACAACTCGGCTTCTATTCCAATCCGGCTTCTATTCAAAAGAAGTCTTTCTGCACCGAAAGCTAGGCATCTATGCTGATGATCCAGAAGAATCACGTTTATACTCAGTACAGTACTCAATCTGCGGACAGAACTGTTTCGTCCTTTGTGGACTCATCAGCGCAGCACAGAGAAAATGAGGCTGAACCATTCAGTACAGTACTGTAGATTCGGCGAGGAGACAACAATTTTAATTCCCGTAGCTATGCAGAAGACGTTACTTCTGTAACTTCAGTAACGCCTAGCCAGGGTCCACACAGCTTTAATTTGGTATTTGTTTGTGTGTTTGTGTCACGCCTGGCGCTATCCCGTATCTGTCCCGTACCGTACCGTACCATCAAACATAGCTGGCCACAAACAGCAGGCCACAATTCAAATAGACCCTTTGCACAGCGTACGCATTATGTCATCATTATCATGACGTCAGGGACACGTGCTAGGTTGGAAGCAACTTGGGACATGTCCCATCCTCGATTATATTGTTTTCAAATTGATATTAGAGTTTTCTTCCCTTTCTTGCGCTTGTTCCTTGCCAAGCAGTCCGCTTTTTGCATTTCTGTAGTCTGTGTCCATTGTGGTGATGGGTATATTATGTTCTATTGCCCGCTGTACGAAGCGGACGGGTCGAGATAAAATCAAGAGGTTTTCTCTTCCCAATGTGAACTCGAAAACGAAAAGTGCTGACATCGAACTGGTCAAGGAAAGGCGACGGCTGTGGATTGCAGCGATAGCCAGAGCAGACCTAGTTGGGAAGACATTGGATGATGCTCGTGTTTGCAGCAATCAATTCATTTCCGGCCGCCCTTCTGAACTCTGGGACAAAACAAACCCAGATTGGGTTCCTTCGAAGAATTTGCCTGGTCCTGGCAAAAGGAAGGCGAGTGAGGAGCAGGTAGTGGAGCGTTATGCCCGTCGCAAAGCCAGACAGAGAGTGGAGGAGGCCCATTCAGAGGCTGCAGCTTCATTGGATGTCAATGATCCGCCACATCTGTGTGATGTTGGCGTTGCCTCGTCACAACCACCACCATCACCTGATGCTGGGCCTGCTGCTTTAGATCTGTCACCGCCACATGATGTTGATGATGAGAGTGACGTCCTTGTGGAGGAGAGCATGGATTTATCCAATTTTCCACCTGGCCAGCTGGTTCAAGAGCTAGACTTTTCTGAAGAAGGCAGTAAGGACACCAATGACAAATGCGTGGGGATGTTGTTATCTGGTGATGATATAACATTTGCCTTTCAATCCCTAACGGAAGCCACCTTCTTCCCTCCATGCTCCAACGGCTAACTCCAACAACTTGGACGTCCAGGTGCAGCTGGCCAGGCTATCTACAGAGTTCAAACCACACTCTGCTGCCAGACTGCATCCTTGTAGCTGTCTCAACAGCTGCCACTTCCCTCTCGCTTCTGTCCACATTACTCTGTGCACACACATCAAGAAGCTGCTCATGGCTCATAGCGAGGCATTCCTCTTGATAAAGGCTATTCAGTGGCTTCGGGAGGGTGGGTGAAGTTGATGCTGGTACATAACCTGATAGGAAAGGCTTGATGACGGACTTCGTTTTCAGGGACGCAAGGGTCTTATAGAAGCACTGCTTCTCGTCGTCTGAGGGTAGCTTCACACAGAGGCGCTTTGGGCTTGGGGGAGGTGACACATCTCGATCAAGTGCTTCCTGCCTCTGCTGAGGCGACGAGAAATCAATGTCTGCTACCCTGGCATACTCCATTTCCTTCTGAAAGGTTGGGACCTTCCACTGGCATGGTTCTCCAGTTACGGTCGCGGCGGGTTCCTTATGCCGATGAACAGCCTCCAGGAAAAACAGAGTAGCAGCAACATGTGTGCATGTTTCTCCCAAGCCTGCCATACAGTTGCAGTGCGCACAGCAGACAACACCATCGGGGTCTGTGATAAGCCAACAGTGTAGTGGTGTTTCGCTGAACCTTTGTGAGTGACGGACCTGTGAGAGACATGGAGCACATGGAACACATGGGATGCACGTTCATCACTCACCAACAATTTGGAACAATTTGTACATATGCATACTGAGAAATATAGCCCTGGACATGTCCGCAAGAAGGGTATAGTAAGTACTACGTCAAGTCACAATCTCATGGCACAGTAAGTGGCGCATCTAGTACATGTGCTGAAATTTGTTTATCAATTATTCCCGTATAAGTTCAAAATTTGAACCACTTTCACACACACATACTAATCAGGAGTAAATAGCCAACTCAGCCGATTCAGTTTTGTCAGTTCTGCCATACTAGTGTTACCGATGAAGAGTGATTATTTATTGTGATGAACAAAACTCTTACCCGTGCTACAGTGACATGTTTCCCGCAGCACTCGAACGACTTCACCCAGCCTTCACCCAGCCTGATACGAACTGGTTATATGCGTCAAGGCCCTTCTTTGCTTTTAACGGCTTTTTGGAGCAGAAACTCGTTTCATGGACCATGTAGGACATAAGGTCAGACATTTCCACACACGGCTCAACAGGTTTCGCACCACGAGGAATGCCCAGCATTGGGTCGAATCCAGAAAGCAAAGACAATTTCTCTTCGTATCGTTTCTTCCCAATGGAATCCAATTTCTCGGTATACACAGATAACTTGGGGGTAACTACTGGCTGCAGTGGGTCAGATGAGACTACAGGCTCCGTGTCCATCATAACAATCAATACAGACCAGTGGTAGAGCACGATGAAAGTGGAAATACGGACGTCAAAGTGGCATTCTCAATTGCCAAACATACAATCTCCTTCGCCATGTTCACGGCATGTCCCATTTTGAAGAAACACCGTGCACGTGACAATGGTGAGTCATGGGTATGACGCGTGGCGTACAAAACGCAGCCTTTTTGGCCGCATATGCAAAGGGTCTATAGGGCTTTCAAATGCAAGATCATAACGTGAAGCAACTTGGAAGAATGAGTATGAATGCGAAGTGTATTGGGGAATGCATGTAGGGCGATAGCGCGGGTTCGAATCCCAGGTTATGCCTAAAAATAGGAGAATTAAAAATTGATAACATCCCTATGCTTTTTTTTTGCTTAGGTCATCAAGGTGGTAGACGGTGTCGTATTGCCCTCGGCCGTATCTGTCCCGTACCGTACCGTACCATCAAAGACGGCTGGCCGGCCACAAACAGCTGGCCTCGATATTCAAATAGGGCTTTCATATGCAAGATCATAACGTGAAGCAACTTGGAAGAATTAGTATGTATGCGAAGTGTATCAGGGGATGCATGCATGGCGATAGTGCGGGTTCGAATCCCAGGTTATGTCTTGAAAAAAAAATAGGAGAAATGAAAAATTTATTTTTGCCTAGGTCAAGGCAAAAAAGCATAGCGTAGGGCCCTGAGCTTCCAAGCTCTCTCGTATCGCAATAAGGAGGACGAGCTGAAGTGATATTGGACTACTTTATTAAACAATGCCAAGCGATGGAGACGATGTGAAAACAATCTAAAAGCTAAGGACAAGTACATGTAAGAAGAAAAAGCGATGGAAAAAAGATGATTCGAACTAGTTTTCGTACGACACCAGTTCAAATCTTCTTTTTTTCCATTGCTTTTTCTTCTTACGTGTACAATCGCCGAAGTTTAATTGACCCTGAAAGTGCCCTCCACGATCTGTGCCACCACCTTGATAACGTCGGCACTCGGTACCGGCACTCCATTGTTACCATGGTTACGTCGGCACTCTACCGACGGTTCACTGTGTTAGACTGTGTGAACTACTAGTCCATCAGCCAGTGGTGCCAAAGTGAGTCCCCTGTTGCACTTACAAATCGAACACCTGGAACTGACATCAATCGACAGCAAAAGCATCACTGAATCCGACCTGCCTACTTTCCCCGGCGAAACTCTTGCACTCCTTTTGCAGTGCGCCTTGGAAGTTCGACAAATTTCTTCTTCTTCATCAGCCATTACGAGGTTTTCCATCCGTTTTATCATGACATCCAATGCGTCTTCAGTGAAAAACGTGGAGTGTTGTCAACGTTTGGTGTGGTTTTCCGTGGCGATCGACCTAAAATCGCGAAATAAATCGCCGTCGATTTGAGCAGAGGTGAGTTGGCTTGGAGCACGTACAGATTCAAAAAATATGTGTACATGCGCACCGGGAAGAAGATGAAGATGCTCACCATTTTCAAATAACTAATTCAAAAAACTACATGACTATTGTACTGTAATTGTTGTAGTTACTTGTTTGCAACCACAATGGTATCAAGTAGATAATGAAGCGAGGTACAGAGGGATTGATGGCTGATCAAAGCCCAAGGGACCAGCCCGAGGGCTTTGATCAGTCATCAAGCCCGACTGTACCTCGCTTGAATATGCTTCAGACGATCCCCAACAATTTTTTTGATTTTGAATTCAATCGCTTTCTTCTTTGGGTGATCTCGAGTGTGGTAGATAGTACTTCGAAGTAGTACAACTGTAACTGTACTACTACCTGGTTGCAACATGTTCAAAGCAGCCTTGCCTTTATTTCAACTGTTTGCTGTCAGCATCCAGATCAGAGCCATGGCGTTTGCTAGTTGGTCGTAATGGAGAAGAGAACTGCAGGGCATTCACTCGATGTACAACATCCATCGTCGCAGATTCCTTACTTTTAGCTCTCCACGTTCCTTATTTTTCCAGGGATCAGGACCTTCCCGGGGTGATTCCATTCAGGGTGGAAGCGTAGATCACTTTTGCCAAACAGTAAAAACTACGCTTCAAACCTGCTTGACACGACTCGGGGTGCATACTTCGGAAACCCGAAGGTGGATGATGTTCAATACTAGCTCATTGTAATCTTCCTGAAGGTATGTATTCGGATGCTCAATTAAATAGAACAGTGAAAGACATGTGTAATGGAACAACACTCTACAAGTAGGCGAACAACAATTTTATTGTAATTTGAATCCAGGCACACGTGTAATACGGAAACTGCAATGGTTTACACTGCAAATCTTCTCGATTTGCAAGATTTTTCCCGTAATTCACAAAAAGCTGAAAGTTCATTCCTGAAACGCGCATGGCACTGATTGGAGATTGGGTTTAGGTCACAACAATGGCTGTCGATGAAATGCCAAAAATGGTCACTTTGTCGGCTTCCCCCTGCAGAGCGTGCAAGTCGTTTACTCTTTTTATTTGCGGATTCGGTGTACAGGGTACCTAAACTCCCCATTGAGGCCAAAATCAAGTATTCGATTTCTAAGTGCAACAGGGTGCTTGAATTTGACGACTTCTGAGTTCTTGGCTGATGGACTATACAGTCCATTCAGAAAAAGATGGGCTCTGGCTCTGGCGAGCTCCCGTATTTGGCGATTTTTCGTGATTTCATTGTACACAGTGCAGTGCTGCGAAATTTGAACTTTGAAAAAGAGTCCAAAAAGGGTACCTGAACTGGGGTTCGAACCCCACAATGCACTGTTGCAGGCAGGGTCAAACGGCCTGGATTTTGATGGTTTTTTCCAATTCAATGCTTCTGGGGCAAAACCTGGCCGATATCCTTTTCTTGTTATGGCTTGCTTTTTGGACAAATAGACTTCAGAAACATAATTGGAAGAGGATTCCATAGGGGATTGCAGAAAAAAAATTCTAAAAAAACTCAAAGTTTGACCCATTTATGGCAAAAGCTAGAAGTCCATCTTTTTCTGAATGGACTGTAAGCAAGTACAAGTACCGTAACTTCCTTTGTTTGTGTGCCTGCCACACTGCATCAGCAATTGATTTTTCTTTGTGATGTGTGTTTGCCTTGCAGACCAGCTTGAGGGGTGCTTTATGCGGGCATACCCGGAGATGTCCACACCGGCAGGACGCGATCAGTGCCGAGCATCGATCGAGCTGCGTTTCTTCCCTCCTCTCTGGTCACTTCTGCTGGCTGCCTTTAGGTACGGTGCTGCAGTGGTGTGTATGTGTGTGTGTGTGTGTGTGTGTGTGTGTGTGTGTGTGTGTGTGTGTGTGTGTGTGTGTGTGTGTGTGTGTGTGTGTGTGTGTGCACGTGCATGGACATGTTTTCCGCTGTGCATGGATGTCTGGGCACGCTACTGGTTTAAAGGAATCAACCATAATTCTGATCTATTATGTTCACGGGACTGGACGTGCAGATGTGTTAGTCCCATACTCTGTAGTACTTGTTGTGGTAGGTGTTCATCTAGACTCCACTGTACTGTGAGACTCTTGCAGGGGTGTCGCACACGGGACGGTCACTACGGTATTGACCGTACCACTTTTTGCCCCAGGTACCCCGTGAATCAATAAAATACATTGATCTGGACTCTAAATTTCCAAAATGTTCGGCTCCGCAATCTCCCCCCCCCCCCCCCCCCCCCCTGAGTAAACTGTACTTCAGGTGACTGACCGTACCACATTATAATACCTTCCGACGCCCCTGTCTTGGTTTGTAAAGTTTCTGATGTCATGCATGCTTTGCTTACCCTGAATTTCCTTCTGTTCATGTTCTGCAGGGAAGCCAACTATCCACAAGAGAAGACCTTGGCAGGGAGTATGACAACGAATTACTGCTTGTCAACGAAGGAAATGCAAATTCAGGAGAAGTTCAGCCTTACGGATCAGGTAATCACTGACGTGTGTTGGCTCATACACGTGCACACACGCACACACGCACACACACACACAAACACACACACACACACACACACACACACACACACACATGTACACTTGCTCACTCCTACACCCGCTCTGACTGCGTATTCCTTCTTTCTCTGAGCCAGTTCTATGCTCATAATCTCCCGATGTCTTTTGTCATTGTTTGAATCTCTGATCGTACTGTTTACGATGTGGAGCAGGCGGAGGCGGACGCACAGCCCTACTTGATGGCCGTCGAGCAGCTGCAGCGCATCACCAAGCTCTATTGTCCGCTGGAGAAGCTAGAGTGTGTGGGTAAGAATGACACTGCATTGCATCGTGTTGAGTATCTACTGAGAAAGATTGAGTTCAAAATTCAGACCTTGTTACGCTTGGAAAAGACAGGTTTAGTCAGAAACATGCGCACTCCTGTTGCCAAATCATGACGTTACTGTTTCCCTGCCTGGCTTTGTTGTTAGAGATGGAATTGGCATGGGGAAAAAACCAGTTGTGGAGCGCGGTCAAATCGAAGAGTGCAAACAACCACGGATCTACATGTTACTGCTACTTTAGATTGCACTGCAGGTACATGTACTGTCAGTTGCCCTTTCAGGGTCTTGACAAGATGAACTGCATGCAACACACATAATCCCCTTTCAGTTTTCCGACCAAGCATAGCTGCGATGTGACTTCTTGCTGGTGGCGAAAACTCTGGACTAGACGGCGAGGAGTGCAACCTGGCTACTTGGCACCTCTAAATTGTGTGGTGAGATGTAACGTTGTGTGTGTGGATCCGGTGGCCGAACTGAACAACACCTCTCGGGTGTATAATGCTGAAATCCCCAAACTGTTCATCAAAAATTGTAATGGAGCTTGTACAAAGTGTTGTAGTAGCTAGCAAATTCATCATATGCATTATCATATGCATTTAAATGTTGTATTCAAAGGCTCTTACCCTCTTACCCTGACTGATTTCTTCTTTCACTGTGATTGTTTTTCGTGCCCAGTCAATGTGTCCCGTTCGATCTGCGAGTGCGTTGAAGAGTACTGGCGACACAAGCGAGGTAGACAAGTCGCTGCCAAGTATGCCACCATGTGAGTTTCTCACCAATGTGTCGGTTATCTTTTTTTCTTGTGTGGGCATGCATATGCGTATGTGTATGTGTACGTGCACGCAGGTGGGTGAGTGTGTATTGTAGATGGTTCTACCTCTGTTGTCATGGTTTTACATCGGCAGCTACACTCGGTTTTGCGTGTTGCACAACTGGTGTGCTACTCCAGATTAGAGTGCTCTTGGTTCACTTGTATTAGCATGAGCAAAACAATTTAATCCATTTTTCGAAGTGGGAATCTCAAGTTGTGGTGTGGAACCAGAATAAAATATCCCAGAGAAACATGATGCACGGCCATCTTCGGTTTAAAATAATCATGATATTATTGAAGCTGGCCTCAAGCGAAGGTAAATGGTTCAAGTCCTGTTGGTGACAATTTTTTTCTTCAGGCTTTTCCCGTTTGCATCTTTCATTCAAACCAGTGAATATAATGGAGTTTGTTGGTCAGTTGCTAGTAACGTGGCCATCGGCCACAGTCAACTCGGCCGATTGAGCATGGTGAACTGTCATGCCGCTAGTATGCAACGATGTGTGTGATGCAGATCGGTTTGAGCCCGCCTGTGTGTCCAACGCCGAAAATCAACTGGCCTATCATAGCAATGCTCCTATTTTGATGCATTCTGCCTGCTTTGTATAATTTCCTTCTCTCTCTATCTATGTGTGTGTCTCTCTCTCTTTCTTTCTTTTCTCTGTCTCTCTCTGTCTCTCTCTCTCTCTCTCTCTCTCTCTCTCTCTCTCTCTCTCTCTCTCTCTCTCTCTCTCTCTCTCTCTCTCTGTCTCTGTCTCTCTCTGTCTCTCTCTCTCTCTCTCTCTCTCTCTCTCTCTCTCTCTCTCTCTCTCTCTCTGTGTGTCTCTCTCTCTCTCTCTCTCTCTCTGTGTCTCTCTCTGTCTCTGTCTCTCTGTGTGTCTCTCTCTCTGTGTGTCTCTCTCTCTGTGTCTCTCTCTCTGTCTCTCTCTATCTATCTCTCTCTCTCTCTCTCTCTCTCTCTCTCTCTCTCTCTCTCTCTCTCTCTCTCTCTCTCTTTCTCTGTCTCTCTGCATATTACTCGGTGGTGTACAGTGGTTGTGATGATCTACTGCCAATTTTGGGTTATGTCGTCGTTCGATCAGCACTACCCCAACTCGTCAGTGAGTGCTGCGCTATGGAAGAGTTCATCCATGAGGGGTGAGTTTGTAAAGCCGGTGTTGATTGCCTCGAGGTGTGCTGACTGCTGCTGCCATTTCTATCATGTGACGTGTAGTTACATAATCATTTATAGGTTTGTTCTGTAGATCATGGACAGAACACAGGTGTAACGGCTGGGTTGAGGTTTGAGAGGTGACGTGTGTGTGTGTGAAATCATACTGTGAGCATGTAAATAATTCTCTAACACATGAACTAGTGCAGCTTTTCCGCATGCATGATCAAGTAGACACCATCCCATATGCGGCCTCGGCTGGCCAATAGCTGTAATCAGGGGATAGGGAGAGGTGGGAAGTTACAGGCTGGCTGCAACATGTTCACGTGGTGTGTTTATGGCCTTGCTCTCCATCACAGCTATCTGATGGGAGAAGAGGGATACTGTCTGACGACGCTGCAGACAGCTCTTACATATGTCACGTGTCTGGCTGGCGAGAAGCCTCCCGTCCGGAAGCCATCACAGTCAGCAGCATCCTTGCTGAGATAGCAGCCACTGTCAGGAGTGCAGTCCGGACTAGGAGTCACTCATGCAATTGCGGGTAACTAAGTAGCCAGGGACTTGGCTCCTGTGCTCACTGCTGCCACCTGCTACTGCTGCTGTCACTACTGCTGCTGTCACTACTGCTGCTGCTGTTGCTCTTGCAAACCAAGCAGCTAGCTAGCTTAGCACGGCTTGCGAGTGCGAATCGTAAATGTAATGTACACACCAATTAGTAGGAGGGCGCACATCTGCTTGAAGTAATCAGTTGCGCTCGTGCAGGACGTTGTTGCAACAGAACTTAGTTCCTGTCGTGTAGCAAGGCTGCGCACGTTAGCTGCTGCGTAGGCCACGTAACTGAGCATCTGATCGGGCTGGTGTGAGTAACGTTGGATGACTCTCCGCACATAGTACCCTTCCAGTAGCTGTGCCGCACTGGCAACTGCACCGCTCTTCGTGTTTGCTTTCGGCGTGGCACGTCTCCAGTGTCGAGTACGTTGTACCACTGGGCATACCCACATGCTGGTCTCACGCTGTCCACCGACACGAGCGTTCACACGAATGAGCCGTGAAATAAGTAGTTTTTTTCCTGAGTGAGGTCGTGCTGTAGCTGCCGCTTACATGTTTGCACCAGTATTAAACCAACGTTATTCATGCACATCACAGACCTTGACTGGGTGAAGCCTGTACCCCACGAAATCAGGATCACTTTACATTTTTTTAGCGCTGGCGCAACGATCTTTTAAAACTCCATAAGTAGCCATGACCTTGCAGTGCCCTTGTCCTGGGCCATTTTATCTATTGCATCCTGGACTATATTGATCAAAGTTGTCGGCTGGCCACCCGTAATTTCACAACTGTTTCGTATTCAGTTTTTGAAAGTGAATATGTCTTTTTCCAGCGTTAGCTGGCTGAGCGTTGTGCCCCCGCGTGCAATTCTGCGGAGTTTTCTTGTGTGCTGAGATGCAGCGTACTCGGCGCCTCTATCTACACTGCTACTCAATGATATCCGATCAAGTGAGGCAGCTTTGCAGTTTGCACCCTTTACGAGTGAAAATTTGACCGTTTGCAGGCCTGGGGCTCCACAGTGCCCGGCGCATACAGTAAAACCTGTAACTAACGACCACCCTTTGGGGCCAGAAAAAACGGTCTTTAGTGTCGGGTGGTCTTTAGTTAGAGGGTTACACCGCGTGGCCATATATGGATCCCATCTCTGATATGTATGTCAAAATGCAGCCAAGACAATTCCCCACCACTTGCGCAATGCCATTTCTCCTTTCAGAAGTAACATCGACCAAAGAGCAGGTTCGATGCGCTCTCCAAGACGGTTTCTATCATGTTTGCTCATGCCAGCACTTGAAACTATGACAGATGCAGTGCAGCCCAGTCAAAATGAGCCTGCGTTCATTTGTTCAGCTGTAGTATCGGAAGAGTCCATTCAGGACCATGGAAAATCATCAAAATTTCGTAGAAGAAGCTTCGAACAACCTTTGATTTCCTACATCGTGGTCGCTAGTTACGGGTCAAAAATCGACATTGGGACAAGAAGAGGTGGTCGCTGGTCGCGGTCAGCAGGTAGTCGCTTTTCACAGTGCATTTTGAATGTGAGACCGTGACCATGCCTGGCAAAGTGGTCTTTAGTACCAGGCTGGTCACTAGTCACGGTGGTCTTTATAGTTACAGGTTTTACTGTACTTGACTCACTCCATTAGATTTTATTGAGTAACACTGTATAACATGGTATAACGGAACATGACAGTCCTGGCATGGTCCTGGCATGGTCCTGGCATGGTCCTGGCATGGTCCTGGCATGGTCCTGGCATGGTCCTGGCATGGTCCTGGCATGGTCCTGGCATGGTCCTGGCATGGTCCTGGCATGGTGTGCTCTGTCAAGTCTGTGTCTTGTTGCAGTGTTTTAAAAAATAACGTTTGCATCCTGTTTCTCCAATGCATGTTGAATGAAGTCAGCCACTGTATGCAGGAGATTGGTGTGTTGAAGTGGGCAAGTGATTTACACCTCCCGGCTCCGTTTGGTTTTGGGCATTCTTCAACAGAGGTGAACTACTGTTCCGCTCGGTGAAATCCGACCCAGAGTGAACATGTGGTGCCATCAACTTACTTGCATGGCCATTGGCGCCCTCTGGAAGTGACGCGAATGCGGCTGGACATACACATGTACAAATACAATGATGTAATCGGAACTGGTCCAGGCCAGGGCGCCAGCTTTGCACTTCGGGTCGGATTCCACCGAGCGCAACTGTACTTTGACTACGAATGACCTGCACAAACAAAGGTTCGCCTTGGGCTCTTTCTGTGGGAATGTCATGCTCTGTTGTAACAGGATGTTTTTGAACAGTCTCGGTAAGTATCGCCGGAGTCGCACCAACCTCTCCTTCACTTGGTAATACTACAGTACAAAAACACTAATAAGCAGGGGGTCACGTATAAACCGATTGTACCACTCCCTGCATGCACACAACCACGGTGCTGTGTAAATGCTTGGTAGATGACTAGATCTGCACAGTACAATACGACTCCCGGATACAGCAATCAGCACGTTGCCAAGTGTTGGTGTCCTGGGATGCCGGTAGTTAGATACTGGACATTTGATCTACATGACTGTCTGTAGACTGTACTGTAATTATGTAGCTCCACAGCACGGTGCCACCCTACTATGGTTGTAAGTGTAAGAGACCAAGCGCCACGTTAGTTTAGTCTATCGTGATGTACAGCGATACAGTCAACTTCGCTTATAACGACACTCGGCGGGGCATCAAAAAGGTGTCCTTATTCGCGAAGTGTCGTTATACCCGAAGTCTCATTATAATTATGTATTACAGTGGGATGGGACTTTGCTCTGGGCATGGAAATTCTGTCGTTATTCGCGAATTGTCGTTATATCCGCAGTCGTTATTAGCGAAGTCAAGAGTACATAAACCAGAGTGTGCAACTGCATATCAGATCTGAAACAGCGCAGTTCGTGCACTACGTCCCACTGATGAGGTCAGCCAAGCCGCGACTTGCGTACAGCTCAAATTTTCATGTTTCATAGCCCGGAAATCAGCCAAGTTTGCTTGATTTTAGACGTCCAGTTTCAGGATTTCGGTGTTTTGTGTGACTGTGTACATCCACCGACAAGTAAATTCTCCAGGCTATCCGTCTCAAAAAACCGAAATCAGGACAAACTCAGTGACTTGCACCACCGCGACTGGTTACGCAACTTTTCACCGTACCTGTGGCTTACCATGTACATGCCGTCAGAAATGACGTAGTGCACGAATTACGCTCCCACAGGAACCATCCCGAGTTGCACACTCTGGTTTATGTACTCTTGGCAAAGTTGACTGTACTATTGACAGGAGTTTTAAAAGTCTACACATTTAGTAGTTGAGCTAGTAAGTTGATCTCACACCATGTCTTGTTATGTAAGTTGTAGACTTCTAGTTTGTAAGTGTAGACAGTAGTGCACAGGCATTGTAGGTGTGTTTAGTTTAATTGCTTTTCACACTGTAGGAAACTAACTACACTGTACTATGTTTTTCGATTTTGACAGCATGTTACAAGGCGAGGACGCGTAGTGCTCCTGACTACAACCATAACCCGGTTGGCAGAGTCCCGGTCTTGCGACCATTTGCACCGTATTGGGAAAACCCAGGTTCGGACTCTCGTTACTCTCGGGGTTGGTAGGATTTAGAATTTTCTTTTTTTGTGTTGTAGATGTCGTCGTGTTGCCGCCGCAGTATTGTTCACGTTGTCGCGTTGCTGCCGCTGTAGTAGTCGCCTTGTAAACATGCTGTCAAAATCGAAAAACATTTTTAAACTACCAAGCAAGGCTTCTGTGTACAGTAGATATTGGTTATAACGTGCCCTTCTGATTTTTCACATTTTATCACTATAACCGGTATATCACTACAGACGATTTTCAACTGCGCGCGTCATACATACACATTATACACGTGTGGGTACTCGATCGCGCTAATGTAGCGTACTGATACGTGATGGATGCTACTGCACCTTCTCCAGTCTAGAGTGAAGAACTTCTTGGCCCAAGGGCATCATCCAGGAAGCACCAGACCAGAATACCCTATGACAACACACATGTGGCTCCAAGTCGAGACATCAATGCCTCACACTCGTGTGTTGCTATCACTATAGACGATAATTGTTCTGCACAAAGAGGTTTTTTTAAATTGTGATTCTGTATCCTTATAGCCGATTTATCGCTATATACGATATGGGCCTCAACCAGCGAAAACAGCCCTTAGAGTCAAATTTTTCAAAATTCCTTTTTGGTTAGAAATTTGTTGAAACACATCTACTGAAGGACCTCAGCCAAAAAAAAGTTCAATATTCCGATTCAAAACGGGTGTATACACCAATATACAAGATGTACTCCAAATTGGTGCAATGTATGTATACGATATATGTGTACAATAAATATTCAGCATTTTTAGGTGGGTAGGCAGCTTGAATACCTTTGAAATAGCGCAGTAAGCAGCTAGAATGACAAAGAATAGCGGAACAGTGCGGAGACATGATCGACTTATTTGCAGCTGCATCCTGCGTGGAGTCGTTCCGCAATGTCTTCCATTTCTTCCTGCGCAGCTGACGACACGACGTCGCTGCCGTCACTAGCCCCAGACTCAGAATTTATCTCAGGTGATGACTCCTCATCTTCCGACTCTGACGAGTCATCGACCACCTTGAGCCGCAACGCAGCAGGAGATGACGGCTGCGATTCCGCCTCGCTGTCGACATCGATGTCGATGTCGGAACCAAAGAACGTCTCATCCTCACTCTGAACTTCAGCGGCTACTTCAGCATCCACTCCCCACCAGGCTCGAGCTAGCTGTACACAATGACTGCCGCGTGTGCTCTGCGAACAACTCTGGCGTCCGCAGCCATCGCAACAAGATCAAGGAACACTCGAGTCGCCACTCGACACCACTTCAACTAACTTCAAATAAATTCAAGCAAGGTCCCAAGGAGATCAAGAAGAACTCGTCGCGCTGTTCGCAGCGCGATCAAAAAATCGTTGAACGTCACAAATCGACATTTTTCTTGAAAAAATTACGAAACCTCTAAGGGTCGTTTTCGCTGATTGCGGCTCATATATTGGTTATAATGATAATTTGACTGGCTTTTTCTGGTTTTGCTTCTGATATTTTCATTTTGTATCAATATAGCCGGTTTATCACTATGTCCGATGACTCTATAACCGATATCCACTGTACATGTATATCCACTGTACATGTATATCCACTGTACTAGTACTACAAGTACTAAAGTACCAGTAGTTACTGTTACTAACTTACAACCACACAATCATAGGAAGTACAATCATGTCATGTAGTGTGGTGACTGTGAGCATGTGAGGCCATACCCAGTCACTGAGTGTTAATATTACATGTACCAAGAGTATTAATACCCCCCTAACTGGGGCATACTCTTGGTATTACTAAGAGCCTAGCCTAGGCATAGCACTCGAAGCTAATGTACATAATTATATCCCCCAGATAGGCGTTAGCCTTTGGGTAATCCTGAAATAAAGATTATATTGTTATTCATGAGTATGAATTTCAATGGCTACGCGTAGACTCTACGTCCGAAGATGTACAGTCATGTACCTGGTAGCCAGTGAAATTCATGTCGTGCTTCGGGCTCATATCAGTGACTTTCATAAGTCTTTATCAGGTCAGGACGGTATGTGCAGCAGTCTACAAAGTACAATGACTTTGTACAATCATGCATGTCCTGACTAGAAAGTCTTGACTCTTGACTTGTACTGACATGACTGTGGAGTGTCGACATGTCCCGAGCCTCGAGTCCTAGTCTAGTCATACTGTACTCTGTAGTACTAGATCGAGAGTGTCGACTTACTCTGTGCCGCGCTAGCCGCTGTTATGTTTATGGTTAGGTGTTTCTCCACTTCTTTCGAAACCACGAAGGGACTGTCCCGATCTGATGGTTGCGAGCCGAAAGTTAGTTTTTACCCGACGTGGACCGAACGAAGGCCAGCTCGGACAGCCATGTAGGTGGATAGACAGGGGCATGGCTGCAACATCAGCAGATCAGCTGCACAATGTCAATGCACCGCGTCCCGTGCACTGCACGGCCCTGGTATGGCTCGAACTCGCTGACTCTTCACTCTTGTTTCTCTTGTTTGTTGTCAAAAGCGTCGAAACCACTGGACAGGTGCACTACAGGCGCTCGGACTGCAGAGACCTTGGCTCTCGGGGCGTGATCTTGAATGTACCTACTCCGTTTCTGTTACTGCAGTAACCATGGTAACAGCCGCTGCAAACTTTCCATTTCGTCTCGCTCCAATGGAAAGAGTTTCGTTGTGGTCCTCGTTATAAGAGCGATGGTTGCGGAGGACATCATTATTCCTGTGAAGACGGTTGCCTGACCTCAGTGATCGTGGGCAGCGGCTTGCCAACGACTATTTGTAATGGAATGCCAATGAGGAAACTATGCTTGTAGGGTCCTGTATTGCTGTCCCGGCAAGTGATAGCGGCTGAACTCGCTGCAGCATCTTGGCTCTCCCCCTCTCTCTACGGAGCTGTTGTGCGCACACGTTGATGGCGTGTGTTGAGCTGGACTGAGAAAAAGAAAAAACCGTGACAAGCCATCCTGAGCTGAGCTGAGCTGAGAAGGTCAAGACAGATTCAAGCGCATCGCCAGACCAAGGATTATCTACACCGTACCAGCGCGGCGCTGTGGTCTTGTCGCGGACGAAAAGAAAAACAGAAAAAAAAACAGAAAAAAGAAACAAAACATTTCCGGAGCCACGCGGGGGGCAGTACAGTCTACCTCAGTACCTGGTCTACCGGTGCACCATGAGTGATTCGGTAAGTCTCTTTTTTTACTTCGGAAGTAAAAGGCTATGTTCGTTTGGTCGAATCCAGATCAAGTATGTGAGTCCTGAGGCTATATTGCAATAATGCGCTCCAATCAAACGCTGACCTACGGGAGTACAGTCAACTTCGCTAATAACGACTGCGGATATAACGACAATTCGCGAATAACGACAGAATTTTCATGCCCAGAGCAAAGTCCCATCCAACTGTAACACATATAATGAGACTTTGGGTATAACGACACTTCGCGAGTAAGGACACTTTTCTGATGCCCCGCCGGTTGTCGTATAAGCGAAGTTGACTGTATGCGATTTTTGACTGGCTGTGAGAGTTCTCACGAGAGAAACGGTTACAGTGTGCGCAATGCATTGTATTGCTTTCCGCCGCCATGCCTTCTGTGCCATAGACCATTGTGCTGAGCTGGCACACTGCTGGCCAAAGCATCGCTCTGCGGGTCAACCCTGCTCACCTGGCTGGGTCCAAATCTGTCGCCGGATCTCGGTCCGGATTTACTGTAGTGACCATGCAAACTGGATCCCGATCCAACCAATCAAACACGCCGTTAGTGCTATCACGCAAAGAACAATTTGAATGGGAATTACTACACGGCAAGAGTGGTTTCAAATCTTTGTCATGTACCTGACATTGAAGTACAACGAATGATCGTGGCATGTGGACAGTGGAACCAACATGGCCGGCATCATGTGACCCATAGATGCAAGGGTTGACTGGGTTGGAATCAGCACGGATGCACTGGTCATGGGGGGTTATAGAGTGGTTTCACATCTTGGTCATGTGACTGTGTAGAAAGACTATAAGTGATCCTGGCATGTGGACAGTGGAACCGACATGGCTGACATCATGTGACCCATAGATGCAAGGGTTGACTGGGGTTGGAACCAACCGTGACAGCCGTCCTGTATGGTCATGTGATAGGCATGACACCACTCTATTACACATGTACTAGTAGTTCTACTAGTGAAGTAAGGTTTGCTTGTCCCATGTCCGCATTGCCACCGGTTACAGTCGGCCCTCTCCAATCCGGCACTTGTTTATCCGGAACCATTGCAAACTGGCGCACTTTCTGACAAACCGCTCTTTCAGTTCATTTTCTACGCTTTAATCCGGCACTTGAATTCCGCCTCCAGCAGCAATTCCCTGCAACAAATCGCTCAAACTGTACATAATTCTATTTTATAATCCAGCAGTTGTACATCGCGTACCGTACTAGTGTACAGCTACGCCAGTCTGGTCAGTGCATGACGTGCATGAAACTGACTGATCAAGGAGCACTTTTACGCATGTAACAGAGAGTTGAGAATATAATAATCATGCCAGTACTAGTATGCTCTGCATTCCACAGTGTACTTGGAAGTTGGGTTGACACAGAACATCCGTGCATTTTGACCTATGACACAAACATGCATGGTTAGGTGATGGTGTAAGTAGGTGGGCTGGGTTGGAGGGCAGGATTTGGTAATCCAGCACCCTTGTGTATCCGTCAGAAAATACCGTTGCAAAAGGTGCCGGATTAGAGACGGACGACTGTAAACTACTGTTCGGAAACACAACCAGCTCTTTTAGTACAGACATGTACTAATATGCAAAAACAGGCCAGGATTGCAGAGCATTCAAGGATCTGACATCCAGCTTGGTTGCTAGCTAGCTGCTCGTAGATGCCTAGCTATCGCACTTTCTGACTGTATTAGCTGCTATTATCTAGTTGCAGAGGTGGACAGTTGCTCATCACTTCAGTGTATCCACATGTCCCATCTAATTTGTACATTTAATATTGGATCAGTCGGGGAAGTGAACTGCCTGAAAAGAGAAAAAAAGAGCCAGACCCACCAGGACTCGAACCCGGGACCTTGCTTGTCATGAGCAATGCTCTAACCACTGAGCTATGGGACCAGGCTTAACCTAGTAGTTGTCAGCGCCTTCTAGCTTCAGCCTGATCCCATAGCTCAGTGGTCAGAGCATTGCTCATGACAAGCAAGGTCCCGGGTTCGAGTCCTGGTGGGTCTCAGTATTGGCTCATTATTATCTGAGTCTAATCATGTGCTATTTTCTTCTCATGAAGTATCTTCAATATTCTCAAGGATTTAATAATACAGCCTGTATCGGCTATAGCGTACCCTTTTGATTTCCATGATTTTATCACTATAACCGATGCATCACCATATGCGATACGATCGATTTCTTTTTTCTTTTTTTCGATCGACACATGAAAGGCAAGGAAATACTTCCAGCATGGCGTTTTGACAAATGAGCATGCTGCATAGTTGACAGTGCCCGCATTTCCTTAAAAAAATTCTGTTATGTACATGCACATGTATCACTATAAAAATAAGCAACGTGAAGAAAGAAAAAAATAGGGCCACTGATATTATTGCTACATGTATTTTAAAGTTATCACTTTGGCCAATAATAATATTATAGTGTGTTATGCATGTTTTAATTCTTTGTTGCCATCATAATATCCGATATATCATTACATCCGATAATATTGGTTATAGTGATATTTGTACTGGATAAAATACGTTTTGCTTTTGATATTTCGTACCAATATCACTGTAGCCGATATGTATCTATTATTGCACGATTAAAGAGGTCAATATATGAAATATAGAACGAGTAAAAGACCGAGGTCCCCCGAGGTCTTTTACGAGGTCTATATTTCATATATTGACCGATTATGAGGGCAATAATAGATTTATCACGACATAGCATACCTAAAACTGTTTTTGCTTTGCTATAGGAAGAAAGGAATACTATTGTAATAGTATAATAGTATGTACATATGCCGTTTACATTGGATATTACTTCTGTGTAAACCGAAGTTTTCAGTTGTCTCTTGTAGTATGTTCCCTAAGTTCTTTGACTGAGAATCTGACAGTTTGGGTTCAAATCCCAGTACTTGGCTTCAGATTTTTCTTCTTTCAGTTCTGATTTTTTTCTAAGTTGAGGAAAAAGTTCTAAGTCCTCGGGCTAAGTGGTCAATAATAAGTGGTCAATATAAGCGGTCAATATATGCTGATATTTGACCGCTTAGAGATCACAAGTTTCTGTGGGGGTCAATAATAAGAGAGTGATACATTCTTATATCCGGTCACTCTATAGCCGATACAGACTATTCATAAGTTTGAGAGATTCAAAAAGGGAAAAAGTCCGAAAAATTGACTGTCCCCACCACGGCACCAGGGCTCGAATCAGGGACCTTTGCTAGAGGCCAGCGATACTCTAAGCACTGAGCTATGGTGTAACTGTCAACCAAGCAGCGACTGTTCAACATCGATTACTCGACTTTTATGCCAACTGTCTTGAAAATGTGGATGAGAACCAAGGACGCAGAAAAATTCCCTTCCAAGGAATCGTGTTATCCCGTGGGTACAGAGATATGATGTGCAATGGTATAACATGTATCTGGAATGATCCGATGTTTTGCTCCCGGCAAGAATAGGGGATGGTCTAGGACAGTGACAAAGAACAGTGGATGTACATAGTGTCTAAACTCAACAATCATTGTCACTATCACTGCTAGTTCTGCAATTGCTGCTGCTGCCATTGCTGCCACTACTGCTGTTTTTGTTGTTGCTGCTGCTGGCGCCGGCGCCGTCGTCGTTGACGTTGTTGTTATTGTTGATGTTGACGGTATTGCCGTGTGAAGGTCTCCGTCAAGGTGACTTCCCTGGATCAGCGTGTCACAGAGGATGACTTGGAGCGAGCATTCGGCAGCTATGGGACCATTACTAGTCTCAACCTGCGGGACAGTTCTCCAGCTAATCACTGCTTCATCAATTTTGAGACAGCAGCAGAAGCACACCGCGCCATGACGAACATGAATGGCAAGGTGAGGTTTTGTCTGAGATATCCTGTCTGGTTGTTACTACATGTACTGAAAGTAGCTGTCAAGGCCATTGTGTGAAATCTGAAATGTCCGGGAAACATGGACTAACGCAATCTTACTCACACCTGTGTGTACACACGTCTCTCTCTCTCTCTCTATCTCTCTCTCTCTCTCTCTCTCTCTCTCTATCTCTCTCTCTCTCTCTCTCTCTCTCGCGCTCTCTCTCTCTCTCTCTCTCTCTCTCTCTCTCTCTCTCTCTCTCTCTCTCTCTCTCTCTCTCTCTCAGAATATGGGCGTGTGTTGATACCGTACCTGGATTGGTGAGGGGAGGTTAGCAGCTTCAGTGTCATTTTATCTGTCTACATATACAGGTGTCTAAGATCCTCAGGCTGCGTATAGTGCTCTATATCCAGTGGACAGAGCCAGCAATACAATGATCACACAGCAATGACACAACATTCAAGTCCTTTTCTGCCGTTACTCATAGTTTCGTGTTAAAAACACCTTTCTGATGATTGTTTTTAACACTAAAACTCTGAGTAGCGGCAAAAAAGGACTTGAATGTTGTGTCACTGCTGTGGGAGAGTATTGTGTCTGTCTACATATGTGCAAGTGCCTCTATACTCCTCCTTTTGTTATGTGTCTTGATCTTGCCTATTGCCACCCATACGCATGTGTGCTGCACACACACAGGACATGCGTGGCATGCGAATCACCTGCAAACTCCAGGGCAAGAGCAAGGGAGGCTCATCATCGGCACCGATCGGTGGAGCGAGGCCAGTCGGCGTCAGTACCAGTGGTCGTGGCCGGGCGCCCATATCCAAACCAAGATCTGCTGCACGCGACCTTGTTCCACATACAGTGCCAGGTAGGCTGCACGCCGTGTATTTGTAGCATGGCTACTTTATGACACGTAATTTGTATACGCATAAATAGTACACCGTAGGAATGCATGGATAGGCTGTGCGCATACTCGCACTGCCTTGTCTTCTTCTTCTCCTTGTGTGAGACAATGAACGAATATTGATAACTACTTACGTAACAACAAGTATGTGTTTTGAGTGCTGAGACTGAGAGTATACGAGTTACAATGGTGGCAGCGGAAAAATAGTCGTCGGTTTTGTCCTCGGCTGGGAAGACGCCTCCGCAGGAGAGACAAGTTGCAGAGTCGACAAGTTCCAGAGAGTCTGAGACCAGTTCCAGCTACTCGGGAGACCAGCCCACAGACTAAGTTCTAATTTACTAGTATTGGTCATTCTATCCTTCGTCTCGTTTTCCATTCTTTACTTCTTGACTGATCGTTCGCTGTGCATGAGTAACAGTTTTGTTTGGTGTAAAAAGGGCTAGAATTTTCACTACAATTATTTTTGCACATAGTTCTACGTGGACGTGGGTGTGCGTGCATACTTACAGCTGCCCTGGCCTTGGTCTTGTACTTGTTGTAGTACTACTGTACTAGATTGTGCATGCATGCACCTGCATATGACGTAACTCCATGATTGTACATGCAGTACTTACTACTTGTGTAGCTAGCTAGCTAGGTAGACCTACGCACTACGTAGCTTGACACATCACGGATTCACGGTACGGGCCGCGCCGGCGGGTAGGCCGCGAGTGACGTTTGCATTGCATGCAAGGGTTTTTTTTTTGTAGAATTTTTTTTTTAAATTTTAAATTTTGTTTAAATTTTGAACTTGATCTCGAACGCAAGATGGGCAAGTCGAAAAAGCAGACACGGTCACCTAGTCCATTGTCATTCGAGATGTATGACAAGCCTGCCAGTGCCTCAGCCTTACCGAGACCAATCCTGTTACCCGAAGTATTTGGTTGTGCTGGAAATGAAGATTTTTCGGCCTACCTCAAACATTTTAACGATGCATGCCACCTGAACGGGTACAGTGAGGAACAAAAACTATTGTTATTACCCACAAGACTCGTAGGCACGTCCCATGAACTGCTGGAGACCATTCTCCTATCTGATGCAGACGTTTCGTTTCATGACGCCGTTGAAGCGCTCCGCAGTCGCCTGGAGCCACCACAGCAGGCCCAAATGCACGAAGCGGCTTTACGCCAGCGCCTGAAACTCGCCCATGAAACGCAGTATGCATATGCCATGGAGCTCCGCCGCCTTGCTGCCAAAGCATATCCAGGCCAACAGGGCCCGTTACTAGAATCGATGCTGCTGCAGATTTTCATCGATGGTCAGCCAACAAAAGATATGCGCCTGGCTCTGTCGTCGCCACGACCAGCAAGCATTGAATTGGCGGTCCAAAAAGCAATTGAGGTCTCGGCAATCTACGCCAGGGAACAGAGCCGGATGCCCAGTGTAGAGTCTCACTTCACTCAGGCTGTACATGTAACTGGTGACTACGATGGCTCGGCCTGCGCCGCGTTGCCGTTACGCAGCCAGCCACCTGGCCCATCACCAGCTGTACCCCGTGCTTCTGTTGCCAAGGCAAGTGCGTACGACGCTGGAGAGCGTGATCGACTGGCCCAAGTGCTTGAGAAGTTTGATTCAAGAATGTCAGATCTTGAAAAGAGACTCGGCCGTTTAGAAATAATTGTCGCTCCGCAAACACCAGTTACTGCAGGAGCAAGTCCCGATGGCCAGTCTCGTGTCAGTGGACGTGGTCGTGGACGGGGACGGGCGTATGGTCGTGGTGGTCGCGATGAACCGCCGATTTGTTTTGGGTGTGGACAACCTGGCCACTTTGCTGTTGATTGCCCACACAACCCTTGGCGCTCGGGAAACTGAGTACGACTGGTGGTGTGGGACAACTCCCAGTCGTCCACGAGGAGCCATCAGATGAGGCGCGAATCGAAGCTGTATCATCTGTCGTCCCGACCCTAGACCTCAATGTTGAAGGCAAGAGCGTAACTGCACTAATTGATTCTGGTTCATGTGTTTCTTTGTTGCATGAACAAACATTATTGTCCACGTATGGTGATGTGCCTTTGCAAGCTGCCCCCCGTTTGTGTGCGGTGAATGGTGAGGGACTTCGGGTTCTGGGTGCTGTAGATATCGAATGCTGCATTGGAGGGTGCTCATTTTTGCATGCATTTGTAGTGTCCCCTGATATCCGCCGTGATATGATCTTGGGATCTGATTTCTTGTTTGACCATGGAGCATTACTGAACATTGCTCAAGGAACCTTAACTTTTAAAGACCTGTCAGTCCCGTTAGGAGTGAAAGCTACCAGTTTTGGTCCATCGGAACCTAGTCCGGCCGTTGCGGAGGACCCGGCGCCAGTATCTGACTCTTGTGTTAGTGATAGTAATTCTCAGGAAGACCTGAGCACGTACTCTTCTCGTGTCACTGTTGGTCGTGCATTAACTCTGCCTGCCGGCCATGTAGTGTTGGTGCCGTGCATGTCTGTGCAAGAGGCACCTGTAACTGTGGACTGTGTTGCTGATCCACTTGACTCATTCTTGACAAAGTTTCCAGATGTGTCTGTGACCCCCGGTGTGGTTACGGTTGGACCTGACAGGTCCCGTGTGGTAGTTGTGTTGGAAAATCACTCTGACCACCCAGTGCTTCTTGCTAAAGATGTTAACATTGCCGAGTTATCTCCTGTACCCGAGGACTTCATTGTCGAGGATAATGATCCTACTGTTTCGTCCGTTGCGGATACGCCACCGCTTGTGCTATCCCCTGAACGTGCCGAGGTAATCCGTACATATGTTGACTCTCAGAGTCATCTGTCAGTACCTGAGAAGAGCACACTTACAGAGATTCTCCGGGAGAATCATGACTTGTTTATCTTGCAGGAGGGTGATTTTGGTCATTGTGATGTTTTCCCACATCGTATTAGTACTGGTGAGACAAAGCCAGTTAAGCAGCCTACGCGTCGTGTACCCTACCACCGCCGGCAGGCTTTACAAGCTTTGCTGGATGATCTGTTGGCCCGTGGTATAATCACAGAGTCTATTAGTCCCTGGGCGTCACCCATAGTTCTCGTTCCAAAGAAGGACGCCGGATCTCTTCGATTGTGTATCGACTACCGCAAGTTGAACAGTGTTACGGAGCCAGATGCGTACCCCATCCCACGAGTTGATGACATGCTAGACTCACTCTCCGGCTGTTCCTGGTTCACTTGCCTGGATTTAGCTTCAGGTTATTGGCAGATCGCTATGGACGAGGAAGATAAGGCCAAGACTGCCTTTACCACACCGTTGGGTTTGTTCGAGTTCTCCGTGATGCCAATGGGATGTCGAAATGGTCCGGCAACTTTCCAGCGTGTGATGGAAGCGGTGCTTCATGGCTTATGCAATGTGCCGACCCAGCCATTCTGTCGCGTTTTCTTCGACGATGTGCTGAATGCCAGTTCTACCTTGCCTGGACAGCTCCAGATCCTCAAGTCGGTGTTTGACCGCGTTCGTGCTGCTGGACTGATGTTCAACTTGAAGAAATGTTCGTTCTTCCAACGGAAAGTGCTCTTCCTCGGTCATCAGGTTTCGGCTGACGGATTGGCTCCGGATCCGGCCAAAGTTGAAGCTATCGAGCAGTGGGCTGTACCGAAGTCGGTGAGAGATGTACGTGTGTTTCTGGGTTACGCTGGGTACTACCGTCGGTTCATCCGTGGCTTTGCTCAGCGCTCTGCACCCCTGACTGCTCTATCAGGGAAGAATGCCAGCTTTATGTGGACAAAGAGTTGTGATGCGGCATTCACCTCTCTGAAACGGTCACTGACAACAGCCCCCGTGTTGGCGTATCCCGACTTTTCTGTTTCGTCTGGCGGCTTTATTTTGGACACTGACGCTAGCAAGGTGGCCATTGGAGCTGTCCTCAGCCAAATGCAAGATGGCGAGGAACGCCCCATTGCGTTCGGCAGCCGGGTCTTGACGAAGGCAGAGAGGAATTATGATGCCTCAGACCGGGAAACGCTTGCCCTTGTCCATTTCGCGAATCAGTTCCGGCACTATTTGCTTGGCCGGAATTTTATTGCTCGCACAGACAACACTGCCCTCACCGCACTGATGTCCGTGAAGGAACCACGCGGTCGAAAAGCTCGATGGGTGGAGCAACTCGCTGAGTACACCTTCACTACTGTTCACCGGCCGGGTCGGCAGCACTTGAATGCAGATGGTCTGTCGCGTTCCTTGTTGCCGGAGGTGCAACCCTCCCATCTCGAGACTCCCGCAAATCAGCCAGAGTAAGCTAGTTCCTCTGCCACAACGGCGTCTGTGGATGTCGCCACTCCTGTACTAGCTGGTCTCTCCGCACCTGAGTTGGCCGCTTCCCAAGCTGTGGATGTTGATCTATCAGTGGTCTTGTCATGGTACAATGCAGTGAGTGGAAAATTTGTGCGTCCTCCTGAAGATTTAATTTCTGGCACTAGTCGTACCATGCGTTTGTTCTGGGCGAATGCCGAGCAGCTAAGTCTCATTGACAGCGTTCTGTACATATCACCTCCATTTTCCGATCATGATCATGTCGGTACTGCACCCCGTCTTGTCGTCCCATTTGTGCTTCAACGCAAAGCTTTGCTGGCTGTTCATGCTCTTCCGTCTTGTAACCATCCTGGTGTAGATAAAACATTAGCTCAAGCGCGGCTACGTTTTTTTCTGGTTTGGAATGGCATCAGATGTTCAGGAGTTTGTGGCGTGTTGTGTCACTTGTGCACAGATTAGGCTCAAGTCTGATGCCCAGCGTGCTCCGCTCCAGCCAATGTATGCCGGCTACCCATTTCAGCTCGTAGCCCTCGACATCGTCGGTCCATTGCCAGAGACACCCCGTGGTAATCGATATCTGTTGGTTATGGCCGATTACTTCACTCGGTGGGCAGAAGCTTTTCCACTCCAATCCGTTACTGCAGAAGCTGTCGCTGTGGCTGTTGTCAATGGCTGGATAGCACGGTTTGGATCCCCTGAGCAACTGCATTCCGACCAGGGTCCGCAGTTTGAGTCTAAGCTTTTTGCTGAATTATGTCGTCTGCTGGGTATTCACAAGACCCGTACTACTCCCTACCATCCGGAAGGTGACGGACTTGTAGAGCGGCTCAATCGCACTTTGCTCGGTCTACTCCGTGCGCACATCACCCCTACATCTATTGAGTGGGATGCTACCTTCTCTCTTGTCTTGCTTTCGTACCGTTCTGCTGTCCATGCGTCCACGGGTCACAGTCCTGCCAAGTTGTTGTACGGCACTGAATTGCGTTTGCCGGCAGATGTTGTGTTTGGTTTGCCACAACCAGCGTCTCTTGAATCCACTAGTTACGTTCGCCATTTACAGTTTGCGTTGCGTGTTGTACATGCTCAAGCTCGAGAGCTCGCTGATCTGTCCCATGAGCACCAGGAAGAACATTACAACCGGCGAACCAAGGGTGCGCCATTAGCTGCTGGCCAGTTTGTTTACGTAAAGGATGCTGTCATTCACCCTGGTGAACACCGCAAATTCCACCGCCCTTGGCGTGGTCCATTTCGTATTGTGTCCGTCTTTGGATCAACGTCCTACGTTGTCGATGTTGATGGTCGCCATAAGACGCTGCATTTCAACCGCTTGAAACTCGCTTACCTGCCGTCGCCATCTGCGTCCCTGCCGCTGGAGGATCCAGTACCTGCTGCTCCAGTGATGCCTCAGTATGTCCCACATGCCCTCGACAGCGACCATAGTCCGCTGTCGTCTACGCTCCCGCAGTCAACCAGAGCCCATCTTGCTCGCAATGCTGGACTGCCTGCTCGGTTTACTGATTTTGCTATGTCTGAGTTATTTTATTTTTTATGTTTCTGTTTTCTTTCTCTATTCACGAGGGCGTGAATTTTTGGTAGGAGGAGGATAGTGTAGCATGGCTACTTTATGACACGTAATTTGTATACGCATAAATAGTACACCGTAGGAATGCATGGATAGGCTGTGCGCATACTCGCACTGCCTTGTCTTCTTCTTCTCCTTGTGTGAGACAATGAACGAATATTGATAACTACTTACGTAACAACAAGTATGTGTTTTGAGTGCTGAGACTGAGAGTATACGAGTTACATATTCCTTCCCCATGAATAATTACTTCCCATTCACTCTGCAAACTCAAACTCATTTCTCAATCAATTATTACAACGTTTCGGCAAAATTGCCCTTACCAGGTATGCAATTTTGCCGAAACGAAATAATTGATTGAGAAATGAGTTCGAGTTTGCAGAGTGAATGGGAAGAGAGCGAGTCTGCTCTGAAACCTTTTTCCCATGATTACTTTTTATGGAATATGGGTCTATGACTGCACTCTACCATAAGGGACCATCAGCATATTACAGTAGAATCCTATCACAGCGCCCATCTCTCCCAAGCACTCTGCCTTGATGCCTCGCCTGCGAGGGGACCACACTTGTAGGAGCAATTGTAGTGGCAGAAATGTATGCCACACGGTATTGCCAGACAAACTATACTCCGGCAAATACGGTATGTACCTGTGTCTGTGTGTGTGTGCGTGTGTGTGTGTTTCTGTGTGTGTGTGTGGGGGGGGGGGTTCTGTGTGTGTGTGTGTGTGTGTGTTTCTGTGTGAGCGTGTGTGTGTGTGTGTGTGTGTGTGTGTGTGTGTGTGTGTGTGTGTGTGTGTGTGTGCACAAGTTGCTATGTCTAAACATAGCTGTTCGCTATCATCGCTTCTGCGATGGGCAGGTCTGAGGTGTGTGTGTGTATGTGTATGTGTATGTGTATTTCTGTGTGTGTGTTTCTCTGTGTGAGCGTGTGTGAGCGTGTGTGAGTGTGTGTGTGTGTGCGTGTGCGCGTGTATGTGCACGTGTATGTGCGTGCGTGTGTACGCATGAGTGTACATGTACTTGTGTACATGTGTATTTTGTGTTTGTCCTTAATGAACCCTAGCTCCACAGAAAACGGCTTTTCGGCCAGCAGTAGGTCACCATGGCTCTGTCGAGTTAGAGTTGTTACCATGCCAACAAAGATTCCTGCGCCAAAAGCGACCGCGCCAGCTTGTTGACATCCAAAGGAAGTTTCGTGTTGAGGTAAATACTGAACGTCAATTTATATTCTATTTTTGGTATTTCTCGTTACCTGCCCTCCACAAGATTTGCTGAGGAATTCGGACTATAGTCCATTTCAAAAGTCCAGACCTCTAGTTTCAAAAAACCGTTAGGCCAGCATCTATACCGCAAAAGATCTGTGATCGCTTTGTGCATAAAAATTCCAAAAATGGGAGTTTGTTTTCCAATCGTTAATCGCTTAGAAATTTATATGAGAAAAATTACGTGAGCTGCCTGAGCAATATTCCGAAGAAATTTCTCCAAAAGCTCAAACCAAATTTGAATTATTCGAAAAAGTCTAGAGATCTACACTTTTGAAATGCACTACCGTATTTCCCCGTAAGTTAGTTCTCCCCAATGACTTAGTACCCCCTATAAAAATACACTTTCCACTGCCGAGGTTATCACCCCGAAAGACAGTTCCCCCCGAAAGATAGTAAGTTCGTACCCGTCCTACATGTACAGACACCGTACAGTATATACATCATATGCATGGACACTAGAGTTGCGCAGGCTTCCCGCTGCGTGTTATTTACCCCCGATAAAAAAGTACTCCCCGAAAGATAGCAGTCGATGCGCCAGATTTGAAAAATCACGTCGGAACACGGAGTTCTATTTTTCAGATACACCTTTTTGTGCACTTTTCTCAAGGCATTCTCAAAATATGATCGTTTGCATGTAAGTACGTGCTTGCCAGTCTCACGCTTTCTCGGAGTTAGTAGTCGCCTTTCACCTTTTTCTGTTATGAGTTCTTCAAGAATGACGAAATTCTGTAGGTTGGTGTCGCTATACGTCTTCTTGTCTCTTTTCTTTTTTTCGTCGAAATTTCGTCGCCCGACCTATAATTTCGTGCCACCGAATTAACCAGGCATTTCGCTGCTTCTATGCTGGACATATCGAAAGAGTAAGTCTTTGTGACATTGGAGCGGAAGTTATGTTCTGGCCGAAAAAAGGGCATGCCTCTGGTGACGTGATTTCTAACTCGTGTTTTTACGTATATTTTCCATGCATGTGTGCACAGTTGTCAGCAGCAGGAAGACCCAGCAATGCCACAAGCATGCATACTTGACGACCATGTGGCCCAGAATGCAGCATTTGCTCTAAAGTGCCATCTGACAAGCGATTTACACATGGCTCAATGCGGTCAGATTGGCAAAAGCCACACACATGCACATCCATTACGTCAGACCAATGCATTTGTTGCAAGTGCGTCAAAGCACTACGACGCCAAGTATGCACAGCAACGAAAGAAAATAAGCCACCAGTCAGCCAAAGCATATGCAGTGTACATGATTGCAACGCAGCGGCATCCGTACACTGTCCTGCAGACAAACTGCGCGTGCACAATCTGAAAGAACAGTGCGAACGGTTCTGTGCCCGACCCATTACCAGCAGTGTGTGGGCCATGCAACATGTGCTTGATGTAAGTCGAGGCTCACACCAGAACACAGGTGGAAGCCACCAAACTTTCAGCTCGCAGAGCATGTGTTGCGTAGCATGCACTACGTCAGGATTTCAGACGAGAGTCGATTTTGTAGACGCTGCTACCAAAAGCAAATTGACATGCTCCTTGCTGACAGTGCACCAAGCACAGACCACCAGTTGCGAAGCATCATCTCTCAATACAACACGGAAGGTGCCGAGAGTGATTTTCCCAATATTATAGTCATTGCCGCTACAGCACGTGAATTGCTAGACAAGGGTGCCATATTGTTGACGACAGTGCACGATTTGTATACAGAGACTTTGCACCCAACTGCTGACCCCAAGCCAGCGGCATACGTGCTCGGCAAATTGAAGTTGACCCTGGAGCACCACTTGCACGTCATTCCACCCAAGTCGCGGAAGGATGGCACATTGCTGCTACGCAATGGATGTAATGCTGAGCAGGCACTACATATGATCCTTTCTGCAGAGCGTAAACACAAGATAGAGCAAACACCAACAAAGCTGGAACACCTCACTCTGCCATGCTCACAGCACAATTGATAGCCAGCAACCAAATATTACATGTACTTCACAAGTACACAACATGGGAACCCGTTTACACCAAGTACACAACATGGGAACCCGTTTACACCAAGTACACAACATGGGAACCCGTTTACACCAAGTACACAACATGGGAACCCGTTAACACCAAGTACACAACATGGGAACCCGTTTACACCAAGTACACAACATGGGAACCCGTTTACACCAAGTACACAACATGGGAACCCGTTTACACCAAGTACACGACATGGGAACCCGTTTACACCAAGTACACAACATGGGAACCCATACACACCAAGTTCTATTATCGGGAAATGCCATTATGCTCCTAGCATGCGGCACAAGAAAATTATAGAGCTTCGCCGGCATTGCCTTGATTTTGTCGTAATGTGATGGTGTGTGCGTGTGATGTGTGTGTGTGTGTGTGTGTGTGTGTGTGTGTGTGTGTGTGTGTGTGTGTGTGTGTGTGTGTGTGTGTGTGTGTGTCGATCGGTTGCGGGTTCGATTCCCGACGATTATGGTCACACACGTCTTTCTTCTCTTTCTCAGACTCTTCCTGACTTTTCTTTCATTCTCCTGGGTGGTTACCAACAGCCAGTGTATGCCGGAGTATGTGGTGTGGTGTGTGTGTAGAAAAAAGAAAAAAAGAAAAGAAAAAAAATGGAAAAATGAAAAATAGGGATTCACTGGCCAGAAAAAGTCACTTCAAACAGCTGTGTGGTGGATACCAGGCTAAAAATAGTGGCGGTCAATTCATCAGCCTTGCAAGCTGTTGAATGGTGTAATCCCAGCACAAGTTGCTATGTCTAAAAAACATAGCTGTTCGCTATCATCGCTCCCGCGATGGGCATGTCTGAGGTCTGAGGTGTGTGTGTCATCCGCACAATATTAGCCATCCCTCACAGTCAGCAGCAATCCGATCGCATCACGTCTGCGCAGTTACGTCGTCACTGGGGTGACCCAGTGCCACTCTCTGTTAAGATGCGCCATCGTCGTTTAGAGTGGCTTGGTCATGTGGCTCGGATGTCGGAGGACCGTGTCCCATTGCAGCTGTTGTTTGGTCGTTTGTTGGCTGCGCGCCCCTTCTGCGGTCCCAGGCGCAGGTGGAGAGACGTTGTGGCTACTGACACGAAGTCCATTCCAAACTGGTTTGATTGCGCACAAGACCGGTCAGCTTGGCGAGAGCAGGTTCTGGTTTTTCAGCCTCCTCGGGCAGTAGAGAAATCTGTACTCTGCTCATCTTGCAACCGGGCTTTCTCTCGTCCTCAAGACAAGGCACGGCACAAGTGTTTGGCTGAGCGCCAACTTCCCGTCCACCAACAGTGTGGTTCAGCACAGTGCGTCAGTTGCTGCCGATGGTTCCGTAGTAAGGGTGGGCTTGCAGTTCATCGCTGCCAGCCTGCACTCCCTGATCATGCAGATACGGCATTGACGGCGTCTCTCGCTAGTTGCTGCTTTCAGCATTGTCAACGCTGCAATCGCTGCTTCAAGTCCCGGGCTGGTTTTAACCGCCATAACTGCAACCGTGGAAAACGTCTTGCTGCAGGCGATAGGGAATCACTGCCGCTGATCTGCATGCATTGCCCGAAGCGTTTCCGACGACAGCAAGATTTGACGAGGCACCAGAAGTCCTGCCAATGACGGTGCCCTCCAAACTCTGGCCCCCTCCGGGCTCCGGGGGTGACATTGCCCAATGGGCAGTCATGCTATAGTAGTAGTAGTAGTAGTGTGTGTGTGTGTGTGTGTGTGTGTGTGTGTGTGTGTGTGTGTGTGTGTGTGTGTGTGTGTGTGTGTGTGTGTGTGTGTGTGTGTGTGTGTGTGTGTGTGTGTGTGTGTGTGTGTGTGTGTGTGTGTGTGTGTGTGTGTGTGTGTGTGTGTGTGTGTGTGTGTGTGTGTGTGTGTGTGTGTGTGTGTGTGTGTGTGCATTGGGGGGTCAATTCACATGGCTTCGCCAGTTGTGTGGATTAGACAGTTATCTGGCGCTTGTCTTGATCTGTTTCAATCAGAATCAGATCCGCTATCGTTGCTATAAAGAGAAAATCTTTGGGTGCACATCCAGTGCATTTGCAGATTTGCGTGCTTCTCTTGCGACGGGCGTATACATGGTACATGGTGTGTGTGTGTGTGTGTGTGTGTGTGTGTGTGTGTGTGTGTGTGTGTGTGTGTGTGTGTGTGTGTGTGTGTGTGTGTGTGTGTGTGTGTGTGTACATTACATATTGCCCTATCAAAAATATATAAATGAACTCGGATGGCGAGCCAATGTAATCATGGATAAAAAGAATAAGGACAAAATGTTACGAGTTATGACTAACTGTCCACTATGTACCAATGTAGCTAGATCATATACAGTCGGCGAGTGCGACAAAAGGCACAGACTGACAGGGAATACTAAGACATACAACGATCAAATAATATTCAAGTTAATTTTGAAATGTCTATAATTTCGTGCCGTCGGATTAACCAAGCATGCAACGAAAGGAAAGGTATACACGCTTAGACATATATTATTAGGCAATTATCTGCACCAACCTGCATTCCTGCCGAAGCATCATGTCGGGTGTGGTGGGTCGGCATTCCAACGTATCTCCACACACAAGGAAAATCGTGAAGCGAGAATTCCCTTGTCTACAACTGGCAAAGTGTTCACTTGACACTCAAGTTGAAATTTCTAGATACCAAGCTAATAGGAGCAGACTTCAGGACATTTGTCGCACTCGGGAATCGTCAGTTCGACTACAGGGTTGGTTAGACACAAGAAATAGAGCTGACATCTTCATCTTTACCAACACAGTTCACCACATAAACTTTCGCGCGAAAAAAATAAAAAGACCCACTCAGCTGGCTTGGCGCATCGACTGATAGCACCATCCCCGAAAGTTAGTACTCATGTGGCTGCTAAGTTCGAAAGTTAGTACGTACTAACTTACGGGGAAATACGGTATATATGTAGAGTTGTTGTTGTTAGCCATACACACCTTAAAATTGTTTTGCTTGTCAACCGCTTGCTTTTGTCCCTTTTGACTAGGGGTGAAACGGTTCGGGTAAGGAACCGGTTTTGGAACCGCCAGCTGAAAAGAATCGGGTACCCGTTCCGTCAAATTTCGAACCGAAACTCGAAAAATCTCGTTCTCTTACAAATGCATGTACGCGTCAAGTCTACTCAATATTTTACCTTACGATCACCGCTCTTCCAAGGACCAAAGGGTTCTCCTGGTCATTATCTTCTTCGCACGTGGACTCTCCGATGTCTCGCTCTTGTTCGTAAACATGTTTTCAAAAAAAAATTATTGTCACGAACACATTTTGTTGAATCAAACCAAAGGTTCGAGCTGTCAAGCTCTCTAGCTCTTTTCTGTATCTGGAGAAAAGAGTACATGGAACCGATACCCGAACCGTGGAAAACTATGCTGGTGTTAGGGTACCCGGACATGAAAAACATGGAACCGTTTCACCCCTACTTTTGACATCGCCAATGTGCACAGGAGTCCAATGTGCACAGGAGTCCAATGTGCACAGGAGTCCAATGTGCACAGGAGTCCAATGTGCACAGGAGTCCAATGTGCACAGGAGTCCAATGTGCACTGGCCAGTATAGAGCTGTACTCCCTTCTTGCGACTCTGGGAAGGGGGGGGGGGGAATCTTCTAAAAAAATCTTAAATACTCCTGCATGCTTTATGCCCACTCCTAGACAACCAAACATGATCATTATTTCCTGTCCCAAGTACACTTGTTACTTTAAACTGTGGCAGAACATACGCACATATTCAAGGCCTCGTCGTGCACTTCTTGGCTTGGGTGATGGTCCTGTACTGGTGAAGCAGTAGCGCACGCGGATCGGCTGTACAGATACACTGGGCTACATACTATAGCAATATCTCTTGTCTTGCTCCTCTGTCTTTTCGTGCCACCTTGCAGATTATCTTCTCCGATGACTGGAGTATAGTTGGGAAAGGAGGCAAAGTAGCCAAGGCAAAGGACGCCGTGCAAGGACTCGTCCAGTCTCTACCGGTGCAATCGGTACGGTGTCCAATACGATCGTGCACTCAGTACTTGTAGTAACCTCCGATTTCCGAAGCAACTCAAAGTCGAGTTCAGAGCCAAACACTGTTACGTTGTTCTCACTTGTATTAGCTATTTGGGGGGGGGGGGGGTGCTGCATCGTGTATGAGTACATGAACTTGCGAACCGTGATGAATGCATTATTTTCTCAAGGTTAATTCAGTCCGGGCAATTGCTTTTCTGTCTCTCCCGACATTACCGTCGCTCTCCATGCTCCTGTATCTGTTACGTGGCATGACAGCGTTGCGACTGTACCTCTTGTTTTCCACAGATGATCGTTGGGCAGAAACAAAGCTTCCTGGAGCAACACTTGCTCAAGCACTTCAACGAGCTACGCAGCGTCATCGAGGAGGTCAATGATGCTGTGCTCATCGTGCCTACGTTTGGACTAGAGCTGGACGAGGACGGTGTGTTCCATGGGTATGGACGCGGCGGTGGTGGCCGGTCAGCCACCGAGCCAGGTGGCAGACGTGGCGGCGCACACACTGGAGCGGGTAGGGACCAGTCCAAGGCCGACTACACTATCACGTTCATGGCCGGCGATGACGCTATACTGAGGAACGTTGTGGATCGCGTGAGTGCAGTTTTCACTCTTCACTGTGTACAGTGTGCATGGGATACTTGCCAAGTCAATCACACTGTGCTAGCCCGGGCAGATGGGAGCTAAGGATGTTGGCATTGAGCACGCCTCGTAGAACCTTGGAATGATAGAACCCCACAATTGCTACATGCAGACCGGAATACCGTAAAGTCGCGGATAAAAGCCGGGCTTATAAGCATATAAGCCGCTTTCTGCATCAGGCTTTAATGCAAACCAGGCTTGTATGCAAACCATGCTTATATGCACCACTGATATTTTTGCCACGCGTAGATCTACCACTGACTACCATGGCGGCAGTTTTACTATGCACCGTACACAGCGCATGCACTCTTGACCTACCCGATCCGCGCTTGCATAGAATCCAGGCTTCAACGCGCGACAGGCTTATATGCATTTGACCCGTTTGATTTTCAGGCTTCTATCCGCGATGTGCTTGTATGCAAACCCGGCTTTTATCCGTGACTTTACGGTAATCATTTTTTCACTGTTGGCTATAGTCGAATCATGTGAAAGTACCCTGCCGTTGTGGGTAAAATGCCCATCCTATGGTATTATTGCTCTCCCACCGACTTCAGATGTGTGCATCAAACTAGTCAGCATTGCGCTGAGTAGCTAGGTATGGTTGCTTGTGTTGAGTTAAAAAAGGAGTCGTCATCCCAGACACAAAGGAACAACTTGGGACAGGCACTAGTAGTGGGAAGACGTTTATTATAGACAGAGAGACGGAGAGACAGACGAACTAAACGACTACATTATTAAAGAGAGAAAAGAGAGTTTGAGAGAGCAGTGCAAGATAAAGGCCCTGGGTAGCTATGGCAAATATGGGCACGCAAGTAGCTACCCAGGCCAATGGAACAAAATATGAGTATGTACGGGGTGCATACAGCATTACAGGCCAGCTGGAAAAGGTTGTAGAATGTACGGGAGGAGGTCCCTAACACTTGTCTCTCTTCCCATAGTTTGCTTCCTACCCCTGTCTACTCCATTTTCCTGCGAATGCAGATCAACGAAGTTGACGGCAACTGTGCCTATGCGTCCATCAAGGTGACCCGCGACGACGGCCAAAAGATCATCGACGCGAAGAAAGCCAACAGACTGCGGCCATACCTGCAGCGCGCCAATATCAAAGTCAGCGGCGGTACTGTGCACATCAATGCCATGTCCCGCTCTGAAGTCAACCAGACGGCAGCAGAAGTGCAGGTATACTCATCATGTACATGTACATGTGTATATACATGGCTACGTGTTGCGGCGCTCACGCTTTTGCCATTATGCTTTCACTTTGCCAGTGTGCATGCATGCTGTGTGTGCACGTGTGCATAATCGTGTGGCTGGGGATTTTGTGGCTGAATTGTGTGGCTGGGAATTATGTGGCTGGGGATTGTGTGGCTGGGAATGCGGCGACCGGAGTAACTGATTCTAAAACTGGGTGGTGCTGGGCAGTGTTGTGATCTCGAATTAACTTGTCAGTCGCTGAACTGATTGTATTCGAAAGAAGACGTTAACGTATACTTACAGTGTGTGAAAAATAGTATAGCGTGACCGTGTGTGTGTGTGTGTGTGAGAGAGAGAGAGAGAGAGAGAGAGAGAGAGAGAGAGAGAGAGAGAGAGAGAGAGAGAGAGAGAGAGAGAGAGAGAGAGAGAGAGAAGAGAGAGAGAGAGAGAGAAAGAGAGAGAGAGAGAGAGAGAGAGAGAGAGAGAGAGAGAGAGAGAGAGAGAGAGAGAGAGAGAGAGAGAGAGAGAGAGAGGAGAGAGAGAGAGAGAGAGAGAGAGAGAGAGAGAGAGAGAGAGAGAGAGAGAGAGAGAGAGAGAGAGAGAGAGAGAGAGAGAGAGAGAGAGAGAGGCATGAGAGGGAGAGGCATGAGAGGGAGAGGGAAAGAGGGAGAGCGAGAGGAAAAGTAAGAGGGAGAGGGAGAGGTATGCAGTTGGTTGCTCAAACGATCATGACAGGCAAAATACAGATTTACAAACAGTCTGTTTTTTGGTCCTGCGTCCTGTTGAGTGGGCACTGGTGCAATACTAGAATTGCTATGGCCAAGTTTCCACTGTGACATCACTACCAATACCTCCATCCTCCAGGAGTGAATGTGTTTGTGCGTGTGTGTGCGTGTGTTGTGTGTGTCTGTGCGTGTTTGTCTGTGCGTGTTTGTCTGTGCGTGTTTGTCTGTGCGTGTCTGTGTGTACACATGTGTACTATATATGTGTCTTTGCGGCGTGGTGCAACCCCGGCCCATGGCAATGCTATCTGCATTGCTGCAGGCATTCATCTCGGGGCTGGAGGCCGTGCAGGAAGAGTTTGACTTTGACGACCATGCAATCGGCCATCTGACAGTTCTGTCCCACATGCCACGCATTGAACGCATGGCCACACAGCACGGCGTGCACGTGAATACCGTGCGACAGAACAGACACTCTCCATCTGATCGTCGCGAGAAAGCCAGCCTGGTCATCAGCGGTGAACGCGGGAATGTAAGGCAGTTCAGTGACGTCCTCCGAATGGATGCCAAGGAAATGGCCCGATCCACCACCGTAGATCAGGTAAGACATCTATACAGGATACACACAGTTTTTACCTGGGAGTAGTAAAATATCTACTCCCGGTGTTTTGCCTACAGTGTGCAGACCGTGCATCACCACCGCAGACCAGCAATATTGTAGATTGCTGTTGATTTGTTGACCAGGGTGTTATGGCAACGAAGTTGGGGCCAAAGAGAAAGTTTATTTCTTTCCATGCGAATATTATACAGTGGCCATTTTTCCAAAAACCGATTTATATTCACAAAAACGCATGTACGAAGTCACTACAGCGTAACTCGCACATCTGTGGTGCTTCTTTTTTTTTTTTTGAAGTACCGGAGCACATCTGTGGTGTGCTAACCATGTACATGTACCAGAGTATCTGTGGTGTGGTGGCCATGTACCACCGGCAATGCCTCATAGTCACCATTTTGCCTCAGTTTTGTAGCAGTGCCTATGACGGCCATTTACCAGTGTGTTGACTGGACGACACCGTGACTGACTATACATGAGCTACATGCCCGTTGACGTTGAAAAGCAGAGTTGCAGCTGTGCTTGTTGCTGGCCATCCACCCGCTGACAGTGACTAGTCTGAACTTGGATAGTAAATACTAAATATCCCTGTGACACGCTAACATTGATGGTTATACACACAGTCGGCCTATCGTTTGTGTGTGTGCGTGTGTGTGTGTGTGTGTGCGTGTGCGTGCGCGTGTGTGCATGCACGTGTGTGTGTGTGCATGTGTGTGTGTGTGTGTGTGTGTGTGTGTGTATGACCTCACTCGACACTCGAGTTCTGTTCCCCGTGACTGAAACACTGTCGGTCCTTTCGGGACCTGCCATCATCTGCGGATGGGCATTATTGTATTGTATTGTATTGTATTGTATTGTATTGTATTGTATTGTAGTGTATGTGTGTATACGTGTGTATACGTGTGTATACGTGTGTGCATGGGTGTATGTGTGATGGTAATGCTGCGGTATAGTCAGCCTAACCCGTCGTTCAGCAGCCAGAATAATTATATCGAACAGTGTTGGTAGTTGGTTTACCAGGTAGACGGTTTCTTGCCACTTTGTGCTGAATGGGAGAGTAGCAGTCTGACATCTGCCTGGTGGAATGACCTATACCGGCAGTGTCTCAACTACTCAGTCTATTACATACTTATGCTTGCCGAATGTTAGACTAGAAACAGACCGTCTGATTAGGTTGGCCTCATCATCACCACGAATATGGATTGTCAAAGACGTATTTGTAGGCATCAGTGCAACTTCTTCGTGTTTCTGTCTCCTTTTCCTCCGCTCCGCTCCCCGACTAGGTCCGTGTGAATGGGCTCGAGACGGTGATTTTGACGGACTACCTTTCAGACATCGTCAGCCTGGAGGTGAACTGTGGCGTGGTCTTCTCCTGGGATGACAGCCTCAACCTGCAGCCTGCAACTGATAAGAACAGCAGTCTGAGTAGATCTACTTCTGGCAGTGCTGGTGCTGGTGCATCTAAAACCACTGGCTGCTGGGAGTGGAAAGATGATGACGGGTGGAAGCCATATCCTGCAAACGTCTCGGCTAGCCTTGATCGGCTGCTTTCGAGCCGTTCGAAAGGAAAACTTCAAACCCACGGGAAGGAGTAAGAGCTGTTCTTTTGAATTGTTTTTGAGGACTCTATGCATTGGTGATAGCTTTTAAACACATACTGGTCCTAGAATGACTCCCATTTTCCTTCTGGGGGGGGGGGGGGGGGGGGGGGGGGTCAACCATTATATTGAAAACTTAGCTGAGGGCATTCCTTTGGCAGACTAGAAACATGGCATAGGCATTCTTCTCCACTGATGACAAAGAATGTCCCGGCTGCAGACCATTCAACATACAAATGTGCACCAGCTGACCACGTACCCGTGACTAGCCAGAACACTATTCGCAGCCATAGCAACTGACGGAAGTTTGTTCTCCTGTTATTGTCACACCTTACATGGAGCCGTCTTTTCCCAATAATGATGTCGAGCAAAAAATGCGCTGATAAAGAAAACTCAGTGCAGCAAAAATCTCCCAAGTGAATTTCCCGTGACACGATAGCCACATGACTGTAGCGGAATACAAAGAATTTTGCTGCTGAACTATATTTACGCTGACTGGGCGTGCCTTTCGGGTGCAATTGCTGAACTATATGGGAGATGGACTTGGATGGAGAGCCAAGGATTAATTTATAAGAAAGAAAAAGGACCAAGGAACTACAAGTTGCGCTATAATGTCCACTAGCACCACCAGTTACTAAACAATCAGCTCATGCGATAACATTGCACGACACTGACCGACGACACTGATGTCGTCGGGGGGTTTTAATCCCTCGCACGATAGCCCTTCCGATTACTCTCTTATACATCACACGCACGCCACACTCAGAGGACAGATTATTTTCGTCTTACTCCAAGGAGAGTCTCAGGAAGAAGGCACCCAAAAACAATCAGGATGCGCACGATAAGCATGCACGCATGCGCAACCTGCACGTGCCAAAAGGGGCACACACGTGCCAAAAGGGCAGGGACAACATATTTCCACACACAAAAAAAATGCATCCTCTCCTGAGGATGGGAGAGAAAAAAAACAAAACGAGAAGACAGACAGGAGAAGAAGAAATCAAATGTGAACAACATACACATGCAGATACGCAGGGCCAAACAGTAGGATACATTAGTAACTCCGGACAACGGGGGAAAAGCCAAAGCAAAGGGGTGGAAACAAAACAGACTGGGCCCACCCATAGAGGGAACCGCCATCTTTCAGGCGTGGGCCCCCGGAAAACAACCACCTCGCCCTGGTGCGAAGCCAAGGCAAACCGACGCTACTGCGAAGACCGCGGCAGCTGAACCGGGTGACCAGTCATCTGACAGCACAGGAGTTGTCCGGAAAACCATCGCGCAGCCGATGGGGCTACGAAAACTCACAGAGACACACACAGAAAGAAAGAAACACGGACTGACGCAAACATCTCAGCAATACTAGGAGCCAAAATTCAGACAAGAAAAACCACAAGAAGGAATGGCAGAACAGCAACATTGAACACGCCTACGGATACAGGGGCAGTCTATCCATGAGGACACCAGATAGCACACAAACAAATCGGTCACCAATACGCAAACAAAAATTAACATAGAAAAACACAGGGCGCTACCCTGAATAACCACAGGCATCTAACCTGAAAAAACCACAGGTCTCTAACCTGAAAAAAACCCACAGGGATTGAACCTGAATATCACGCGTGAAACACATCCGCTCACGAAACACAAAAAAAACACCGTCCTGAACCCTACTGGGACGCACAAAGGCCAGCCAGCAAAACACGGAAACCGAACACCCGCAAGGCGAACCGATACAAATAAGCGCTGGATCCCACCAGCCCACCAGGCAGACCGTGGCTCACCATGATCGGACGCCCCCCTAGGTGAAATGAAGAGACCCACGTGCCAAAACACAAATACCAAACAACACACTCACAGAAATATTGCCACCCGGACCGTCAACGAGAATCTCAGAAGCATGTTACACCACTGGGCGTCAGCCATTCCACATGAGCGGGACAACCAGGCGGAGCACTAAAACGCTCGACACAAAACATGAATACTAGTAAAACGAAAAAGAAAGCACTTGTACTTGAAACTGGAAACGACGGAGTGCCACCACATCGAGTAAATCGATGGGGACATCTACCAAACTGAAACAAATCGGACGACACAGGATCGGAGCAGTCCGACGACACCGAAACGACGTGCACCAGTGCACAACACAGGGCGAGTAAGCAAACACGAGCAAAGCTACCCATGCTGACTACCATGATGACGTACCAAGCAACACGATGAGCATGCACGACAGCACGGACAACAAACTTTCAAGTCAGAAGGTGTGAAACACAGTGCACACGACCACTCGAACAGCCAGAGGCCGGAGGGCGACAATGTACACTGGTTCAAAACACCGCACACACAACGTGGGCCACAATCATGTACTAACAGGAGCGAGGCTCGAACGAGGTACTCGTACACAAGAGAACAACCCGGGACTTCAATGCCACGAAGCGAAACAATTATTTTGAAAATCCCAAATCGAAGACTAGTACCAGGAGAACTACGTACAAGGTACCAAACATTACGCAGGGCAGACAAAGCATGCTCACCTGAGTAGGAGCTCCGAGGACAGGGTTGAGCAGATGGAGCAAAGCGGAGCCATGGCGAGGACGCGTGGAGAAGACAAGATTTGAAGCCACGGCGAAAACGAAAACGATCTCAGGGTCGTGGGAAACGATGCCACTAGCTGGGCGCCAATTGTCGTCGGGGGGTTTTAATCCCTCGCACGATAGCCCTTCCGATTACTCTCTTATACATCACACGCACGCCACACTCAGAGGACAGATTATTTTCGTCTTACTCCAAGGAGAGTCTCAGGAAGAAGGCACCCAAAAACAATCAGGATGCGCACGATAAGCATGCACGCATGCGCAACCTGCACGTGCCAAAAGGGGCACACACGTGCCAAAAGGGCAGGGACTCAGTCGGTAGAGCATGAGACTCTTAATCTCAGGGTCGTGGGTTCGAGCCCCACGTTGGGCGCCAATTGTCGTCGGGGGGGGTTTAATCCCTCGCACGATAGCCCTTCCGATTACTCTCTTATACATCACACGCACGCCACACTCAGAGGACAGATTATTTTCGTCTTACTCCAAGGAGAGTCTCAGGAAGAAGGCACCCAAAAACAATCAGGATGCGCACGATAAGCATGCACGCATGCGCAACCTGCACGTGCCAAAAGGGGCACACACGTGCCAAAAGGGCAGGGACAACACTGACGTTCTACACCTAACTGGCTAACGTGCAATGTTATCGCATGAGCTGATTGTTTAGTAACTAGTGGTGTTAGTGGACATTATAGCGTAACTTGTAGTTCCTTGGTCCTTTTTCTTTCTTATAAATATATGGGAGATTCTCATGATTTATTAAAAGAAAGCTAAGCGAAACACAAGCACACTCTGGAAGGCCGCGTGAAGCTCTTTTGCCGCATGCTTGTGTTTCAAGTTGATCAAGTGCTATGTGTATGTGTATAGCGTACCGTTGAATTCTTGGTCACACTAGCAAATCCAATTGCCAGTGCCAGCTATAATAGTGTTAGTATGTGTGGTGGGTTTAGTTCCAGTCACAGTCCAGACTGCTGGCATCAACACTTCACCATTACACTGTAGAGCACCTTGTTCACACTCGTTGCATTCCAGCAGCGTGTCTCTAGTGTTGCTGCACAGTTTTCTCCATGCCTGACCAAGGTACATTGTGTATTCTCCATGCCTGACCAAGGTACATTCTGGATCCAATGACGGGGAAGCAGATCAATCAGCAAACTGGATTTCAGCGTGACATTCGCCAGCGACCAGTGTCGGGCAGGCAAACCGCTCAGTGGCAGTTTCAAAACGACTCGGGTATGCTACATACCAAGTACATGTATAGCACTGCAAGAGGTACACGAAAGGAAGTAAAATAGGGCTTTTACTTCCTTTTGTGTACCTCTTGCGTACTACGCTCTGCCCATTACGGGCATTTGAGCACTATTGCAGGTTAAAAGGCGCACTGCCTCTGTGTATAGCACTGCAAGATATGCAAATTGCACTCTGCCCTCAGGAACATGCATACTGACTAAGATCTCTGCAAGTTGCTTAATTGAACTAGAAGACTGCACATATTATTTATTCAGTTGTATTCGAAGCATACTAAAATGTGTTGATTCCATTGCGGCATTTTCTTGACGGGATTGAGTGGAATAGTATGACTGCTAGGAGGCATGGGGCGCGGACCGATGGCGACGGTGAGGAGAGATCGATTTTCAAGATGTGACAGAACTGTTTGCAGCGAAACAGAGTGTGTAATAGTCAATGAATGTATATCTTGCTTGGCATGCTGGTGCACCAGTAGCCAGCAGTCAGTAGAGGGGGCAATAATAACAGTGTCTCGTTCATATAATCTACTTGCATCATTATGTAACGGTGTGTGTGCGTGTGTGCGTGTGTGCGTGTGTGCGTGTGTGTGTGTGTGTGTGTGCGTGTGTGTGTGTGTGCGTGTGTGCGTGTGTGAGTGTGTGTGTGTGTGTGTGTGTGTATGCGCGCGTGTGTTTATGGTTGTGTGCTCCAGGTGGTTTCACAAACTACTCCCATGATCTGAATGCTGAGCTTGAAACGGCGAACGGACAGCTTTCCCGGTTCACGATAGTTCATAATCGTATGCAGTACACCATTGATTTCACCAGCATGAAGCAAACGAACAAGACCACTGGTACAGTTCGCCGCATTCAGCGAGTGTTGTCTCAATCGCCGGGGGGTCGTAGGGAAACCGGTGCATTGCCATCAGCGTTCGACCCGTTCAAGGACGGACGGCTCGTCAACACGGGCGCCGTGCGCATACACGGGGATCGGCAAGCAGTCCAGACTGCTAAGACCGACCTGGCTCGTGTCTTGAACGACAGGATTGTCGACCAAGAAGTAAGATTTCAAGAGAGATTACAGCCTGCCCAGTGCTCTCTGTGCGATGGGTAGATCGGCTTGCAGTTCCACGCGACTGTGCAACGGTACTACAGTTGCACTCGGTGAAATCCGACCCGAAATTCAAAGCTGCAGCGCCCTGGACCAGTTCCGATTACATGACTGTATTAGCACATGTGTACGTACAGCCGCATTTGTGCCACTGCCAGGGCACCGAGGTCTGTGCAAGTTGTTGGCACCACATATGCCCTCTGGGTCGGATTTCACCGAGCGCAACTGTACTAGTACATCTCAGTGGGATGTTTGGAACCAAACAGACCTTCACCAGTATTCAGCAACTATTCCACGGAGTGCGGAAAGCAGGCCTCTCGTGACGGATGGCAGTTTTCTGCACTGAACACAGGGGATCTGACTGCATGCGGAGGCATGGTTTGGTAACTGTGAGATCTCAGTACGCCGGTGATCCCTAATACACGTTTCTGGTCCAGCAAGGAATCAATCAAAACCTCTTGTGCATTGTCGAATTACAATCAGTCTAAAGCTCTTTCAAGTAAATAACTCCTTGACGTGTGTACAGCACAAGTGATCTCTCAAAACAGAAATGATTTCAATTTTTTTGAGTCTCACCAGTGTCAGAGGGGGTAGTAGGCCGCAGCCAGATGTGAACCGGAATGCAGAAGAAAACTAGGAGCAACAACATGGGACAGAGCCACAGGAGGAAAGAATGAGTACGTTCGGCTAACAGAAATAGGCTAGGACAAACACCACTTGAGACCGTCAGATAAATTTATCTGGACCGAGCCAGCCGGGGGAAAAAACCCTCGCGCCGACGGATGCATGAATGAGGAAAAACCGGGTGTATAGCCCCAAGTGGCAACATGGCAGCATGAAAACAGGCACAACATATCTACAGCCAAAAAGAAAGCGGGAAGAAGATGCACAGCCGTTAAGGGTGGGAGGGCGGGGACACTAGTGGGACTCAAAAAACTGACTGAAGAAGTCAGGCAAAAAACAGCAACAAAAGATACAAACATCAGACGCCATATTTGCAAGAGGAAAAATTTGTTGGGCGAGAAATCATTTCTCACCTATCTCGCTCCGCTTGGCTGGCGAGAAATAAAACTTCTCGCTCCACATGATACACTTACATACCAACATAGACACAGACAACAGAGGCAGGAGCACACAAAGTGAAGGGTAGTAGGCCGCAGACAGATGAAACTCGGAAAAAGCATAGCGCGGTTAGAAGAGCAGTGGAGGGAGGGAGAAGGTAGGAGGATTGACAAAAGAGAGAACAAGAGACAGGCAACAGTGCACAATGGAAACAAAGAGTTCAGAGTCCAAGGCACTGGGAGACCAGAAGACGATACTCAGTGGAATCCTCCTCATAGCCATCTTTGGCGGCATCACTCCTCCAACCGCTATGCACCTTGAAGAGCCTATCTGGAACTGCGGTTATGGCCGCAGTTGACGCACCACCAGAGCAGAGGCTGTGGAGACCGAAACGGGCAGGGTCCTGTCTGATTCCCTGGAGTAGCAGCAGCCGTACCTTCTCCAAGGCCCGTGAGTATGACAGCGGCGTGCTGCGAACTTGATCAGGCAACCCGGGAACCCCGAGAGATCTTACCAAACAGAACTTGGTTCTCACTGTGGCGGCCCTGGCAAAGGAACCGGCTGAGGAGGCTGACAGGGCAGTACAGTACTCCGATGGGGAGCGGGCATTCAGTACCTCATGCCCGGCCTCCCGTAGCTGGTCGTGCTTGCGACACGACACACATATTGCAGCGTAAGTGGACGTGAAAGTCATCCGGTGAACCCGGATCTGATGCAGTTCGTCCCAATGCAAGAACGAACAGAAGCCCACCACAATGAGGGTGAGGGTCTGGAGGGTGTCCAAGTCGACGTCGGGTGTCAGAAACTGGTGGACCAGGGACTTGACCATGTCCGGTGACAGTGGCTGTTTCTTCGAGGCAGGCGTAACGAGGAGGCGCTGGCAGCTGAGGTAAACCTGTGACACGATCGGAGAGCTAGTGACGGGTCGAATCCTGACTTCTCGTGTGCTCAATTGATGGCACCGATGGCGGAAACGATCGGGGACACGGTGTGGGCTGATTGGAGAAGATGCATCATCTACAGAACAAGGTCGGCGGGCCTGACGGGAAGGACGGGTAGATCGTAGTGAGACGCCCAGTCCGCGTAACGGCCCCAATGCACCTGAGTACATCTGGCTATGGCCTACTACCCCTCACTTTGTGTGCTCCTGCCTCCGTTGTCTGTGTCTATGTTGGTAGGTAAGTGTATGTGGAGCGAGAAGTTATATTTCTCGCCAGCCAAGCGGCCACACACGCTTTTACCTTAATGGCAGCCACGCATGGTTCACCCTAGAGGTGGCCACGTCGGTTTCACCATAACGGATGCCGGAAATGCATGCTAGTGCTGTTCAGTGGATTGAGTCGTGGCTGTCATCATTGCGGCTATCTGTTCGTACATGATTACCTACTACCATGCATACCGTATACTAGGAGCCCTGTGAGTAGTAAGATTATAGCTCACGAGTTAAGTGGGTTTTACGATATTGGATTTTCTGCTCTCTCTCTCTCTCTCTCTCTCTCTCTCTCTCTCTCTCTCTCAGATGCCTCTACCGTGTAGTATGACAGCTGAGCTGGGCGCGAGCCTTTCCGACCTTTGCTGCCGGTGCGTCGTGACCATGGAGATAGCCGCATCATCGTCATCAGCAGTGGCTGCGTCTACACCAGGTACTAACTGCGTCACAAATAGTAGGTGATCTAACCCGGTGTGTTGTATGCTGAGATGTCGATGCTAGGATAGGGCGGAGGATTAGGCGCTAGGCCAGTCGCTGCGTGTTTTGTGTGCTTACGGTTTCAAACTTCAATTTTCATTTCTCTATTTTCATTTTTTTAATGAAGTAGTATGTCTCCTGATGAAAACACCATTTCATCAGGAGACACACTTGTGCATAATCCTATAGAGAAAACGGGGGGGGGGGGTAGCTGACATCGACACAAGACATGAGGCAAGGGGTGAAGGGTGAAGGGTACCCAAGGACCAAGGAGTGAAGGGCACCCAAGGACCAAGGGGTGAAGGGCACCCAAGGACCAAGGGGTGAAGGGCACCCAAGGACCAAGGGGCGAAGGGCACCCAAGGACCAAGGGGTGAAGGGCGACAATGGGCATTACTGTGGACACGGGGTTACATGTGGCATTGCTGGGAGTAACCACCGGGTGATGAAGATTATTGTCTGTCTGTTTGCCGGTGCACTGTTACCATGGTTACATTGCAAGCAGGTAAGAAGTCCATTGTCATCAAAGGTACACAGAAACGAGTGGATGAAGCTACACGCAAACTTCTGCCCATGGTCAGTTGTGTTCTCTCTGTTGCATCTCTGTTGTTCTGCCTGCCTGCCTGCCTGCCTGCCTGCCTGCCTGCCTGCCTGCCTGCCTGCCTGCCTGCCTGCCTGCCTGCCTGCCTGCCTGCCTGCCTGCCTGCCTGCCTGCCAGCATGCCTGCCTGCCTGCCTGCATGTGGAATGTTTAGAAGAGCATCAGCGGTCTTCTAGTAAAAGTTATATTAGACCCCACAACTCAGTCTAATAGTTGAATAGGTTTTATTCCCGTAGCTATGCAGAAGACGTTACTTCAGTAACGTCTGGCGCTAGCCAGGGTCCACACAGCTTTAATTTGGTGTTTGTTTGTTTGTTTGTTTGTTTGTTTGTGTCACGGCTGGAGCTATCCCGTATCTGTGACTACAAAGGCTCTACAGGATTGTACATAACAGCTGTCCACAATATTTGCGGGCCCCTGTATCTGTCCCGTACCGTACCAATATTCGTCGTATTATATATACGACTCCCTGATGTAGAGGGAAATTTGGAAAGAAATAGGGAGACGTGGAGGAAATTAAATTAGAATAGACGCCGAATAGGTGATAGGATGCGTCAGCATAAACATACATGTACTTTGGAAGAGAGATCCCGTCGTCTCCAAAATAAGCGTGAACGAGCGATTCAGCGCCGGTCACAGGAAACGTCGGAAGAGAGATCCCGTCGACTCCAGAACGCCCGTGATCGGCAGAGTCCGCCGGTCCCAGGCAACGTCAGGACAGACATCCCGTTGAGTCCAGAACGCCCGTGATCGGCAGAGTCTAAGCCGGTCCCAGGAAACGTCAGGACAGACATCCCGTCGAGTCCAGAATGCCCGTGATCGGCAGAGTCAGCGCCGGTCCCAGTAAACGTCAGGACAGACATCCCGTCGACGCGCAGAAAAACTAAACCTGCAGCCTATTTTGCCGTCGGACAGGATACGTATTTTAGGAGGCTGTAAAGTTATGTATTGTCCAAATTTCGACGTGAGCAGCAGGTCACTCGCGATGATTTTTCGACGTGCGAGCAAAATAACGCGAGCTGAACTTTCGCGTCGCAGACATCCCGTCGACGCGCAGAAAAACTAAATCTGCAGCCTCTTTTGCCGTCGGACAGGATACGTATTTTAGGAGACTGTAAAATTATGTAATGTGCTCCACAGGCAACCATGCATTCGGCGTCGTCATTGGCTCAACAGGTCAATGTACATGTATTACTACAAAAAGGCTAGAAAATCCGATTACTGTATTAAAATCAACTAATTTTCGCTGGCGATTTAATTTCGCTGATTTCGCCGCTTGGTACCAACCGGCCAAAGTAAATCGCAGGCCAAAGTTTGTCATAATTATAGGCAAATGATGCATGATTGAGCAATGGATGCATGTGAGAGCAAAAATACCGATCGATTTCAAATTTGACGTGAAATTGCGCGTCACGTCGGAAATAACGTGCATCTTAACCCCTCTAATAGAGAGGTTTATATTTCTCATCGGCCAAAATTTGTTGATTTACAGTATAAGGAGATAAAAAGAAAAGAAGGAGCAAACCAAAAGTAGATGATTATTAGAGAAATAACAATCCACAATAAATTCTGCAAATACTTTTGCCTAACTCATAATATTCAAACCGATTGAAACGTTTTTGCAATACAGTGATGGGGCCAATCAACGGAAAAAGACATTTCCATCAGTTCTTATAACATGTACGATGAGCTAGGCAAAAAAGCATAAAAGCATAGCGTAGGGCCCTGAGCTTCCAAGCTCTCTCGTTTATGTTATGATAAACTAAGGCGATCGATCACAACGCATTGTTAATTCTGGAATGTGTAAATCTACGACTTCAATCTGCTGCTAAAACTACTGAGGAAGAACGTCTCGAGGAGATTAGTCAACCTTCTACGGCCGAGGTAAAACCAAGACTAACCGTGACTAGCCGCAGTGAATTCGTAAGCTAACACGGAATGACAGCGGCGAGCAGCAATACGGTGTTCTGTCCCCGGGGAAAATCGCGGTTCCGCGGCCGCGTTTTTTTCCGCGTTTTTGCGAATTTTCAAAAGGCCTCGTTTTCCGCGATTTTCTCCGCGTTTTGAACTTTTTTGTTGCACTACACGTACACACAGTGCACTGTTCGGTCAGCAACGTCTCATCATGGCGGCTTTGTACTCAAATATGACGAGCTTACACCAAAGACTTGTAACTGATTGATTTCACTACATACTCACTGGAAATTGCCTCATATCAACTGCAAACTTGCCGAATATGAATAATATTCACCGCATATTTACCGCAAATTCACCGCAAATTATGCCATAATATTATTATGCCGCGTTTTTCCCCGCGTTTTTTGCGATTTTTTCCGCGATTTTCCCCGGTGACAGGGTGTTGTACGGTATAAAGGATGTCGTATAGCATGTCGTACAACAGTACGATGAAATCAAGATACGGCAATCGAGCGGGAAAGAAGAGAAATGCAACGAAAGTCTAACTACACCTCAAGATATTTAGAGAAAACTGTAAAGTCATGTACTGTGTGCTCAATAGACAATTATGAATTTATCTGTCAACCGAGTAGCCCACCATATCTTACAGAATGTATCGCATCGCATGCATGTGGGCACTAACTAACGAGTAGATCATGGTCGCGGCTGATTCAGTGCTATGCAGGGGCGTCACACACGGTACGACCACTACGACCATGGTCGTACCACTTTTCGTCCAGGATGGTCCACCCAATTCATCCGAAAAAGCAATAAAAAAATTCAAGGATCTTCGGACTTGTACAAAACATCGCAACTGTTACTTTCATTACAAGGAGCATACAGACTTGATGCCTAGCACTAGCAGCTAGCTATTGCCCAAGACTCCAGGCGGCTATCCATTACGATAGGCGGTTGGAGTCACGGTTAGAGACAACCAGACGATGGATTCCTCACGGACGCATTCACTGCAAACTTGACGGAAACAGAGCTGAGCTGGCGGCGATCACTGGGTCCAGAACTAAAATTTTCCAAGATCTACCATATTACAATGGCGATCAGCACGTCAAGAGACACTACATGTATGTCACTTGTCAGCTACAACATAATAATAATTATATTCTTTCCACAACGACACCTACCTAGTACCTCTGGCTCCTGACGATCTACTGCAAGCGGATTCGAAAATGCATCACACCCGCGAACGCAGCGCTTGTCAACGGAAAAGGGAAGCGCTTCATTCTCCGAAGCTGAAAAGTGTTTGGACTGCTGCTCCACGGCGGCAGAATATTCTGCAGCTGTTCACCGACACGCCCCGCTTCACCTATATTATAACGATTTACGATCGTTTCGTTCCCCGAGTTTTCTGGCAGCAACAACAAGAATTTCGTCCGCGACGACAGGACGAAAGTCTCTCGCTAACTAAAGTCCTGTTGCCACGAAGACAGAGAAGATTCCGCAAGCACTTTCTTCTGCTTCCATTGTTGTAGCTCTCCGGTCCACTGGCAGATCTTTCAATCCCACCGAACAAAAACAAAGGATCTTTTTCTCTCTCTAAAAACAACTAAAATAATTACTTCGCGACTGTCCAGGCCGGACGTGTACATAGTGTACGCGACGCGGCAGACTTTTGCAGGACACGACATACGTTTTTGCATAGCCGCTGGCGCTAGAACGCGCAGCACACTTGTACTTCGGATTTTTCGATTTTTCGAGGGCAATGGCCCTGAATCATTGAATGGGTTCCATTTGCCTTGCTTGGCTACCTACGATGTACAGAAAATACCAAAAATCCATGAGAAGTATGTTTTTGGAGCTGGAGTGGGGTTGTCTAATAAGTGCTAGGGGAACCGTCCTTTGCGGCTGTAGAGTGCTAAAACGTGGCCTGTTAGCCGAAAAATCCTTATTTTTTCTCCGCGGGACACCCCCGGGCCCCCGGTCGTACCACTCCCAGCAACCCTGTGACGCCCCTGCTATGGTTGAGTACAGATACTACTAGGCACGCATTGCCATGCTGTTCTTGATGTGTAGAGCACTGCAGATAGGTAGCACTATGCACAAACTGACTCATCCCAATGTTAAGTTGGCTACAATGCTGCTTGTCTTGTTCATTCTTGCATGGACTCCAGGCCCTTCTAGCACCACCCTCTGAGTCCAGCTCATTCAGGTTTGCCCTGACTTAGTCAAGTGAAGGTCATGATGCGAGAATGAGAGAGATGCCTGTGTGAGTGCGGCCGACATGGACCAATCAGCCTTGATAACAACCCAGCGTTGTGTGTGTGTGTGTGTGTGTGTGTGTGTGTGTACGTGTGCATGTGCGTGCATGTGTGTGTGTGTGCGTGTGTGTGTGCGTGTGTGCGCACGTGCGTGTGTGTGTGTGTGTGTGTGTGCGTGCGTGCATGTGTGTGTGTGTGTGTTTGTGTGTGTGTATGTTTGTGTGTGTATGTGTGTGTGCATGCATGTGTGCATGCATGTGTGTGTGTGTGTGTGTGTGTTTGCATGTTTTGCTGCGTCTCAGCTCATGGGTGCAGTCGAGGTAGATGCTATAAGCTATCCTCCGGATTGGGAAGAACAGGATCGAGAAGTGGAACTGAAGCCGGTATTGTCCTGTGAAATAGTCATGCAGCCATGCCTTGATTCTTCTGCCATTTACACGCAGCCATAGTTATTTTGTTTGAAAAGACACAAATTGCCCTCCTCCAATCCTGATGATCGCTCCTGGCCGAAATTTGATGGAGAATTATTTTGATTTGCAGCGAAGAGACCACTTGGATTGAAGATGGTGTGTACGTGTGTGTAAAGGTTTTCCATTTAATGAAGTGGCTGCAGTGGAGCTTGCGCACATTAAGACACAAATTGTCTTTATTTAATATGGAGTACTACTAGTAGATGGCGGCCGGAAAATCTTCCTTGCTCCTGACTCCACCAGACGCCATAGTTCCTTCCAGGGAATCATGGCCGGGGGTGAGCAGAACTTAGATGGCCCAAAGGAAATTCAGTTTCTGGTCGTTGCCTACCCTCTTAGAATCATGTTTCCCGGATGCTACAAGAAGCCGACCTTTTGTTCCACCACATTTGAAGAGTTTTCGGGGAGAATCACTGCAGTCTGAAGCCCTGCCACTTGGAAGTATGTATAGTAAAACCTGCAACTAAAGACCTGCACCGTGACTAGCGACAAGCCTGGTACTTAAGACCACCATGACTAGTGACCAGCCTGGTACTAAAGACCACCGTCACTAGTGACCAGCCTGGTACTACCGACCGCTTTGCCAGGCATGGACGGTCTCACATTCAAAATGCACTGTGACTAGCGACTACCTGCTGAAGGCGACCGCCTTTTCTTGTCCCAATGTCGATTTTTGACCCGTAACTAGCGACCACGATGTAGGAAATCAAAGGTTGTTAAAAGCTCCTTCTTTGAAATGTTGATGATTTTCCATGGTCCTAAATGGACTCTTTCAGTACTACAGCTGAACAAATGAGCGCAGGCTCATTTTGACTGTAGGCTGCACTGCACCTGTCATAGTTTCGAGTGCTGCCATGAGCAAACATGATAGGAAGCGTCTTGGAGAGCGCATCGAGCCTGCTCTCTGAACGATGTCACTGCTCAAAGGAGAAATGGCATTGCGCTAGTGGTGGGGAATTGTATTAGCTGCATTTTGACATACATAACATGTATGCCTAAACAGGGGCGTCGCACACGGCACGGTCACTACGGTATTGACCGTACCACTATTAACCCAAGTACCCCGTGAATCAATAAAATGCACTGATTTGGGCTCTATAGAGTTTTCCAAATTTTTTGGTTCAGCCACCCTCCCCTACGAATAAATTGTACTTCAGATGACTGACCGTACCACACTAAATTACCTTCTGACGCCCCTGCAAAATGATATTAGTGAGGTTCTGCCACGCGGTAAAACGTACCAAAGTACGTACGGAAACCTTGCCGCGGTACGGGATCAAATTTCAAACGGATTTTTTTCAGACCATTTTCCGTGTGAAGCGGCCTGGTCTCCGTGTGAAAACTGAGCGGACAGAGTACATGTGGTGGGGAGTTTGAGCATGCTACGAGCATGCTACGCAGAACAGAATCGGCACAACATACGAAAAATCCGTGTCAAACTTCACTGCAGTTGACACGGAGTTTGGTATGTAGTTCCGTGTAGCAGAACCTCTCTATTATCATAGAATGGATCCATATATGGTCGCACAGTGCAAACCTCTAACTACAGACCACCTGACACTAAAGACCGCTTTTTCTGGCCCAAGGGGTGGTCGTTAGTTACAGGTTTTCCTGTACCCTGCTAGTGTGATGTGTGCTACTCGATGTTGTATATAGTACAGCACTTTTCTAAGCACTCGCAGACTCCATTGCAGCCACTCACACGTTACAGGGTACCTCACTTCAAATTCTCCAACTACGGTCTCTTCGCTGCATAAGTTCACTTCACTTCCAAAAAAATAAATAATATTAGATATAAATGGAATGCACCAAATTTTCGGGCATGGCCCATCTTCAGGGTGAAAAACCATTCAACTAAAGCCAACAAAAACCGTGGCTGAAACGAGTATATATGCTGTGTGGTGCGGTAGTGCTGGAAATGTTTGTATGTGTGGAGGGTAGCAGCAATGGTAGCAGCAATGGTGAAGTGTGCTGGTAGAAAGGGAAGTAGCGAAGGAAACCAGTGGAGATCTGTGTCTGTAAGTGTGAATATGTGTTAGTGCGACGTGAAGGGAAAGCACGAGAAGTGTGGTTACCAGCAGCAATGGTGAAGTGTGTTGGTAGAATGGGAAGGAGCGAAGGAGACAAGTGGAGAGCTGTGTCTGTAAGTGTGAATATGTGTTAGTGACATGGAGAATAGAATGCAAAGTATGCAATGTAGCTGGGTCCATGGGTGTGAAGACAAAGATGACGACAAATATTTGCTAAGCACTATATATAACCAGCTAGCACACATAAACATCAAATATCAAATATTATCATAATCATATATTTGCAACATCACAGTCTACCACAATTTACAACACCAGCATCTAACACAATAATTTCACACTGTGTCCAGCAGTCTCCAGCCACGATCCCTGTTAACACTTGGATGTCTATCACGAATGAACATTACTTCACGTATACGACGATTCACAAGGGACGACTGCTTGGCGAGAATTGATGCGTTGGTGATGGGTGTAGATGTGATTTCTTGTTGTGGGTGGTGTTCTGCACAGTGTTCTCCCCATGGCGTCTCCAGCGCTTGCGCTTTGGCCTCTCTGCAATGCTCCTCAAATCTCTTCCTTGCAGTTCACTCGGTCTTGCCAACGTACTCCTCGGCGCAAAGTGCACATAACATCGAGTAGATAACATCCTGAGACAAACATTGACCACTCTCCATACCAGCATCACATGCACGACATTCCACTGGTCGCCCCCTTCCTCTTCTCTTCTTATACACTTCCTTCGGGCATTCAGTACAGCACTGTACGCTAAAGAGTTGAGCCTGTTTGCAGCTAGCGTTGCTCTCGCTCTCTCTTTTTCTCTCTCTCTCTCTCTACCTACCTACCCACCTACCTACCTACCTACCTACCTACCGAACAAACAAACGATTTGTGGACATGCATGGGGTAATGCCATACAAACAAATACGTCTAATGTAGGCAACTATATTGTAATAGACTCCGCAAGGGGACCAGTCCTGTAAGGCAACCATGTACAGTTTCGCGAGGCAAGTACTTGATGTGCAATGAATAAATTGCTGCCAAGGAATGCCAAGGTCTGTTACCTTTTTTAAACAAGAACTTTGCAACATCTTGTTAATGTTATCCACAGATGGTTGCCCTGTCTCCCGACTACCAACGCGTTGTCCAGCAGTTCCGTGCCTCCATGAGCAATGCTACGATCATAAGCGTGGAACGTGTGCAGAATAAATTTCTTTGGGAGAAGTTTTTGCCCGTGAAGAAATCAATCAAGAAGAAGATCGGCCACGAGCCAGAGGAGAAATTCCTCTTTCATGGCACCCGGAATAATCCTCCACGAGTGGTGAGTGGATGTGTGTGTGGGGGGGGGGGGGTGTATAATGCGGAGTGTGTGTGCGTGTGTGTGTCTGTGTGTGTGTCTGTGTGCGTTCATAGGAACTTCCTATGAACGTTTGTGTTCCATGCGTGCTACAGGCGATATCCTCTCATCTGAAGTGTACCACGGCATTAGGTGGACTTCTACAGCATGGTGCATTTATTACTTGCATGTTACCAAGAGTCCATTATCCCCCAGAGCGCGCAACTCCACTGATCAGATCTGGGATGGCGAAATCCGTGTTGCACGCCATAGCGTGACATCATGAGTAGAGGAAGTGTGTTTGGAGCCGACGGAATGACGCAAGTCCGACCCCAAAAATGACGTACATCACGGATTATGCCGTCCCACAACCCCATCCCAGTTGCACACTCTTGGGGATTATGGACTCTTGGTGTTGTTACCTATAGTGCCTATGTAACCTTGGCCTGAGGTTACAATTACATTCACAGGAGCATAAACTCCCCAGCCCCCAGCCAGGCACCAGTTCCAACCATGACAAGACGTTGAGATCAAAACTGCAACTCTCAAGTCCAAAACATTCTCTCGAAGCAAAAGGAAAACCAGCATCATAACAGAGCGAGCCAACGAAAAGATACGCATGCGTGTGTGCCTGTGAGTGTGTACAAATGACGTATGCATACATGTCATGAAGTAGAGTCACATTCATAGCTACAATCAAGAGTGGAAATATTACTACGCCAAACGGAACATGTGCAACATGTTACACCTCCCCCCTCGTTACAGAGGGAACGATAGTGACCGAAAGTTACAAAGCTTAGAGCATATCCGTGATAGCTTTCTACATGAGAAAATTAAATACTGGAAAGTGAAATAGTGTGGCGCAAGTATGGTACAAGTGTAGTTAATCGGTGTGAGGTATAATGGAAAGTTTAGAAACTACTAATGCTATGTAAGTGGACTGTGAAACAGCAAGTGAAATGCTCGACATTATTCATACTAACCTAACAACAGGTAGGACTGTGTGAAATATGTGTATTTCTGAACTAAGAATGTACAATTTCTCAATAATCACACTGTACAGTCATAGACACTCACTGAGCAAACCTTGCTGGCGGCTGAATGTTTGCACGGTTCCGCAGATCATAGTGGTGCACAACAGGCACAGGTGCATGATTCAGTGCTGCGGCTGGTGGCGGCACCGGCGCAGCAGCAATTACTGGTGCAGGTGGCGCCTGCACTGGAGCCGGGATTGGTACTGGTTGCACATTATACTCAACATCAGGCGTATAGTCGGCAATAGAAGTCGGAGGCGAGTTCGGTACGAGCTCATTGGCACTTGCAGGCAGATCAGAGCCAGTCCAAGCCTTCAGACGGTCAACGTGAACAGTCTGGGTTGTGCCGGATTTGTCAGCTATCCGAAGTACTACATCGTCAACACGTTCTAGCACAGTGTACGGGCCTTTCCAAGGTCGATGGAACTTGGAAGTCGTACCTGGTTTGACGGCAGGAGAATGCAACCGAACCATGTCACCAACGTTGAGTTTCGGTTGCTTAGCGTGCTTGTCATAGTGGGCCTTCTGTCGTCGTTGAGCTGTTGCTCCAGCATCACGGGCATGCGTGAACGCTCGTTGTAGATTGCGCCGTAAGTTGATAACATATGTGTTCACATGGGAGCGCTCAGAGTCTGGTGAGTGAAACATCACATCAACTGGCAGGTGGATTTCATGACCTAACATGAGCATCGCTGGCGTCTCCTTGGTCGAGGAGTGCACACTAGACCGGTAGGCAAGCAGACAACGTTGCAGATGACGGTCCCAATTGGTGTGGTGGTCGTCGACGTGAGCAGCCAGCATTTGCTCCAGTGTGCGATTCATCCTCTCGACTAAGCCGTCACTCTGGGGCCGGTATGCTGTTGTACGTGACTTTCTGATATCCAACAACTGACAGATCTGCTGGAATAACCTCGACTCAAATTGCGCACCACGGTCAGAGTGCAGCTGGTATGGAATACCATAACGACAGAAGAAGCCGTCAACAAGGACATGTGCTATTGTTTCAGCAGTAATATTCGGTACAGGAAATGCTTCTGGCCACTTAGTGAAATAGTCACAAATGACGACTAAATACTTGTTACCACTAGGCGTAGTAGGCAGTGGGCCCATAATATCAATAGCAACTTTCTCTAGCGGGAATGATGGGCGGTCTTGGACAAGCGGAGCTTTGGCCTTTGGTAGCGGTGCTTTGCGGCTCTCACAAATATCACATGCTTGGCAAAAATCACTAACTGCAGACGACATGAAGGGCCAATAACACCGCTTGCGAAGCTTGTCTTGTGTTCGCTCAATACCTAAGTGGCTTCCAGAGACATCAGCATGCACAGACTGAAGCATACGGGATTGCAGAGACTGTGGTACAACAAATTGTAGGTATGGTGTGTCGCTATTCTCGGGGTGGTAAACCCGGTACAACACTCCATCAACCAGTCTAAGACGCTTCCACTGGCTCCATAATCGTATCAATGCAATAGACGCACCGTGCATGGCAGGATCACTACGCAGGGGCCTGTCAAGTAATGCCTCCTGCCAGCCGATCATTGTACTCACATCTGCATCTTCTAATTGAGCTCTGCGCAACTCTTCAACAGTGAAAGACTCACACCAATTGGGTGGCGACACTTCAGCATTGACTGTTACAGGATTACTATCAGGACTAGCGCTAGACAGGTGATTGACAACAATAGTCTGCTCACCTACTCTCTGCTCGGGCGTTGGCGTCGGTGAGGTTGCGGTAGCCGGGCTGTGGCAGCGGAGTCTTGACAAGGCGTCTGCATTGACATGCTGCTTCCCGGGCCGATGTGTGACGACGTAGTCGAAGACGGCCAAACGCTCAATCCACCGGGCTAGAAGACCGTCCACTTCCCGGAACGAATGTAGCCAGATGAGCGCTTTGTGATCAGTTCGCAATGTGAACTGATTTCCAAGTAGGTAATGGCGGAAATGTGCAGTAAATGTGACAACAGCAAGCAGCTCCTTGCGTGTACTGCCCATGTTACGTTGGGATCTCGTTAATGCTTTGCTGGCATAGGCAATCACTACTTCCTCACCGTGACTATTGACTTGCGAGAGAACAGCTCCCATGGCGAGATCTGACGCATCAGTGTCCAGGATGAAGCGCTTGGCAGGATCAGGATATGTCAGAACAGGTGACTTGACTAGTCGGGACTTCAGTTCAGCAAATGCCTGTTCACACTCATCTGTCCAGTTGAAAGTGGCATTCTTCTGGGACAAACGGTTCAGGGGCTCTACAATTTCTGAGAAATGTGGCACAAAGCGGCGATAGTACGATGCGAAACCAACAAAGCTACGCACCTCTTTCAGTGATGTTGGGGATGACCAGTCTTGAACAGCCGTGAACTTGCTTGCGTCCGGTGCCACACCTTGCTCTGAGAATAAGAATCCCAGGTACGTGACTGAGGACTGAAGCAGTGAGCACTTCTTGGGCTTGATCTTGAGGCCAGCTTGACGAAGACGACTGAATATTGTTTGCAGACGACTCATGTGTTCCTCAATCGTTGATGAGAACACGATAATGTCGTCCAAGTAGACCAGACAGATATTGGGTACTAGGTCACCAAGGACCCGGTTCATGAGGCGTTGGAAAGTTGCCGGTGCGTTACACAGGCCGAACGGCATACGGTTCCACTCGAATAATCCGAACGGTGTCACAAACGCCGACTTAGCTTTGGCAGCTTCATCTATCTCCACCTGCCAATAGCCAGCTGCGAGATCTAAGGTAGAGAAGTAGCGTGCACCCGCCATAGCGTCGATAGCATCGTCAACACGAGGAAGGGGAAAGGCATCCTTCTCGGTGATACTGTTCAACTGCCGGTAGTCGATGCATAGCCGGATAGATGAGTCAGGCTTGCGTACGACAACTATCGGAGCAGCCCAAGGGCTTCTGGATGGAGATATAATCTCATGATCAAGCAGTTGATCAACGTGCTGCTTTACCTCGGCTCGTTGACTGAGAGGAATTCGGCGGGGTGGCTGTCTCTTAGGTTGATCAGATGTAGTCTGGATGTTGTGTGTTACTACATCAGTCTTCCCAAGGTCGAATTGTCCCTGCGAGATGACATCGGCATTGTCGTTGAGCACAGTAGCTATAGCAGACTGCGCTTGCGGATCGAGGTGACGTAAGTCAAATAGATCGTCTGGCTCGGAAGGTGAGCAGCTCTCTTCCTGTACTGCGCTACAGCTATGCTCGTCAACAGAGGCAGCATGCGTAGGCGAATCATTGAGATCATCGTCAATGTAAATATCAGAATCAAATTCAGCAATTTGATAATTCTTCGGGACAGTTGTGGAATGAGGAAGAAAATTTTGTAGGCGAATCCAAACACGGCCAGCAGAGTCAGGAGTAGCCACCACACGTGACATAGCAGTGCTAAACTTGGAAATAAACTTCTCTGAGGGTGAAACAAAACCAGCAGAGCTAGGTAAAAGATTACCATCGGTACGCAGCTGCGCTTGAACAATGACTTGTGTATACGCTGGTACAGTAACCGAATTAGCAAGATGAACACGGCAGACTACAGGATTAGCATTATGGGTGGGCTCTAGGGGTACATCGACACCGCCTGCATCGAGCATGTTGCGACCGAAATCAATTGTGCAGCCATGAGATTGCAAGAAGTCAATGCCGATTAGCACATCGGGCATAATGTCAGCAACAATGACTCTGTGGCGTACAGCAAGCTTGCCAGTTGCTAACAATACGACAGCTTCCCCGAGCACAGGGACAGAAGAATTATTTACCGCTTTAAGAACAGTATTAACGGGTGAGATAGATAAATGAACATTATGATGAGAGAGAGACTTAGCAAAGCTGGTGCTCAACAACGTTACGCAACTGCCGGTGTCCACAAGCATGTTGGCTGGTACAGCCTCGACCGTGCCTTGGATCTGCACCGTGCTGTCGGACTGTGTTGCAAGACACGACAGAGGCAGGACAATCGAGCTGTCTGGACACTCGGCTGGAGTAGTTGTGCAGGCCTGACAAGTTGTCTCAGTAGGTAAGCAGACAGCCTCATGACACACCGAACACGGTTCACTCTGCTTACCGGTACATGGGTCCATTGGGGAGGTTGCTGACGGCGGACCCTGGTTGTCAGCGACGCTCAGTTTCCCCGACCGCGTCCACGGCCCCGGTGACCACCACGGTTAGCCGGTGTGTATCTCTGGTGCGGACAATCAGGTGCGAAATGCATTGTGCTGTCGCACACATAGCACCGCTTGGTGTCACCATCTCCATTCCGATGCAGATTAGTTGGCCTCTCCAGCGTGAGCCTGGAGATCTTGTCTTCCAGGGCTGCCATCCTCGACAGCAGGGCGTTGAGTGTAGGGTCACTGGGCTGAGATTGCACCGCACATACAACTGGGCTAGCTGCCTGCTGCTGCTGGTCTGCCTCCAGGATGCACTGAAAATGCACAGCCCGTCGGAGTGCATCATCCAATGTTGGTGGGTCCGTGCCACGAACATGCAGGCGCAGGTCCCTGCTGTCAAGGCCGGCTACAAAGGTGTCGCGCGCCAGGGTATCCTGCACTGCTCCAGCCACCGTGGGGTACGCCCGTCTACTGAGCCTGCGGACGACTTCCGCAAAATCCGACAGGGACTCGCCACGAATTTGCCGGCGTGACTGCAGCTCTGCTCTGAACGTGGGGATGAAGTTTGCGTCGCCGAATCGCTGTTCAAACGCCTGCAGCAGCTGGTCGAATGGGCCTGTCCTCGTATGGGCTTCCAAACTTTGGAAGTATGACAGTGCGTGGCCGGTGAGGTACAACCCAATGTACCTGCTTTGGTCTGCCGGTGTCCAGTTGTTTGCATTCGCGACGAGGCGAAAATGGCCAATCCATGACGTCCAGTCGGCGTTGCGCTCGCCAGAAAATTTCTCTGGCGTGGCCCATGCTCGCATCTGCTGTTGTTGACGTGCTGGTTGTTGCGCTGGGCCCGGTGGTGGTGGTGGAGGGGGCGGAGGAGCGCCACCTTGCTGAGCCATCTCTACACGATCAGTCTTCCACAAATAATTTTGGTACGCGTGCTCTCACAAGACGTGGAATTCGAATTCGCTGCCACCACGTGTAACCTTGGCCTGAGGTTACAATTACATTCACAGGAGCATAAACTCCCCAGCCCCCAGCCAGGCACCAGTTCCAACCATGACAAGACGTTGAGATCAAAACTGCAACTCTCAAGTCCAAAACATTCTCTCGAAGCAAAAGGAAAACCAGCATCATAACAGAGCGAGCCAACGAAAAGATACGCATGCGTGTGTGCCTGTGAGTGTGTACAAATGACGTATGCATACATGTCATGAAGTAGAGTCACATTCATAGCTACAATCAAGAGTGGAAATATTACTACGCCAAACGGAACATGTGCAACATGTTACACCTACACCGGTGAGATGCACCAGCTATCTAACTGAGTCGTTTCAAAACAGTTGGACATCATCTTCTGGTGCCGCAGAACCTTCTTTTGCAGCAGACCGGCTAACACAGGCTATAGCATATTGTTACTGGTACAAATCTCTTTCTAGATCACGTACTTCTTTTCTCAATATAATTATGTTGAAAAATATTTAGAAGAAAACGAGGAAACCACTGACTGGGGAGCAGGTTGTGCGTAAGAGTCCACTAACTAACTTATACCAGATCTTGAACAGTCCGCAGACGTGCATAATTCAGCACGAAACTGACGAGGAGTACTGAGACATTCCACGGCATGATACTGTGCGCTAGAGCACTGCACGATAGTGCTAACCCGGCGGCAACGGCCTTCCAACATGGAAGGCTCATAGCTACCAGGGGAAATGCCCAAGGGGAACTTTGGTAAGCGTCGTCGAGCCAAGCCCGGGCTACATTGCAAAGCATAGCAGGATGCTGGCTTGGGATGACAACTGGATGTTAAGACCACTGAACAGTATGATTTATTAAGCACAAGTGTGGCCTTACCCGTATTTCGATCAATGTGTTGTTTCTGTTCGCCATGCTTTCCTCGCCAGATCTATCTGGACGAGGAGGGCTTTGATCTGCGGTTTTCTTCGGAGGGGCTGTGGGGCAAAGCCAACTACTTTGCTACCGATGCCAGCTATTCACATAATTATTCATACTGCCTCAACGGACAACGGCAGATGTTCCTCGCGCAGGTAAACGGCTTTCCGTCTTTTTTTCTTTCTCTCCTTACTTGGTGCAAGGTCTTGTACTGCCAGTTCTTTTTCCCTCCGTTCTCTTCTTCTCTCTTCACTTGGTGCGCTGGGCATACATCGCAATCGAGACCTCATGTCGGCTAAGTGTGATCAGCCCCACCACCATGACTCTCCTCTATTCATCAATATAGTAACACTACCGGGCATGTGCATGCAGGGTCGACGGAAGGTATTTTCGGGTGGTACGGTCAGCCACCTGAAATACAGTATACTCGTGGCCCCTCTGAAAGTTTTCAAAATTTAGAGCCTAAATCACGGTCTTTTGTTGATTCACGGGTACCTGGGACAACGGGTGATACGGTCAATGCTGTGGTGACCGTAGCGTGTCCGACACCCCTGACATGTCATGTTGCGTACTACCGATTGCCCATAAGAAATGCCACAGGTCACACAATGCAGTGCACAATGCTTGTCAGACTCCTAAAATTTAGCGGGATGCCAGTTTTGCATGAATGGACCGGGCTCGTTTGAAACAACGCGTTCGAAGCAAAACAGAGACCATGCAGAGAGGATTACTGTAACGAATTTGAAAATGAGAGGTACATGTAGATGGAAAGACACGAAAGGTGAATCGAAATCATGTATGATGCGACCGTTCAAGACAACTAGTGCGAGGCTTCTTGTCCACACACAGCACACTACATTCATCTCTCTCTCTCTCTCTCTCTCTCTCTCTCTCTCTCTCTCTCTCTCTCTTTCGTTCTCTCTCTCTCTCTCTCTCTCTCTCTTTCTCTCTCTCTCTCTCTCTCTCTCTCTCTCTCTCTCTTTCTCTCCCTCTCTCTCTCTCTTTCTTTCTCTCTCTCTTTCTTTCTCTCTGGCTTGTAGGTTGTCACTGGTGATAGCTACACATGCCCGCATGACCAAGAAACGCGGAAGTTCACAATGCCACCCGTCAATCCAGGAGCCACATCGGCCTCCCTTGGTGGTAAGCAAATCCCCGGCATGTGTGTAGCCCTTGTAGGGCCTACTTTCTAGCACAGTGGTCTTACAACTCAGCCAGGCACTGGCATACGTGTGTGTCTATCATACAGTACTGCCAGGTTCCGAAGAACTGTGAGGTCAGCCTCGTTGCCTAGACCGTTCTTATTTTCATGTACAACAGTCTATGCACAGTGCAGTGGAGTCACTGCATAAGCATCAGTGTGCTGTGCTTGGTGAAGTCCCAGCCTTCTCGTTCTTCGGCGCCTGGCAGTACTGTAGCTGTGCATGCCTGCATGCCACTCGCAGGTGCTCCTGTTGCTGACATGTACATGTGCAGTGATGATACTGGTTCTGGTGCTGGTAGAGGTGGCGGTGTCGTTGGTTGTGTACGAACGTGTGCATGTATCTACCCCGTGGTATGGGGACCATTAACTTGCAAAACTGGAGCATGTTCTTGTCCAGTTCAGCATCTGCTTTGCTCTCTCTCGGCTTTCTTTTTGCAGACCAAGTTCGCTACGACACTGTCAGTGGGCGCACAAATGGCACTCTGGTTTACATGGTGTACCGTAACTGCCAGGCCTACCCAGCCTACCTGATCACCTACCTGACTGTTTAGTGTCCAACCAGCAAGCATGATCTGCACTGGTCAGCATCCGCCCTGCACTGAGCCGATGGCATTTTCCAACTCCATTTTAATTAAACACCACTCCCGTGTATTATGGTGGTGACAGTCAAATGTTTTCTTCAGATTTTCTCCTTTCAACACCCTCAACTGATGGATGCGTGTGATATGATCCAGAGCATGTGACTGGCCGTGACCCTTTCACGGTACATGTCGGCAAGGCGCTTTGCAACTTGCATACAGGTGTCCAAGCTCACCATTACACCAGTTGGAAGCAAGACATCCATGCAAATAGCACACAAAGACAGTTTGTCTCTCTTGTAGAATGTATATGAACTGAAAAATGATGTTCGTCCAAAGCAGAACACCCATACAACTCTGTTCAACCGTCTTTGAAGTTGTGCACTGTACTGTTGAGGCAACGAACTAAAATATAAAAAAATTAACAAAAACAAAAAAGAAAGGCAGAGGACAAAATGTTACGAGTTATGACAAACTGTCCACCAACGTATCCGAGTTCAAAAACAAAAACTGCATAATTACACAGACAATTGCCTCTCGTATGAAATGTGTACCATGGTATACGGATGCCATGGCCCAAAGCGGGACTGTCCTGCACCAGTTACCTGTTGAGGACGGGGCGGTTGGCCACAGGCTGATTGCATAACACAATAGTGATTCATATTGTTTCAATTTGTCTCCTTCCCAGCATTCTAATCTACTCAAGTTTTTTCTAGCACCCATTCAACATCAATACTCTTGTAGTCACTTTTCTGTGTCTGCTATATTTAAAAGCAGACACAGACAACACTGTTAGTTCGCTCTTGCTCAAACTCTATCCTTTTCTCTTCCGGTACAACTTGGCACCGACATGTATGGCCACTCTAGTTTGCTTTTGTCCACGAGTGCGGATGTTTGGTTTGTTTGTTTTCTCTTTCGGTTTTTTCGGTTTTCTTTTGTTTCCACAAATGTATTATTTTTAGAAAACAAGTTAGTTGTGCTCTCCGACGGTCGCCATTGCATGCTATGACACGCATTGCATTAATGGCCTGTGGGCAATCGAGGACTATGCAGCCTATGGGTATGAGCAAGAGTACATAATTTCATAAACCCTGCTGGTTTATGTACTCTTGCTATGAGTATGAGCAAAAGATTAAGTACATCAGTTGCTGTCTGATGATCGGTTAAAACCGTGAAACTCAGAGTTACAGAAGAAACGCTTTTCGTCCCTCTCAAGTGTGTGATCATGTGTACATATCAAAGCTCCCTTACTCGTGGTATGAGTATGAAGTAGCGGTAGATGCGACCTCGACCGGGGGGAGGATCCAGCTCCCAGTCGGCCCATAGCATGAGTGTGCAGCAGGGAGTCGTAAAATACTGATCTTTTTTTCAGTTACCTTCGAAGTACAGTGTAGTTCGTAGATCTACGTGTGTCGTCTGACAAAGTGACAGTTCCAATTTTATGAGCGAAGTGCTAAGGCGAGGAGGTACATATGTCATTGTATCATTGCGGTAGGCAACCATGCGCAGTCAGTAGATCTACCGCTACAGCTTTACAGTACAGGTTACTAAAGTAACATTAGTTAGGTCCCGACAGGTTACAGTACGTTCAGTTTCTCGCCAAACACGCCCCCGCCTCAATGTGCCCTACAATTGTAACCAAGGAGCGTTACTTCTTGATCTATCTGCAGTCATGTCACATGTGTGACCACTGTCGCCAGTGTGACTTCGCAGCGTTCATAAGGCCGGCCGTGAGCTCTGTGTGTAGATCTGCACTGTTCGACTACAGCTTACTTGCTGGTTCTGTGAGTACCCAGTACTACTGTTCTTTCTTCTGCCGTTGTCTCAGTAATGCTATGTGTGGAAACTCCCGCACGAGGCAGCCCCTGCGTGTGCTTTCTAAATGTCAGTAGAACTTCTAAAGGAAGTGAGGGTAATTAATAAGTCGTGCCCAGTAGCCAGTTCCCTTAGTGGAAAAGCAGAATGCCGACTGTGATACCGGTACTTCGAGGCCGAGAGGCCGCCACTACTGAAATGCATCGAACTGTTTTCCTGTATTTGTAAAACTCCGTGGTCACTTGTATACTGAAGAGGTTCACATGTGGCTACAGCCAGGACACTTGTACCAAGCAAGAACAAGAGTTCCTTTCACCGGCCAGACTGCACTGCATCGGTACCGCCGTGTTAGCGAAGCCTGTCCGGGAGTAAACCATGGTAGATCTACATGTACACGTAATGGTAACCAGAGCGAGGAGTCTGCACAGTACAGGCCGAGTGAACTGGGAGAAGCCTGCTTGCTCAACAGTCATATTCATAATGATTGTCTCGTAGCCGGAACTGACTGTGCGCGGCCCAAGCGCGAGCCTGTCCAAAAGGCACAGCTACAGGAAAAAACTGCGCTGAGCGAAGCTCGAAGTCTGTCCCACGCTGCAACGGCCGAACTGACCGAAGTACCCAGCCTAGCCTGTCATAACACTATCACCGACTAGCGGCTGTAGACATCATGTCCGACGAAGCCTGGTTGAAAGTTGAAGAAGGCGAACCCTGTCCAACTACTGGTTCCGCAAGTGGGGAGAAGATCAAGTTGAAAACTCCAAACTACACTATAAATCTATATAAATGCCAATCAAGCAAGGAAGAAGGGCAAACCTCTTCTCCGACACGGCGACTTGACTTGGACCAGGGAGTAGTGTAAGACTCCCTGACTTGGACTGTGGAACAGCGATCAACGAGAATGATGTCTACAGGTCGACAACTGGACGCAAAAACTCGACCGGAGCAAGTCGCGGGCCATGATACACGATATATTTTCTCGGCACGCCTTATTTCCACGAGCAAAGACTTTTTAAAGTCGCCATCGCCATCGATGCATCATCTCGCTTTATCGTCTTCCATGGCCGACACTCGACAATACTAGCTACTGCCCCAGACGGGCCATCAGTGTCTATTTTGCAGCTTTGTGCTTGCACGCGAGCCCCCTACGGCCCTAGCTCGGACACACTCGACCGGCTCGCATAGCCCCGGGGCAGGATGAATCCGTGGCTGCGTTGTCTCGCCTGGCGGGCGCGAGAGGGACGGTCTGCCTGACACCTTCACGACCTGTCTAGGTGATTTGGAGATATCTAGTATGACAATTTGCGCAGCTAGCTAATACACCACTCGGCTTCATCACAAGTAGTACATGTACAACGATGTTACGTAGGGCATTCTACTTTGCGCAGGGTGTGGGTGAGGACTGGGTAGGTGTGACACATGTGAGTGTGACATCCGCTGTCCAGTAGCGTAAGCACCTTACTTGTCCATGACTTGAGTTGAGGACCACTGCGGTACTGGCCTCAGCTCACACCGCCAGCAGCCACCAGCCACCAGCCACCAGCCACCAGACGTCACCTGTTGTAACGTAACTCGTTGTGTCAGCTGTCAGAAATGCAGGCGCTCCACTTCCAAAAGATACAGTCATCATAATCACAAAGGACGAAACAGTTCTGTCCGCAGATTGAGTAATTACTAGTAAAGACTAAAGACGAGGGCAGGTTCTTGCCTTTTTTAAAGGGGAAGTATACCCTAAAATCAAATTTTCACCAGTTGTAGTCTTCTGGGTGCTGAGTCGAATGGTCTTGGTCCGAGGAAGCTGCGACGCTCCCTTCCTACTTGAATCCCAATCGAACTCGCGCACTTCCACCGAAACTGGGTGACTGCGCCCTACTAGATGGGGATTTGTATGCAAAATGTCACTAAAAGCGCCATTTCGTTCTTATAAAAGCACGGATGACCGCGATTGGCCCATATGTTGTAGTCTTTTGGACGCTGAGTCGACTGGTTTTGGTCCGAAAAGGCTGCGATGCAGCGTTCCTCCTTTATTCCCAATCGAACGTGGTTGAACAAGTGGTCACGTGCTCCTGGGTGCCCAAATCACCTGGTCACCGCGCCAGCAGGCGACAACTTTCACACCAAGGTTCAACTCGAGTTCAACTCGAGTGACAGGACTGCACCCAAAAAAGGTCAAACAGGCTAGTAAGTTGTACCCTGCAGGCACGGTGACCAGGTGACTGGTGTACGCAGGAGCACGTGACCGCTTGTTCAACCATGTTCGATTGGGAATAAAGGAGGAACGCTGCATTGCAGCCTTTTCGGACCAAAACCAGTCGACTCAGCGTCCAAAAGACTACAACATATGGGCCAATCGCGGTCATCCGTGCTTTTATAAGAACGAAATGGCGCTTTTAGTGACATTTTGCATACAAATCCCCATCTAATAATAATAATAATAATATCTTTATTAGGATGACCCAGAGGCTTGTCGCCTATCAAGGGGTTCACCGCTTTGAAGGATGTACATGTACACGTATGAGCTAAAGTGAAAGTAGTGAAAAGTTGTGCAGCGGGAATGCGTTGGGGAGCACACGGGGGGGGGGGGGTTATGTACATGGCGTAGGCATACCGGAGAGCAAAGCACTATGTTTGCAAGTGAGTTTGCGAAGCTCATTCTTGAAAACAATAATGGATGGTTCTGCAGTTAGTCTTGGTGGGAGGCAGTTCCATAAGAGGGAGGTTTGGAAGAGAAACAACGATTTTGATGTGGTCTTTGCTTTAGGGAGAATAATTTTGTTAGGGCGTCTCGCACTCTGCGTGATATTGAAATGGAATGAAGCTAGGCAACGTCGATACTTGAAAATAAATTTGTGCATGGTAACCAAGCTTAAAAACTGCCTGCGGTAAAGAAGGGATTCAATGTTAGCTTTTTTATTAAGATCCTGCTTGGGTGTATTAAAGTCGATTTGGATTTTGCGTTTCCTAAGGTAGGATCTTGCAAACCTGGCCTGGACTCTATCCAGCTCACTCAAGTCGCTTGAACGAAGACGAAATGACCACACTACGACGCTATACTCAATCACAGGTCTAACATAGCACTTGTAGAGGAGCATCATGGCCTGCGGTGTAAGACGATGTGCCATGTGACAAAGTAGGCTTACTCTCTGCTTGAATTTGCGACTGATGTCAAGGTAGTGTTGACGGAAGTTTAGGTCTGCACTGAAGCGAACTCCCAGATGTTTGAGGATGTCAATACTGGGAAGAGGTAGACCCTCCATAGTGTAGGTGGCAGATGTTGGTGCTGGTGACGATGCTGCCGCTGGCTTATAACGGAAGCTTAAAATAGAAGTTTTTGAGGGCGAAAACTCTCCGCCTCTTTCCCTGGCCCAGTTTTGACATGCATGAATGTCCGCTTGGATACCAGGACTTGACAGAGAGCCTTTGTACGGCAAAAGTAGAGTGACATCATCCGCAAACAAGAAGGTGTGCGAATGATGTATGGCTTCTGGTAGGTCATTAATGTAGATCACGAACAGTAGAGGAGACAGATGCGATCCCTGGGGAACACCACAGTTGGTGACTTTGGGCACTGACATGCATGACTCAATCTTCACGGCTATGCTTCGATCCTGCAAATAACTCTTAGTCCAGGCAGTGACTTTATGGTCCGAGAAGTTGCTGACTTGACGGAGGAGAGTTGAGTGGCTTACTCTGTCAAATGCCTTGCAGAAATCTAGCGAGACGAGGTCGAAGTTCAGACGCTCATCAATGTAGTCGGCCATTTGCTGGGTAAGTATAATAAGCTGGTCTGTCGCAGACTTCTCCTTCACGTACGCGTATTGTTGACTGCATATCTTCTGTTTTATTGTTAGGTAAGCCTGGAGTTGTTTCGCTACTATTTTTTCAAAGAGTTTTGCTATACAGGGGAGGAGGGATATTGGGCGGTAGTTCGTAGGGTGAGTTGGGCAACCTTTCTCCTTGTACACTGGGATAATCGTGGCCATCTTCCAAGCGGAAGGGAACTCGCCTTGCTCAAGACTGTAGTTGAATAGTTTAGCCAGAGGTACACACAGGATGTCTGCACAGCGGCTGAGGACGGCATTTGATAGGTAACTGTCAGCAGATGATTTGTGCACAAGTAGGGCGCAGTCACCCAGTTTCGGTGGAAGTGCGCGAGTTCGATTGGGATTCAAGTAGGAAGGGAGCGTCTCAGCTTCCTCGGACCAAGACCATTCGACTCAGCACCCCGAAGACTACAACTGGTGAAAATTTGATTTTAGGGTATACTTCCCCTTTAAATCTTGGACCAGCAAGTCGAGATCATCCGACCATAACTTGAGGAGAGAGAGAGAGAGAGCTTGCTCGGACTTGAAGAATCCAGCGCCCGCGATCGATAACAACAGGTAAGTACTGACCTGAATACCCTACCAGGGTAGGGTATTCAGGTACAGTAGTGCCTGCAGTCATAGTTAGTCATAGCCTGTGACTGGAAGGAGCGGTCCTACTTCTGTGCATGTGCATCGCCATTGAAGCGTGGTAAAGACAATAGTGGCGCTTGCAGCTCCTGAGCCAGGCAGATGGCGCGATATGCACATGCACGTACATGTACGTAGATCTTCACGCATGACTTACACTGTTTGTTTGTCCGGGGCTCCGTGCCGAGCATGCTAGCAGTACGGTTTGCATGTGGTCGAGCGTGGTCATTCTGGAGTGATGTTGCGCTTGTATGGCATGTTTTACACCATGCATGGGCATGGTGCACTGCAGACTGCTCCACGGCCACACGACCATGGCTTTTTTTCCGCACTTGCCATTGTTGGGCCGGTCGCCAAAACCGATACACGTACACAGTGGAGTGCGGTAGGCAAATGCACCATGGTTTGCCATGCCTCGTACTGTCAAGTGCACGACTTGTCTTTGTACGCACAGACTACACGCGCGCGTGCACGGTAGAGGCGCTCTACGCACGATTGCATTTTGCAGCCTTGCGCACCTTGTGTATCACAGCAGGTCCACGTCCAGTGCACATGTGACATGGTGCATCCCTAGATCCTGTACGTTTTTTGTGGTCCAGAAAGGCAGAAGTGCAACGCGGTTGTACGACTTTTCGGTGTCAACAAAATCATGAAATCAATTTGACTTGGCACAAGCCGTCTTGACTGGTGCTGTTTGTTTGTTTGTTGAGCACTTCCTCAGGCAAGAGGTAGCTTGGCTTCAACAGCAAGCTCCCGCTGGGATTTGTTTTCTGACTGGATTTGGCGAGAGCATCTAGAACCGAGAATATCGGAATGGAGAGCTGGCAGCATCACACCTAGTGTCCACGTGTACCCGTCAACGAAGACAATGAACAATTTACATTTTCACTGGCAAATTGCATGGCTGTGCTGGCAAATTGCTGCACTCAGTGTCTTTGCTAGTGCGAGGGATGCGAAGGATCCTGGAGCACGACACCCGTTCTTGCTTTTCTCCGGCAAAGATGTGGAAGGGTTGCGAAACGAGGCGGATTCTCGGCGCAAGGTCACGGCGTCGCGGTTACGCGAAGCTGTGAAGACAATGCTGGCAAGACCTGCTGACTATCTGCCACCGAAGCTACCTGAAGACTATGGGAAGAGTTGGAACGAAGTATACGGGAATAATCTCGTTCCGCTGGCAATGCACTGCGTACTATGGCCCGATAAAGCAGCAATGGACCTGTTATTGGTGTATGCAGACCGTATGGCCGCGGCCAACAGCTGGTTTATCAAGCCATTGCCGCGTGATGAAGTACCCGTATCCCATTCCCTGATCGGCTTTTCCACCATGTTCGACTTGGTGCACAGTGAGCTAAGTGAGGTGAGGAAGAAACGCTACCTGGCTGTGATTGCCCACTATGGAAGCCAACTGTACGCGCGCTCCGTGTCCGAAAACGTGCACTGGTCGTTCACGGTGGTTCACAACCACACGCCAACTATCCTCCTTGCCATGACAATGTCGGCGATGGTGGCTGAGAAGCACGGTGTGAGGGAAGCGCCGCGCTGGCGTCACCGAGCCACCGAGCTCTACTTTCAGAACATGCAGGTGCTGGCGTTGGTCGTGGACGGCTCGTTGAACGAGGCGGTGACCTACGGTAGCTACACATCCTGGTCGGTGACGCAGCTTGCCTTCCTGCTCAGGCGGCGCGTCCATCTGGACACTCTGAGCAACCCGTGGTTTGCTAAGCATCTGGACTTCTTGCGCTTCACCATCCTGCCCGGCTTTCGAGAAACGCTAGGCATCGGCGACTCGTCGACGACCTGGTTTTTCGGTCCCGAGAGCCAGCTCCACTTCCTGGACCGCTTTGTGCTGAGGACCGGTGAAGCAAACTGGCTGGCGTCGCGCGTACGCGAGAAGCGCGAGAACAAGGGTCGTCTTGTGCAGGCTAAGGCACACCGCTGGACCAGTCTGCACACGGAGCTAGTGTGGAGTGACCCGATGCTGGGTGAGACGCCGCTGAGCACCACACCGGAACTGCACGTGTTCAGCGACTGGGGAGTGGCCGTGTACGGCGGTGGCACTCGCGACGGCCAGACCTTTGTGTCGCTCAAGTGCAGCGTGCCCAACGGCCGCGCCCAGTACCGACTGGCGCAAGAGAACTCCTGGCCGTTCATCAAGGGATTCCGCTCGTTCAATCCCGGACACGAGCACCCGGATCAGGGATCGTTCATCTTCTACCCCAACGGGAGGCCGTTCATCACGGATGCACTCTACGGTCCGAAACTGGCGCATCTGAACAACGTACTAGCGTTCTCTCCGTCGTCTGGTAAGCTGGACTGCACATACCCACTGCAGGGCCAGCTAGGTTCAAATTGCGACAAATGGTTTGACTACCGTGACCCAGAGACGTTCAAAATGCAAGCCGACATCGTGAGTGCGGCGCAGGACCACGGCATGGTGATGATGCTGGGCGAGTATTCGGGTAGCTACACGCCAGCGCTTGGTCTGCGCAGCGTGCAGCGCGCCACCCTCCTGCTTTCACCCGGCGTCCTGCTGGTCCTGGATACGGTCAAGCTGAAGCAGACGTCGTCCGTGCAGCACGCGCACGCCTTCTTCCACAACAACCAGCACCCGTTTAGCCTGGCCGCGGACGGACAAGCGGCGTACGTCTTGGTGGACGGGCACCGCCACACGGTGACCTGGAACGCTAGTCACGGTGGCCAGGTGAAAGCCAGCGTCAGTAACTCCACGTTCCCGGCAGAGTATCGCACGCGTACCACTCACTTTGTCAACGCCACGTTCCCGGTGAGCGAGCAGTCTGCGCGCCACGTGGCCTGGCTGTTCACCGCTGACGGGAATTCCGTATCGCGGCCCGTCTTCACGAGTATGCGTGATGACTCTGTGTTCGTCAGGGTTCGTGTGAACGGTGTCCAGTACCACGTTGGTATGGCCACGCGCCTAGCCAGTGCTAAGAGTCGCGTCAAGGAGCTCGGCTCTCCGGCTATGCTCAGCGTCGACGTCAACGGATCTCGTGTTCACTTTGGCGCCCGGCATCGCGAGCGTGACGACGGTGGAGAGGGCCATCGCCGGTCTAGTGCAGCGTCGTCGCACGGTCTTCTCCAGGACTGGCTCATGTACGGACTGCCGCTTGTGCTCGTATGTCTTCTGCTGTGGCGGCGGCCATACTCCAGCCGGAGCTGGACGTCGCAGGTTGTCAAGCTTGCCACTGGCTTCTGGCTGCTGATCGTGGCGTGGCACGTGTACAGTTTGTTGTTTCTTCCAGGAGCACGGCCACTTCTGAACGCGCACAACATTGAGCCGGGTCTCATTGACGATCGGCAAGGAATGCCGGAAATCCTGGTCACTGCCTTGCCCGGCTCTGGCATAGAGATTGTCCAGGATCTGCTCCACTCTGACGTGGACATCCGCAACTTGAGCATGGCGGCACTGCCGGCCGCATCGCGTGAAGCCGAGCATGCGCTGCTGTCTTCAAGCACCCGGGATCTAGTGCTGTGTCCTCCCCCATCGTCTCCTTCTCCTGCAATGTCTCTTCTCGGGGCCTTGAGCGGCGGGACGAGCAGATCTGCTAATTCGCAGTCGGTGGATGTACTGGTACAGTGGTTGAAGGCCATCCTGTCTGACCCCGATGTCTACCTGCGCAGCGTTGTCCAGCAGGACAGCAGTGCTGATGCCAATGAACTACTTGCAGCACAGCTCGAGCAGCGGCCAGACTCGAGCACAGCACTTTTCGACGGCTCCGGCAGCTGGAACTCACACGGCCGCTTCGTGGGCCAGCTGCTCGGCGATGCGGGCCGTGTTGTGTTAGTGGTGCGTGACCCTCGCTCCTGGGTAGCTGACCACGCAGCCAAGTGCGATAGGAAGTGTGCATACGTCGAGCGTCTCTACCAAGGCCTGAGTGGTCTTGCTGACGGCAATGATGAGGACAGCAAGCTAGGTTGTGAAATGCCCAAGGAGTACACGTCACTGGTGCAGGAGATGAAACGCGGAAAACCTGCCATTCTCCGGTCGCCTCATCGCTTTCTTGCGTTGCTCTGGGCCGTCAATGTGCGCCTGTCAATGTCCCCTGAACTCGTGGACAACCCGGAGCGTAACCATCTTGTTCTGCCGATTGAATTGCTCTTGAGTGAGCCGGAACGGACGGCTGAGCAGCTATTCCGCTGGCTTGGCCTGCCGCTGCGGCCGGTCTCGTTGCACCGTCTGCTGAGCGTCGTCAACACGGGCATGTTCTCCGTGCCGCCGTACGCACCGTTCAAGAAGGGCGCGTTCCTCAAGTCCTGGGACGGCCTGACCAAGCAGCAAGTTCACGAGATCGAGAAGCTGACTCTCGACACGCGGCGTCTGATCCGTACGTTTGAGGGTCATGTCTACATGTCCAGTGAACCGTCTTAGTCTCGGTCTTGCTGCTTTCTCCCAGCTACACGCAGTGAATGCACGTGCACACAGGGAAAGTTGCGCTTGCACCGGAATGTTCGCAGCCAGGTTGCTCGGGTATCGCGTTACTTTGCGTATCCTCCTGGTCCCCTCAGTGTCTCTGTGACTATATTATATCTTCCAGTAGTCCAACATGGCTGCACCTATTGCATGCAATTACATTTCTTGATCAGGCTGGACGGTATTTCCGCCTTTGAGATACATTTTACTTTTTTTAGGTTCAATTTTATATTTTTATTTTATTTTCGGCCCACTTTTAACTGATAACTGGCGGCAATAATGTTCCGACCTATTTTCCAAATTATACATTATAGTCCTGCTGCTGCTGCTGCTGTTGTGCTTTGAGTACCGCATGTTTAACCTCACGTAAAGGTGCCGGCGCCTTTTCAGCATGTGACATGAATTTTTTGATTTTTTTTATCACTCTCAAGAATACAGACACCGACTGACTGTTGCTGCTACTTTTCAAGTTTTATGCAAAAATAACAACCATGAGACGGCGGTACGGGGTGCAGCTGGTATCAGGCTATCCCATGCTTTCATGTAGTGAATGAGTGTGAACGGAATGCATGCATGTCATGTGCTGCAGCCACGAGATTCAGTGGTGGTATCTGGTGGCTGCAGTCACCGTATCCGGTAGTTGCGGTGCATGATTTTGGTCACATTATCTAATCTCAAAACCATGCATATATTTTGTTGACACTCGGCCAAAAGTGCCCAGAATGCAGGATTTTGCACCCTAATTTCAAAAATTCCCCGGGAATCAGGAGACCCCCGGACCAAGTCCAACGGCGGTGCTCCTCGCCTGGTATGTACATGGTTTCCTAGTGCATGCCAGTATTCTCCACATATAGTCGTATAGCATATAGTCCGCATATAGTCCACATATAGCCAATATAGCATATAGTCCACATATAGCCAATATAGCATATAGTCCACATATAGCCAGCATAGCATATAGCGGCAATGTGTGACACTCCGAAGAAAACCCTGGAATAATAATAATAGTTAATTCGGGCGGCAGTGTACTTCACTGAATCTATTGATTGTGTGCTAAAAAGAACTTCTTCCGATGTTTCGTACAGAACTGAAGTCACCATCAGCCATGAGACCAGCAACCCTGCCTACGGTCTTCTATGTACAACAAAGCCAAAATTAATACTGGGTGGCTAGACTCAAATGTAAAAAAAGCAAGAAAAGAATAAATACGGCATTAATTAAGGAGATGGGAATTGATAATAAGTATAGTTTCACAATCATATTACCTGTGTGGATTTCAACTTTTCCTTATAAAGAACAGGACACGGTTACAAAAGTTGTATGTGCAACATGCAATCTCCAGTATCGAACTTCAAGATGTGTGCCCATGTATATCCGATTAGGACGCATGTGTTATATTCGTACAAGTACTACTTTCACACGCTCATACGCAAGGAATTGCAGTCGTTGCCTGCGTGCATGGGTAGTTAGCTACATTTGACACCACCTGGCGGGACAAAGAAACCGCTCGTGCACATGTACAGTGATGATGTCATTTATACACACAGCGCCACTGGTCTGATAATTATGACCATGACATCACTCCATACATCCAATGGCGAGTGGCGCCAACAGCACAGCGGCTACTGTGACGTGCGTCTTGCCGTCGTTGTCGTCCGTCCTGTCCGTCCTACGCGTGGTAGCGGGTGGTGGCCGGCAAGACTACCAGCGGCGGCCGGTGTGCGACTCAGCGTGGAGCGTCCATTGCTTACAACGGCCGTCGTCACATTACTGGGCACATCCAGGAGCACCACCGCCGGTGTCAGAGCTGAACAACAACAAGAAGAAAAGGTAAATTATCGTTTCCGTTCCCAAAGGGAACTCACGACGGCCGCTAACTCCAGTAAACCCAATGGCAGATTCAGCACCTAACGATGGGGTGAGGGGATGAATCTCACTACCACTGGCACAAGTGCCGAGAACCCCATTAGACGCATATACGTCAGAGTTGAAAAGTACCAAAGGAAAGGAACTTGAGGATTCGGTCACAGAAGTATGCGACAGAACACTACTCAACATTATCATTGTCTGTTTATCAAACATAACAGTGGGTTTTAACCTAGTTGCAACCAACCTTCCGTTTTCTTTTCTTCCTCTTTTTCTCTTATATCTACTTTTCCACAATATCCTTTAACATTTTATTCACAGTGGGTCCAATGTTATTAGGCGTTTTGCCTGTTTTGATTTCCACTATAAATAACGTACTGTTTACACAACAAGTCTATTCACTGTAAAGTCTGTAATACATCATCATGTATGGGCAAATCCGATCAGAAACAAACAACCACGACCGGGCACTGGCACACTGACCAACAGTATATTCTACTATCGGCCACCCCAGTGTCTCCCTGCTTGTGCTCCACTGGCGGACATAGACGTGCAACACCGCAGCGTTTGGCATCACACGCGGCACCGTGATGATGTGTAGAATTGGAAGCGGCAAAGCCCAGCACCTGCAGCTAAGTAAGCAACTGACGTAGCCCAAACATGACTGGCCCGATAAAGGAAGATATTCACGGCATGTTGTGACAAATGATACCACGTCAAAGTGCCTAAAGACTCAGCAGTTACCCTGTGAAGTTCTGCACGGTTCTGTAAGAGCAAGATGAACATACACACCTGCCGAAATGGCAATGACAACAACAGAACATACCAGCATCCAAGCCTTTTTCTTGCATACTCGAGCTGGGAGGCTGCACATCCTGTTTAGAATAGGATAGACGGTAAACAATGTACAGAGTGCATGTCACCAAGAGCACATGCACATGAAACCCAGTGTGTGCAGCTAATCCTGGAAAGTCGCAGTTACAGCAACCCATCCGAGCTGCACACAAACAAGATTTGTGTACTCTTGGTGTCACTTGTGCGGTCACCATAGTGTAAGTGTAGCATGAGGGAAGAAAACAAAGAAAACAAGTTTGACTGCAAGCTGGTGTGCTTCGAATGAGAACACCGTCTCCGGTAACAACGCGCTATTATTATGCACATGAGCAACGCTCAAAACAAAAGGAAGAGTTGACATTCATGGAGAAAGGTAATGATTGGTTCCAGTCTTGTATCAGGCAACTCATTGCATACGCATCACTCAGCTCCGCAACTCACTCACCTGGGCTATGGGCTGCATCGGTGCATTCCTCAATTTGTGGTACACGCTTCCCGGTGCACGATTACCGGGCTCTGATGTTCGCAGTCTCCGCGCTGGAGTAGCAGGCATCAACGGTCGCGGGCCCTGCCTTGACTCCGGAATATCCGCGTCGAGTGTGAGAAAGTTGGACGTCACATCGCCAGCAGTTCGGAATTCACTGCGATTATCCACAGCCTGTTTTTCAGGCGATCTTCCCCCGATGGACGTGCGGGCTGTCTGTTTGCGCTGTTGCTGCCTAGCATCTAAAGCGGCTACCACACCCTTCCTATGGTTCTCTTGCTTACTGCAGACACACACACACACACATATATACATGTACACATATACACATAAACACACACACAAGCACACACGTACACACGCACACAAGCATGTTCGTACACCCTTTCAACCATACGCCGATACATCCACCCATACAGCAATACGGTACATTTTTCGAGTGCAAGACCGGTGATTTGATTCCTCCACGTGTCCATGCCGAGTACTAGTAGCAGGGAAACACATCACTGTCCATATACTGGCAAAGGTCTCTAGCTCTATGGTTAAAGGCTGCGCGAGGTATGCCACTGCTGAACTGCATCAAGCGGCCATACATTCTTACTCCATGTTACACTGCCACCTACTTGAGAACTATAGCCATTGGCACATACAAGTCGCAAGAAACCATGGTAACAGAAAGTAACCATGGTAGCACAGAGTGACCATGGTTATACAGTCGATGGGACACTAATGGCAGCTCAGTGTTCATGTACTCCCACACGTGTAAACGGGAGCTAACATGATATGCCGCTGGTACACCATGACTGTGTCAATGACTTACGCCACCAGTGCCTGGACAGCAGAAGCCGGATCACTGTGCGACGTTTGCTTTTTCCCACACAAAGGCGTCATCGCTGGTTTCTCATCACCCGTGCTGATATGAGATGGTCGCCTAGGCATGAAAGAGGAAACAGCAAGAACGAAGTTGATACATACATGCTCACTAGTTTGTCAATATACATACATGCATTTGTTATGTTTTTTCTTTTGTTCTTTTTCCTTTTTCCCTTGTACTTTTTTTCCTTTCTCTTTTCTTTTTGAGTATTTGAAGAAAGGGTTTGCTCCCCACACCGGAGCTCGCGCTATTCCGCCGACTTTACTTGACACTTGACTGACTCACGACTGCCATCCAGAGCACACGAGAAGTCTATCGAACCTTCGACTCGGCAAACCTGCAAGAAAGCACCCTGCTCAATACACAGTGTTTCGGGGAATTCACCCCTCATCAGTTGAGCTTGAGTAGGCTGAGGAAGATTGTGCCTGAAGAGCACCACTTATATAGTGCTCTCCAGGCACAAACATTACCAGGGATACAAACTTACAGAGACGCTCCGTTTCCAGCGCGACAAACACCTCGTGAACACCAGATAGCAGCGTGAGTCAGTGTCGCTCCTGGACGGTGAGACAGACGTTGAGGACCCTCGGTCATTCGCAACACTGTCACCTCCAAACCAACTAGTCGCAAGCCCGCGCTGGGCACAACAGTACGAAGTAGTGGTTGCGACTTCGGCGATGATTTGTAAGAAAGAGTATTTGAAGTCTGTGTTTTTCTCTCTTTCGTGGAGGCTTGCTTGTTGCATCCTTGGCTTTTGGCCGTTACTTTATCGCCATCATAATATTGGGCATCATTGCCCGTTTGGTCTGCGATACAAAATAAAACTCAACAACAAATTTCAACAACACTAGTTAGTCCATAAACATCAAGCCTATGTAGCATCTAGCCGGGGAGACAACATGGGCGAGTGGAGCGTGGACTGATAGGGGTGTTGCTTCAGCACTGCCAGCTCCTGTCGCCCGTGGGACATGACTGATTTATGTGAACACGATTCGGGTGGGTTGCATTCTGGATCAGCAGGTCATAGCTGTGATGATGGCAGCATGTTCCATAGATTTTGGAGCACATAGAACTTTCAAAATCTGACGTCCGCAAATTGCACATGGTTTGACCCTTTGCGTACCACGACTCGTTTCCCTAGGTATGACTTGCGTGTACGTGTGTGTGTGCATACACACACACGTACACGCACGCACACACACACACACATGCACATACACACACACCTTGCCGGCATGTCCGGTGCAAAGTAGTCCGCCATCTCTCCCTTCGGGACAGGGCGTCCTGGTATGGATGGCAGCACGGCTGGCGCAGGTGTTATCGGGGTCTCCATTGTTTGGCTTCGCCGTCCAGCAACCAAATCATTGCTTAGCTGATTCTGGAAAAAAAGAAGACAAAACAGTAGAATTCATACCTATACACATGTGGAAGCATGTACAGTGAGAATCCCTTCAATTCAAGTACAGTAAAACCTGTAAGTAAAGACCACCGTGACTAGCGACCAGCCTGGCACTAGAGACCACTTTGCCAGGCACAGACGGTCTCACAGTCTTATATGGTTGTGCGGTGCAAACCTCTAACCAAGGACCACCTGCCACTAAAGACCGCTTACTCTGGCCCCAAGGGGTGGTCGTTCGTCACGGGTTTTACTGTCCGGTACTTTGCGGGGACAAGAACAGACCCGAGTTGAGCGGCTATCATAATTATGCATGGGGTTCAGAGGTAGACCCACCGGTACTTGTTTCATGTCTGAGACTGGGTATCGGGACATGCGACTCGATGACAGCTATTTTAAAAGGCTGTACTGCCTATAGGGGTATGGCTGCTTATTGGGATTGTGACCGCTTATAGTGCCACTAGAAGGGTAAAAACCGCACCGGCTATTTCGGGGGATTTATACTGGTGTTTAAACTGCATCCCTTTGCAACACACTTACCCTGCGGTGTTCCGCCATTGTCTTCTCGACCGCGGCCCGATCGTAGCGCGATGCTACCTGGTGGCTGAGATTGCCTCCGTGAGTATCCTGCTGATGCTGCTGCTGCTGCTGAGAGACCAGCGCACCGGTCGACTTACTGCCACGGCGGTGCCGCAGGCTTTTTAGGAAAGACGACGGCGCCACGACCGGCTGGAACTGCCCAGTGACGCTGTGACCCACTGCAGTGATGACGGTACATGTACACAAACAAGCCGAACCTGTTGTCGCCATAACCCTGGTGCAGTTTGGTCCATGGAAACCCACGGCTGAGATAGAGTTCTGAGATGGCTTTCAAATTTTGAGACAATTTAGTGAACGTGGAAATATCTAGTTTTTTATAAACTAAACCAGAGCATACCTAAGTAATAAGGGATCTCATCCAAATTGGTCACAAAGCACTAAGAAGACTACTGTCTTGTTCCATACATATCTGCGCCGCGATACCATCCCCCCCCCCCCCCCACACACACATATACACACTATGCAGTTCAACACTCTGACTTACTGCCTAGCTGACTTTGCTGCAGCGGGTTCTTTAGTTGGTTAGCTAGGAATTGGGAGGTGAACGATGGTGGGCTTGGTGCGCGCTGTGGCAGGTCAATGACTGACGTCGTTGCTGCCGGTTTAGGCGGCGGTGGTGGCGGTGCTGGTGGTTGTTGACGTGCCCCTGATCCAGACCTGTAGGGTCAGAGTAGCGCAGGACTGTAGGGTCAGAGTAGCGCAGGACTGTAGGGTCAGAGTAGCGCAGGACTGTAGGGTCAGAGTAGCGCAGGACTGTAGGGTCAGAGTAGCGCAGGACTGTAGGGTCAGAGTAGCGCAGGACTGAAGGGTCAGAGTAGCGCAGGACTGTAGGGTCAGAGTAGCGCAGGACTGTAGGGTCAGAGTAGCGCAGGACTGTCAACATCACTGGTTTGTGCAATCCAGTGTGCTATGCTGGTGTCACGGGTATCATGTATCATATTTCCGGAGTATAAGCCGCACTTTAGTTTAGACACTTGAAGTTCACCCCAAAAACTCAGCGGAGGACGTTCAGGTTTTTTGTAACTCTGATGATTTTTATGCCGCGAGACAATCACCAGACAACTGGATCAGTAGCCTTGCGGCATGAACACTCGGAGTTACAACCAACCTGAATGTCCTCCACTGGGTCTGCAGTACATTGGTTAAAGATGTTGCGCTGAAGCACTGGTAGCACTGAACTATGCAGTTGTTATGTAGGGGATAATTATAGCGCTGAATTAGAGAAATTATGATACGGGAAGAATTTTTTTAAAGTTATCCCCATGGGGTATGTTATACTGACGTTTTGCTGTAATTCAAATACTGATAGCCGGGACCATCTGAACAGCATCCATGCATGCCTCTGCTGAATGACTGGAAGACTGGCACAGCACCGGCTACACTTACGCCATCTCGGTGTCGGACGACATCAGCTTTCGCATGATCTGGCTACTCCTCTGCTTGGGCGTGGTGTAGGTGAGAGGAATGGCTTCTAGATATTGTTACCAACACACAGAGCATCAATAGGCACAGACGCAGACCCCGTCACCAATGCACAGGTGCATATTATTGATACAAAATGGGCTTATCAATCACATCCGTGCTGAGCAGCACTTCAACTAGTATACCTAGTACTTACACTGGGTAAGCTTAGCTAACAAATATTGGTAGAAACAGAAGCATGTTAGCAGCGTCAATCAGCTGGTCTCATAACTGCAACACACGGTATAGTACCTGGCTTTGTTCGCTCCGTAATCAGCAAGCCCTGGCGTATGTACTCGTTAGTGATCGTCGTAAGGTAGTCGTTCTGCCATGAAAACAAAGCAAAAACAAAGCCGACGGAAACAGACGAATAGATTCAGGCCGGGACATTATAATGAGTGCTGCAGCGGGTAGTTAGCCAGCCACACCGGATACGAAGGAATGCTTACCAAGTCAGGCTGTGGTGCCACCATCGGGTAGACCAAGTGTGGCATGTCGAGAACTTGCTGGAAAGCATGGACCAAAACACACGCACGCACACACACGCACACACACACGCACACACACACACACACACACGCACACACACACACACACGCACACGCACACACACACACGCGCACGCACACACACACACACGCACACACGCACACACGCACGCACACACACACACACAGTACACTGTGAGTAGGTACATGATGCAATGCAGTCACAAAAGGCCAGGTATATCTTTCCAGCTAGTTCACAATGCCGACGCATACAGAAGAGTGAATAGCTGTGCAAATAAGTCCTTACCCTGCTCCTTGAATCTATCCTCTCCTGAGTGTGCGGTGGTGGTCCATTCCAACCGGCCTTGGAGCTTGTCAGGTGACTATCAACCTTGGTACAAGTAATGGACATTATAGTTGCAATGGGTAAGCTAGACAAACGCCTCTTCCCCGCACACTATTGAACTGATCTTGTGTGTGCTGCCATAGAAACCAACCCTACCATACGGTGCACTGTCAAGCAACGCTTGCCAAGACAACCGGCGCTACTGACTGCATGTTCTGTGCTTTGCACTATTCAGGCAACTGACAATATTGTGCCATTGCTCCATTTCTGGTGGTGGCCACTCTTCCATAGCATATGCATACCGATACTCCCCATACACATGTAGTCAAAATCTCCTAAGTTAGCTAGCGGTCAACTGAGCTCCGAGAACCGGCGAGTGAACCCAGCCCGCAAACAAGTCCAGACACCTTGGTTATAATGCAAGTAGTAAGTTAGTAGTTCACGTTGCATGCATAGGATTCCAGAGCCTCCAAACTAAGCTACTTTACTCAGTTTTTAAGGCCAGCGACGGGTGGAAAGTGTTGGTACGGTCTCATTGGACAAAGAATGAAGCTTAGCAATAACTACTAGAAGAACCAGTATTGGTAACAAAGGACTTGCACATCTTCCTCCTGGACCGTACCTTTGATTTTGCCTTCAGCACAATATCCTTCTCCACCAGTGGAACCATTGACGGCTGGCCATTGTCCTATACACCAGATGGAAATAGCACCAATAGCAATCCCTAAACTGCAGCAAATCAAAGCTGTTTGGCTAAGAATGACCGGTATGCATGGACACATTACTTTGCGGTCAAAGAACATCCACTACGATGTCAGGTTAATACTCTAAATGAACAAGATGTATGAGAAGCGACAGAGTCAGGTACAGCCACAATTCGTATGTAGTGACAAGAGACAAATCATGAGGAAACTCATTGACTAGTCCCACAATAGAGGACATCTGTTCACTCAAAACGTCTTCTGTCTTCCCACCCACGAGCGGTAAAATACTGGTATTTTACTACTCCCTGCTTCTCACCCAGGGCAACTGTGACATACAGGTAAAAGTTACCGTAAAACACAGCGACTGAATCTGTTTTAGGAATGACTCACGGTAGCGGTTACCCTTACCAGCTCTTGAGGCTGAGTCTGCGGTTGTGCTGTTGCTGCTGCTGGTTCTGCAGCGGCGGTGAGAGGATGGTGAGCTGGCTTGATGGGAGCAGGGTCGCTGGAAGGGTGCACCTGCCGCTTGCTCTCAAAGTGTAGCTTCACTTTGGCCTTGGCCTTGTCTCGGCGTGCCTTGCGACGTTTTCTCTGCAGGAACAGAAATATTCGAAGCCTTTCCTTAGTAGGTGCTTGAAGTATCTGATGGTACAACACTGCTCAGTTTAGACCCAGAGATTGCATAGCTGCAAGCTGCTATCGGAGTTTACAGCAAAGACTTTTAACTCAGCCACTTGATACCAGTGCATTTTGGTATGATACTTCAATGCCGCACCAAATGTACACAACCTCAGTACATGTAGGCGCCCATTTTTAATAACAGGGTCACCAACACATTGAACACATCTACTTCGAAGTACAAGTATACTGGTGATAAGGATCTTCAAGTTCCAAACAAATGCCAAACAAGGGATTCTAGTGAAGAAGTTCAACTAAGAAAGAAAATAATTTCATCCAACATCCTCCACTATTTGTTCAACTGGAAGTGACGAGCAGCGTTACAGTGTCACGCGGCACATCTGAAGTGCATGGAAGAGGTGACATGCAGGCGATAACAATCCGCAGCGGCGTTGTGTGAGGCGTTGCGCACAGTGCTAGCATTTACAAGTTAAAGTGCCGATTTCCCATCGTTCTTAAAGTGCTAGCGCTCAGTCCAGCGTAGCACCTAGTGTTAAGCATCTCATCAATACATGCCAGATTGGCTGTGAGTCTTTAAAGTGCAACCCGGCCCAGTGTTTTCACACGCTACCTCCTCTGATAATGACACATGCACGGGTAAAGTGAAGGGATCAATACAAGCAGCGTGCATGTGTGCACAACACTGCACAAGTTCTGTACAAAGCAGGAGTCAATGCAGCATACAGTGCAAATACTCGTGTGTCAACAGAGGTGTCAGGTACCATGGATAGGTTACCTTTTCCGCGCGATGCGATACGTGTTGCTTGAGCAGTGTTGGCTGTACAACAGGCTCACCATCACTGCCACTGCTGTCTGAGCCACCGTCGTCACTGAAGCATGTGTTTAGCGTACATAGTTAGGATGCACGTGCACATGCAAACAAGCGCATACACACATGCACGCACACAAACACACACATATACACACACACACACACTCGCACACATGCACAAACACACACACACACACATACACACACACACACACACACACACACGCACACACACACACACACACACACATACACACATGTTTGTGAACACAAGCCTGACTGTATAATGTCACACAAAACTGGGTATTTCAATCATTGTGGATCCTATCCACCAACACCCATTCCTCATTTCACGTCATCATGCCTCACATGCACCGATGAACATGCTGCAACCACTTACCTTGAGAGATCAGAGTCAATGTCCATATTGAGCAGGTCTTGTCCAGGCAGTACGGCGCGGCCCAGCTGCTGCAGCCGCTGCAGGATCTTCTGGCGGTGTCGCTCGGCCAGCTCCTCCAATATGTACTGCACCTTGCTGGGATCCGGGTCGCAGTAGTCCAGTATGGCATCGCAGAAGTGAGCGCCCATGCTCTCCAGGTCGTCGCTGTGGAAGTGATAGCCGATCGCCGGCCCCTCCACCTTACTGCCGCAGTACGTAGCCTAATGGTTCACATCACAAAAGATACGTGCATCGAGGTGATCAAAAGCTTAAAATGTAGCAGAAATGATGGATGCCGAGTCATTGCTGACACAGTGTGAGAACTAAGAGTAAGGTTGAAACAACCTTGGAACGCTCCAGTTGTGTTTTCTTACAGCAAATGAACTCAATTGTTACCAAGCAGATTCTCACCCCTTGATAGCGTGTATGTGTTCATACACCATGTACCATACACCATACACCATACTCGTCACACCGGCATCACGCCACACCCGTCTGCACACTAGACCATATACAACATCAGACATTGGACCACGCAAGACGAGACTGGTGACCATATACAATACCATGCAAAAATCATAAGCGAGTCGAATTTCGTAACACAATGATCAAAGTGACAGAAGGATTGCCACCGACGGATGGGCAACTTTCTGTAAAATACCAATCCGCCCGCTGTACATTAGGTTTTGTGTCACAACACCTGAACTTCAAACAGTCCTACCTCCATTGTAAAGCTGTTCAGAATTCCCTGCCGCCACATGACAATACGACCAGTTCCTTCCTGCATTGAAAAATCACAAACACAAATAATAACGTTATATGGGAAAGTGGGCATCAAATATACTTGGAGGCAATGCAGGAGTAACAGATGCATTAAAGTGCTGCACACAATTGTGACATGTCCTGCTGGATGCAAGTATTGGTAAGAGAGACACTTCGACCATGAATACGGGTGTACTATTTTCATTGGTTTGAGGGAAAGATGCAAACTGGAAAAGTCTGAAGAAAAAATTGACTGTCACCACCAGGGCTCGAACCAGGGACCTTCGCTTGAGGCCAGCAATGCTATTTATGCGTATAAGGCATAGTGTTAGTACGTGTGTTAAAGTACCTTCACTACTAGAACACTGCACTTCTCCTATTTTCTCGGTGTCCGACCTATACCACACTGCATACAGTACAATGCACGCTCACGTTTCGACCAGAACTTGGACTATTCAAGTTATACATTGCACTGTTGATGTCATACACTTCATGCACACCTGGCATCGGTCTGTGTCCACAATTGGGCGTCCAACAGTATGCTGCACTACAGCCTTCAATTGCATTAGGTGTTCAACCATCGTTTTAAGTTTGACAACGCTCAGATGAATACACAGCGATAGCTATCAGTCCAGAATGCCCATCCAGTCACACATCCCGCACCCCATGCCGTACACATCAGCCTGCATCTATGTCATAGTCGTGTTCAGGTTAACTCCGCTGGCTTACCTTGCTTTTCTGGCACCTGAAGTGGCACTTGTCAAACTTGAACTTCAGCAGCAACGCACACAGGAAAACCGACATCCAGTTCTGATCTCAAACCAGGAACTTATGGTCACCTAGCAAAATCAGCTCAACTTTTAAGTGCAGTCCTGGCCAGAGAAATCCGACCACATGAACATAATAGCGCCGGGTGCTATGCGGCCCTAGTACCACAAACACCACCCTGCTCACTTGAGCACAGCGCTACATTATTCATGAGGTTGGAAATCTCTGGCCAGAACTGTAGTAGCTGAACTACTCGGGGTTAAGTGACAGCCCCATGGTGCATAAAACACTGGTCTTGACGGACAGATGGTCTTTCAACACAGGTTAAATATATGTGGCCGCATGGTCTGGGTCGTGAATGACCGGTCTCATAAGACAGGTGTGGTCTTGCAAAACACGTGGTCTCAGAAGACAGGCAGCATCTTATCACAGTGGTCTCTACACAGGCTTTAGTGCAGTTGTCGTCTCTACTCTATTATGATACCGGCTTTACATGTACACGCACATGAAATGCAGTCCTGTTGAAAACAGCGGTGAGATCTATAATAGATGAGAGGGAGGCACATTGCACAGAAATCGGAAATTCTTGTGTTGAGCTGCTATCATGCAGGGTCCTTGTGTGTCTGTGGTCCTTGTCTACTTAAAAAAAACTTTAACCATTGGCTCTATCACAGGATGCTCAATGTACCTGCCGGCACGTGTACCTGTGATCAGCTCACGCTCAGCCTCACGGTCATGTGCCATGAGCAATGCATGGTTTATAGTACGAGCAACAGCACGATTGTCCAATCCTACCTTGCCCTGGCATGTCTTGTCCAGTATCAGCGGGAACACGCGCTCATGAAAACGGAGCAGAGGATTTCCCCTAGCAGACAGTCAAGATGCAGTCCGACAGAAACAATTAGAGCATCGCTGGCTACAAGCGAGGGCCCCTGGTTCGAGTCCTGGTGGTGACAGTCGATTTTTTCTTCAGACTTTTCCCGTTTGTCTCTCTCCCTCAAACCAGTTAAAATTATCAGTGTACTGAACATTCTTGTTCAACAAATACCATGACCCAACTCGCTAGCTGATTTAATGGGACACTAAAGTCTCATTTTCGACATTTTCGATGTAAAGACGAAGGTACAATTGGGTGTAAGAGAAGACCTCTCTGGTCTAGATGCACACATATGTAAACCCTGTAACACAGCACGGTAACACCACAATGGTCTCTTTCATGAGCCATTGTCGGCCACGGGTAGTTGTGATGGGAAAGAGTCGCCTGGCCGACGGCTTGACTAACACCTATACATCACAACTGAAAAGCATCTCTAGTAATAATGGCCACATCCATATATTTTGGACACTGCCCTGCCATCGTTCACGACCGCACACATGCCCGCCATCACAACTGAAAAGCATCTCTAGTAATAATGGACACATCCATATATTTCGGACACTGCCCTGCCATCGTTCACGACTGCACACATGCCCGCATCCACAAATACGGACATGCACACAAACCAGCACATGTAAGATTCAGAGTCCTTACTTGTTCTCGCATCCGTAGATGAACACGTTGTTCTTGCGACTGTGGCCGTGAAAGTCACAGTATAATAGGACGTCACGTTCTTTTAGTAATCTGCACATTAGACAAACAGATAAACATTCGCCGTATCACATACCAAACATGCGCAAATGAGAGAGGGAAATTTTCTCCAATCTAAGCATCCTCAGTTGCACAAACTGAAACGGGTATCTGTGCGCAAGTTTGACCACCTAGTTGTCCCTGGAAAGTTTATTGTTGAAGACCAGCGGGCGGCCATTGTGCGGAGGTTGATGTGCAGAATGTCTTGAAGGCTTGAGATGACTTTCACCACTGGTGTGAGTGAAGCAGCATCACCACCCCCAACACCACCAACCGCAGCAGCAGCAGCAGCCACAGCAGCAGCACAACCATCACCACTGCCACTAAGTTACCGGCAGCGGTGGTGGTTGTGGTGGTGGCGGTGGGCAGTGGTAGCAGTAGCAGCAGCAGCAACACTGAGACGCATTAGCAATAGCAGCAGCAGCAGTCTATCTTACCTCTTCACCATCTCCCTGCAGTGCCATATCGTCGGGTAGGCTTCCTTGTAGTTGGATCTGTAGTTGCGGTTCAGATCGCGTGCGGCCAGCGAACAACGGTAATTGCCGACAATCACCCCGTCTGGGTTCAGCATCGGTATGACTTTGAACACAAAGCAGTCACGTAGTAGCTACACCAGCAAACACACGTATGCACACACGTATGCACACACGGCACCAGAAGCACAGTGGAAGCATTGGAATCACATGATATGTGCAACAGGCAGAAGGAGGATAGCTCTCAGTTTGTTCCACAGCATAATTCAAATGTGACTGAAATTGCATGCAATGGTAATATCGCCGACTTTACCCTATCGATATTCACTTCTGCTGAGAAGTGTTGTTAGGCAAAGGTTCGTTCCTATCCAGCTTTGTAGCAACACAACAATTCTGTCAATGTAAGCAGTGGTGGCCGAGTGGTTAAAGGGGAAGTATACCCTAAAATCAAATTTTCACCAGTTGTAGTCTTCGGGGTGCTGAGTCGAATGGTCTTGGTCCGAGGAAGCTGAGACGCTCCCTTCCTACTTGAATCCCAATCGAACTCGCGCACTTCCACCGAAACTGGGTGACTGCGCCCTACTAGATGGGGATTTGTATGCAAAATGTCACTAAAAGCGCCATTTCGTTCTTATAAAAGCACGGATGACCGCGATTGGCCCATATGTTGTAGTCTTTTGGACGCTGAGTCTATTGGTTTTGGTCCTAAAAGGCTGCAATGCAGCGTTCCTCCTTCATTCCCAATCGAACATGGTTGAACAAGCGGTCACGTGCTCCTGCGTACGCCAGTCACCTGGTCACCGTGCCTGCAGGGTACAACTTACTAGCCTATTTGACCTTTTTTGGGTGCAGTCCTGTCACTCGAGTTGAACTCGAGTTGAACCTTGGTGTGAAAGTTGTCGCCTGCTGGCGTGATGACCAGGGGCCAGGGGATTTGGGCACCCAGGAGCACGTGACCGCTTGTTCAACCATGTTCGATTGGGAATAATGGAGGAACGCTGCATCGCAGCCTTTTCGGACCAAAACCAGTCGACTCAGCGTCCAAAAGACTACAACGTATGGGTCAATCGCGGTCATCCGTGCTTTTATAAGAACGAAATGGCGCTTTTAGTGACATTTTGCATACAAATCCCCATCTAGTAGGGCGCAGTCACCCAGTTTCGGTGGAAGTGCGCGAGTTCGATTGGGATTCAAGTAGGAAGGGAGCGTCTCAGCTTCCTCGGACCAAGACCATTCGACTCAGCACCCAGAAGACTACAACTGGTGAAAATTTGATTTTAGGGTATACTTCCCCTTTAAGGCGATTGACTAGAAATCAATTGGGCTCTGCCCGCACAGGTTCGAATCCTGTTCACTGCGGTGTTTATATCTTTTTTTTCTTCCTTTGTAGACAATCAACGTGAGCAAGAAAGAGCACACAGAGAAGAATGTGCAACTCCGCAACTGGTCTGGTCAACGGCAGATTTTCTTCTTGACGTCACCTTTTTTCCAGAACCCATGACCCACGACTATCACCACACAGTAAAACCTGTGACTAACGACCACCCCTAGCCCTTGGGGCCGGAGAAAGCGGTCTTTAGTGGCAGGTGGTCCTTAGTTCGAGGTTTGCACCGCACAACCATAATGAACGCGAGACCGTCCGTGCCTGGTGAAGTGGTCTGTAGTACCAGGCTGGCCGTTAGTCACGGTGGTCGTTAGTTACAGGTTTTACTGTAATGCAATACTGCGTATACAATGTCATGTATTTAGATATGGAAAGTGGAAATGAGTTTGAAAAAATTGATCACTATAGCCGCCAACCCTATAAGTGATGCACACGGTACAGTCACAGAGGGTAGTTCTTCCTTGCTTTCTCAGTAGGTCAGTACACACCTTTGCATCTGCACTGGACCCGCAGATGAAATCCAGAAAGCCTTTCATCATCCAGCTGCCGTTGGTCTCTCCGGGATGCACACGCGCCGTCACAACGATTGCTCTCTTTTCCTATTCAAACGCAAATACACACACATGTGCACATGAATGATTTTTCGGAGAACAAAGGCTTAGAAGATCGCAGCAACAAGACTACGCTGCTTCCTATAATACCCCCGACCCGACTTCACCCAAGACAAGTGTGCCTTTGTGAACCCTCTGTTAGTGACTATCGACTGCATTTTCGTTGAATGGCATGAAAAACACAAACATTGACAAATGAGTGGGGGGGTATAACTTTTTCACATGGGGGGGGGGCTCAATCAGAGTAGGTCCGGGGGGGGGGGGGGGGGCTCAATCAGAGTAGGTCCGGGGGGGGGGGGGGGCACTCCTACCCTCCTTTGGCTAGAACCCTGCATACGCACTAGAAAGGTTACTGATAGAAACACGAACTTCCTTTACCTTTGCCTCCATGGGTGACTTGCTAGGTGACGTGATGGTCAGTATATGAACATAGTTACCAGCTATCGTCTGGCACAGAACCTTCTGACGGCAGAATCGAGATCGAATGGGATCACCGGCAATGCGTCGCAGATACTCCTGAAAAAGGCATGAAAGCATTGGATACACTGAGGGACTCACCGCTCAACTTCAAATGCATGCACAAGGGTGGAAATAAGAGAAACTACCAAAAGGACGATTAAAAAAATCATCCTTTCGCAGTGAACAGGATTCGAACCTGTGCGGGCAGAGCCCAATTGATTTCTAGTCAATCGCCTTAACCACTCGGCCACCACTGCTGACACATCCGTAGATCAACTGGCAGCAAATTTCCTATTGCACTGATCAAGATTCATAGCCACTGTATGAAGGTGGCCATTCTCCGAGACCCTTTGGCACCGGGCCGCACACACATTACATTCTTATACACGTGCGTCCCAAAAAACGACGACGACGATGGCAACAACAGCAACAACCTCCAGTGAGGACTACACGCAGCATGCAGCAAGTGATGCCACAGACCTGGTGCTTTCAGATCACTGTATCCATTGTCACATTGCGCCGGTTTTGAGTGGTCACTACAGTACAGTATGGACGACTGCTGAACACGTTGCAAATCTACCGTATTTTCCGGAGCATAAGCCGCATTGGCAGGAGTATAATGCACGCAGAAAGGATTTCGTCACGAAATACAGGCATCTACCCTGTATTTCACGGTTCATTCGAGCATCGTAGTATAGACCGTGTCGGCTTTTTTCGGGTGAATTGCGAGTGTTAAAAAAAAGTGCAGCTTATACTCCGAAAATACGGCAGTCCGACAATTGCATGCTGTTAGATCGCCACTCACCTGCAAGTCCATGTATGTGTAAGGGTAGCAGTGTGCAAAGTAGCAGGTGTCATTGGCATACGGCAGCTTACACGTCCATGTCATTGAGTAGCAGCAGCGCTCGGGAGCGTCCAGCCGCCTGCCCAAGCACAGTACAGACATCGCAACAGTCTCTTGATACAGACACTGAAATAGCTTGCACACCACTGCACCCAAACGATAAGCTCAATCGGCATGTACATGTATACCACTACGCTGAGTGCACCTCTACTTATATGTGTGCATTATTTCCCAGGCAACCTTCTGATTTACAGTAGGGAGGACAGCAATAGGCTATTTTCTTAGCTTACGCGAGTAGACATGCAAAGCCTACAGTCATGATACTGGTCTGCTCCAGCTGCATGTGTGTCTGTTGGTGACGGAATAGGATGACCACTGAGAATAGGAATAAAAGTCATCTAGCGTTAAGACTGATCAGTGACCGATGGCCATACCTGACTGAGTTCTTGTAGTAGGAGATGAATGCACCATTGCGCACCCAGCCCACGCCACGCGTGCTCGCATCCTTCTCGGAGTAGAAGACTGGCTTCAGTCCTTCATTGTAGAGAGATGCCGGCTAGATGAAGGACACAAACACGTACGCATAAAGCAAACCACAGTACAAATCGACCCAGCCATGGACAGGGATGGTTTGTCATAAATCCCTAGTTTCATACGGCTAAAATATTTTCCATTCTTCCGCAGTAATATCAGTGTGTAAGCAAGACGCATACTGATAGTAATTATAATTCCCCGTCGGCAGACATGCGACTATTGGTGTGCACATTGATTACCGGCATGGTCACCTGCACGTTGATTACCATGGTCGCTTGCACGTTGGTTACCATGGTCACTTGTATGTTGGTTACCATGGTCACTTGCACATTGATGGCCATGGATGCTTGCACATCAGTTACCATAGTTACCTGCACATTGGTTACCATGGATACTTGCACATCAATTAACATGGTTACAGGCGCTTACAGGTCTCTACTCTAGTACAGGTTGGTACCGATGACCACAGGCTACCTGGGTTGGCCTCATTTCGATAGTTTCTCCTGTACAGAATGTTGTAAAAGGTGCTCGATATTCGACAACAGCAATCCTACCAAGAGTACATGAAACCCGGATTTCGCTGTGACAGACACCCATGTAGAAAAAGACAGAAGCTGCATGCCCTGTGTTTCATGTACTCTTGATCCTACTCACCTTGAGCAGGTTCATTATGGTGAAGCGGTACGCGGTGTCGGCACGCGTGTTCTGCACTCGGAAGTAGAACCACTGTGTGTGCTTCTTTGTGTACAGGTCTGTGCGCAGGTACAGCTCATAGTCGTGTGGACCTCTGCAGCATTGTACAAATAACATTACATCAAGAGTACATAACCCCCCAGAGTGTGCAACGCCTGATCCAGCTCTGCATAGGGTCTTGGTCGAGCGTAATCGGATCTTTGCGTCATAATACCGTACACATCTGAGAGGAACCCGGGGAGTCGCGGGTACTCTCGGATCAAAAACAACGGTGCCCTGCCTCGAGACCGGCCTTGTGCTGGTGAGTGTACGCATGACATCAGAAGATCCGATTACGCTCGACCAAGACCCTATGCAGAGCTGGATCAGGCGTTGCACACTCTGGGGGGGTTATGGGCCCCTCTTGGTTACATGTACAACAGGAATAAGAGAATGAAAAACGTGTTTTTACTCCGAGTTCCATGCACTAAGTAATCATCGGAAAACAGATGCTAATAATAACACTGCATCAAACAACTTGATACAGGATGGCGGGGGTTGGAAATGGATTAAAGTAACAGTGTTGTGCAACTGACGAAGGTCGGAAATCCGGAAATCATAACAAATTTTACTTGAAAAGGATTAAGTGACTTACACTTTGTACACATGCTGCAAATTACCACTTTCAAAGCGCGACTCAAACACCAGTGTCTCGCTTTCGGGTGACGGCGAGACGGCAGCGGACTTCAGATCTCTTCCGGGAGAAGGTCCAGCACGGGCCCGGACAAACTGCACACCGACAACAGAAGTTCAACGCTATGCTAGCGCAAGTACTGAATGGCTTCTAGTTGGGGAAATTGTTCTTACACTCTGCTTCGGCAATGTGTTCAGTGCCGTTTAAATATTATGATAAGTCTGACATACCATAATTAAACTGCACTGAACATAGTACACAATCAGTGACTATTCAAGTTCTTCGCACATCTCCAAAAACATTGCAAGGTATTCTTCAAAGTCTTTACGTGGCTGAAAACATGTGCAGCCTTAACGTCCATCGTGTACTTGTACCTGTATACAGTCTATCAACATTCTACTTGATTGGCTTACGTATGGCTCTGGACCAGGCTGGTTGTTGTACACTAGCTTGGCTTTGCTGTACGGCTTGGATGGCTGATAGGTGAAGTCATCCACCTCTGCGTGAAACCAAGCACAGCAGCAGTGATAGCACAATCAACCCGGCCGTGAAATCAATGCAAACTGTGCGAGCGATGAGAGCACGGTCAGGTGGGACTTCCTTTCGACAGGATACACTCGAGATTATGGTCCAAATATAGAGACTGTGATGATGTCATGGGAAAGAGACAGGTGATATTTAATGCCATGTGCCTCTCCTGTGCTATCCTCCCCCTCCTCTCCCTCTCTCTCTCTCTCCCTCTCTCTCTCTCTCTCTCTCTCTCTCTCTCTCTCTCTCTCTCTCTCTCTCTCTCTCTCTCTCTCTCTCCCTCTCTCTCCTTCCCTCTCTCTCTCTCTCTCTCTCTCTCTCTCTCTCTCTCTCTCTCTCTCTCTCTCTCTCTCTCTCTCTCTCTCTCTCTCCTCTCTCTCTCTCTCTCTCTCTCTCTCTCTCTCTCTCTCTCTCTCTCTCTCTCTCTCTCTCTCTCTTTCTCTCTCTTTCTCTCTCTTCCTAAGTCCAAGGTTGATATCAGTGCTGCTAAATATACATGTGAGCATCACTTCATATATTTATAGTAAACTGCAGTCGGCTGAGGAACAGCACTTACTGCGATTGTAGAATCGCTCTCGTTTTAATGGCGTGTAGTGTATGTGATGCGGTCTTGTTGCAATACACGGCACTTCCACAGGCCTGCAGCGGGAACAAACAAAACACGCACAACACGCATACCTCACTAGTTGTCATTAGACAGCTCAGGAATACTGTCGCCTGCAGCGTGTTTTCGACTTTTCCGCCTAAGCTGTCTGGTTTCCCCACACCCAATATATTCGCTGTCCAGCCATGCACTAGAGTGCATGGCTATGAATTTACATCATGATCAGTTGAGAGGCTTTGCATGGAGTAGAAAAGCCACGGTGCAGTGATGCACTAGTATGGCTAGCCACTCAATGCATCACACTCACAAGCAAATCGGCTGGCTCGTCACCATGACATCATCTGTATATTCTCTATAGAGAAAATACGATATTTCAGGGATTTCCCAACGGCAAATGTACTACAGTAGAATCTGTGAAGGCGGCCAGTCTGATACATCGACGACCTGTCCCAGAAGCGGAACACTACAACCAGGACGAATGGATGCTATTTCCAGCCAAATGCCCCTGGATAAGAAGAGCATCTGTACAGCATGTGTAAGGTCCCTTCAGTGATCGGCCGCCTTAGACAGGTTTCACTGTACATCAGTCCATGTTTGCCGAGGGAGAGCAATGGTACCTACCAGCGAGGATTAGACGCATGGACGACAGCATCGCCAGTGGTGCAGAACAGCTGCCGTGGCTCCCTTAGCTTTAGTGCCTGCACGCCATGACCGTGGTGCCATCAGTATTTCAGGGATGGAGTGAAAGCAAACAAAAAGAGAGAACTCCTTAAGTTCAATTCCATCAGCGTTGCTTATGGTACCCCATTGTGTAATAGGTATGTCGTGCTAACTACATCACAATCTGTTGCATCCAGCCAATGTCTAAATCCGTACACGTTCGGATGGTGTCCTCCATAGTACGGAGACACATCACGAGCAAAGTCCAGTTACACAAACATTCTACCCTCCAGTAGGGTCTGGACTGGGCTCTACTGGCCGGGAACCCATTGCTGGGACAGCAAAAAAGGCCACTGCGGCATGTGACATGAGGGGCCTACTCATCAGATACTGTACTTCACAAATATCAGGTTGGATCCAAGCTGGTGGCACAGAAGTTGATATCAATTTTGTTGACGTCTGACATCATCATTGCAAGCCCTATGCATGTCTGTACATTGATGTCTGTCACTGATGGGAAGCGAGAAAACTTGTTTTCATGTACATACTTGTAAGTTAACTCATCAATCTTCAGCAACAAAGGAATATGCAAGACCAGCCAAGATTACATGCCAGTTGTGGAAGAGATATCAACCCTCACCAACCTACTAGTAGGCAACACAATTGCAAACTTGCGTGCATTGGAAAATCAGCCAGCGATCGGAAACTGCACATCTCAGCGTACCTGTCGATCGCCGCTTTTATTCCACACCAGCTGTGTCGTCTTTTCATGCTCTTTTTCATAGTCCTTCTGAGCTGTGTGCACAGGCAGTGGAAACAACAGGTTTCACGTGTGATTGTATAGGAAGTTGTAGGGGCTATACAACACCCTGGAGTGAATGGGACAGCGAGGCAACTCAAGAGTGAGCTGTGTTCTCCCGCAACGAAAACAATACTGTGCCGATAAACTGCTATAAACTGATAGTGGCAGCTGACTCAAAGGAACACTGGGGCATGCTCTGCATTCCTGGATCCTGTGTTCTTGACTTCTGACTATTGCCTAATATGGAAGATTGAACTAATGACAGGATGCCATAATATTTTTAGGACTTCTATACTACAGAAACAGTGACAGTTCATGTATGAATTCGATGGGTAGATCTGATGGCCCGGGAATGGGCGCCATGCTGGCACTAATGCCCAGCAAGGGCACAGGACCTTGAACACGAGCACATGGCCAAGGTGTGATCCAATGCCTAAATAGACTTAATAGAGCCTGCAATATCATGGTTGAACGTGTCAGGGCAAGAACAAGAGCATCAGAGCCGGGTGCGTGTAAGAAAGAGCGGAAAATCCTCAGCGGCATCCTAATCACTGAGTCAGTGAGAAGACAAAGGGCCTCATACAGTACTGTCGGGCGCCGAAGAACGGAGCGCCAAAGAACGACCAGGCTAGAATTTCATCAAGCACAGCATACCAATGTATACACGGTGACTCAACTGCCCATAGCCTGTAATACATGAAAATAAGAACGGTCTAGGCTAGGAGGCTGACCCACCAGTTCTTCGGCAACCGACAGTGCTGTACTACTGCACCAGAATGCCCAAATTCTGATGAACTAGCCGCGTCACAGTTATACACAATCGATACCGCAGCTAGCTGTGTCTATCCACATTGAACATTACATGACGTACAGTAACACAGTTGAATACACTACTACCATGGTAACTACCGCAATGTCCATCAGTGCCCCACCATCACTGCTGCGTATCGGTGCAGCCCCTACTCAGTAGTTGTCACGTTTGTCCTTGTCTCAGTACCATTGTCTTTCATTGTTATTTACGAGTTGGGTATGTGAACATAGTAAAAAATATTTTTTTTAATGTCGCTGGTAAAAAAAAGCCGGGCTTACTCCCGTAGAAGCCAATGTCAAGGCTAGGCTTCTATTCAAACCAAGTATTTCTATGTACATGTCAACACTAAAACCAGGCGTATATGCCGACAGTGCATCTTGAAAATCAGCGGGCTTGCATTCAAAACAGGCTTCTCCGTGTACATCAGGGATGAATTTCCTGTCACGTTTTTGCATAGCAGTTTTTGCTATGCAAAATCTCAATTGCGGCGTAAGCTACGAAAAGCATGGATCGCCTGTACATGTATGTATCGCAGCTTTCTGCGTGTCACTGTGATTTTTGAGTAGCAGTAGATCGATTTTGCGTAGCAAACTGCGATGCGATACCGGATAAATTCATCCCTGTATATGTATATGAGACAGGGTTTTATGCAAGACCGTGACTACAGTACATCAGATGGAGACCATGATGATGATATTGCTCAGTACCTTCCTGGACCATGTGCCGTTGCATCACTATCGGGTCCATTGCGGAGTGAGCTGCACCTGCAGGTATGCACGAGAATACATGTATGAACAAGACGCAGTCACAGAAACTTTTTAAACACCACTCCAGGGCTATAGTTTATATCATCATGAATTCATGATGCAGATCAGCCTAATGCCACTGAGCATATGGGGAGGCAGGGGAGACGACTGGGGTAGGGGGGTTGTTATATGATTGTTTGCAGACTGACAATTGTGAATGAGTTCCCTTCAGTTTACAGAAAAACCTTCAACTAACGACCACCCCTTGGGGCCAGAAAAAGAGGTCTTTAGTAGCAGGTGGTCTTTAGTTAGAGGTTTGCCCCGCCGACCATATACATGTACGGATCCCATTCTATGATATGTATGTCGAAATGCAGCTAATACAATTCCCCACCACTTGCGCAGTGCCACTTCTCCTTTGAGCAGTAACATCGATCAGAGAGCAGCTTCAATGCCCTCTTCAAAACGTTTCCTATCATGTTTGCTCATGACAGCACTTGAAACTATGACAAGTGCAGTACAGCCCACAGTCAAAATGAGCCTGCGTTCATTTGTTCAGCTGTAGTATCGAAAGAGTCTATTCAGGACCATGGAAAATCATCAAAGTTTCAAAAAAGGAGCTTCAAACAACCTTTGATTTCCTAAATCGCGGTCGCTAGTTACGGGTCAAAAATCGACATTGGGACAAGAAAAGGCGGTCGCTGATCGTGTTCAGCAGGTAGTCGCTAGTCACAGTGCATTTTGAATGTGAGACCGTCCATGCCTGGCAAAGTGGTCGGTAGTACCTGGCTGGTCGCTAGTCACGGTGGTCTTTAGTTACAGGTTTTACTGTATTTCAGTTTTGACGAACACAAGGGAGGGGGGGGGGGGATCAAACTAACCACATGCATGTGCCACCGGTAAGGTCAGGAAATCCGAATACGGAATAGCCATTACAAACATGGAGTGTTTCCCCACGACTGATGCAGCATGTGAGAATGAAACGAGTCGCATCCTACTAAAAGTACCTGCTGCCCCCGCGCTGTCACCTCCACCAGGCCTGGCGTCCCGTGGCTCGTTCATTGACATTGCAACCAGCCGACCGTCCAATCCTGCTGAACCGCTGCTCGCGGAAACATGGACATTCTCATGCAACTGCTGATCGGTGTTGTGATTCAGAATGAGATCCCGCACAGTAGGAATACCCTATGCACAGCCCTGGGCGCAGCAGCTAGCTGGCTGTTATTCACTTGTTGGTCGAGGGCTAGGACGATAATAACGCCACCGGTCACGCTGCTTACCCAGTCTTCCGCTCACGCCGGACTCTCAGCTGGCCACCGGCGGTGGTGGTGCTCGTACGATCGTACTCCCTGCGTCTGGGCAGGGTCCAATCCACAATAACAACCTCGGCACGATTCTCATACGAATGGAGCCGTGTCGACTTGGGCTGAAAACCCATTCACTGTGACATTTTCGTTGATCTGATTCATTCGTTACCAGGCATTACTGCGCGGAGCATTCCTATACTACTTTTTTCATGCAGACTAGGGAGTAATCAATAAATTAATAATTCACTCTTGGCTCTCGTTTCAGCTAGCTGCAAATACAAGCTGAGGGAATAAAGATTAATCGTAGTGTCACCCGACGCCCCTGCAGCTAGCTCAGCAAGAGTTTGAAGTCGAAGGAGGCAGAATGGAAGCGTTCTGCGCTTGTCGTTTTCGAAGCACGCCACTGTTGTCTCCTAGCGACACGCCCGCCGCCGCGGCGCGCGCCCTTCTGGCCAGATGCGCCTTTCGAGCTTTCGTCGACTTGCTTTTCACTTCAATGTTTTTGATACTTTTCAATCGAAATGCTTCGAACATTTCAAGCTTGACAGGTTCGAAGGAATCCTTCACGTCTCCAGCTAGCTGTCTTGATCTTGCAGGCTGCAACGGCCGGCAAGCTGGCCGTGGAGTGGTAGTAGAAGTGCTGCGCAGCATTGCGTGACTGGAGAGAATGAGCTCACGTGGCCCGCTTTCGCAGAGCTTTCCTCAAACCATACGACACTCTGTTCGTTTTGCGTCGAGGAGTAGCGAAAACAGCGCCGAGAGAATGGACGATGACGAGGAGGCACTTGTACCACAGGAGCAGGCCAAGCAATCACCGAGGACGGTGAGCCAAGAGCGCGGCCCTCCTGTTGCCGGCCGCGAGAATGTGTCAAGAAGATACAAATTGACGATAGCTGGATTTGGTGTTGCTGCTACAGCTCTGGTTCTGTTTGCTGCTTTCTCGCCATCTTTTGTTGATCATGATACTCACGACATTGCAATATTTGGCAAGACTACGAAGCTGCTAAAGATTTACTCCAGTACTACGGCCGAGTTTCCCAATGTGGAGCTGTCTGTTGGTAATAATCTAGATAATGACCTGGGCGTACATGGCCCTTACAAAACCTCATCGGCCGATGGCACTTCGAAAACCTATCTCTGGAAGGATGGGGCTGGATCGGGTGTGGCGAATATGACCATATTTGTGGATAGGAATACATCCTGTGTGACTGTACGTTGGCGTAGCTTCCAGTCGGACCTCTTCAGGCCGTCTTACAATGACTGCATCGCTCTGGGCAGTGACCATTGGTACGGTGGCGGTGAGCTGTTTGCGCAGTACTGGCCGCTGGAGACCGGGGTCAGCATGAACGCCACTCCTTTCTTGTCGCATGATGTCCTCAACACACCTGACAAGCCAGTGTGGGGCTCTGTGCTTGAGCCGCTGTTCATCTCCAGCAAGGGCCTGGTGGTGCGCGCCAACGACTCGGCACCACTCTTCGTCTCTATGTCTCCGTCACTGGATGATCGCGGCACTGGCGCTCAGCTATGCCTGATTGGCGAATTCAACGAAGATCTCTACCCCAACATTGCCACCACTAGCGACGTTAGCTTAGAGTACTCGATCTGTATGATGTCCGATCCCGTCACAGCCTACAGACACCTAGTATCGACTGGGTACCTGCAGAAGCCTAAGCAAACTCCAAACCTGGCCATGTTTCGCTACCCCATGTGGTCCACCTCGCAAAGCATTAAAGACTTCAGTCCGGCTGCCGTTGCAAATTATACTGCCCTCATCAAGAGACTCAATTTCACGTATTCCGTGATGGAAGTGGACAGCAAGCTCATGCAAAATTATGGTGATTTTGTGATCGATAATCGCACTCTGCCTGACCCTGCGAAGTTCTTCTCGGATCTGCGCAATGACGGGTTCATTGTGTCGCTGTGGCAGTCGCCGTTTATCAACGTCGGCTCGGTGAATTTTGACTTTGCAGTGCGTCAAGGCTACTTAGTGCGTGGGTCCAACGGCGAGGTGAATCTTGTCAGGTGGTGGAACGGCTATGCTGGTGTCGTGGATATCACCAACCCAAACGCGACGGCCTGGTTTATCGGGCAGCTGAAGAGCTTGCAGTCTCTGGGCGTCGACACGTTCCAGTTCCATTGCGGCGAAGTCGAGTACCTGCCTCTGCAGCACATCACCAAGCAGCCGCTGAGAAATCCCAATGAGTTCTCGCGGCGCTATGTGGAGACGGTGACGGCTCTCAACAGAGGCACGGCGGTGATACGCGCTGCGTACCGCGTGCAGCAGCTGGGCAGTTTTGTGGCACTGATGGACCGTAGCTTTACCTGGGGTCTGGACAGCGGTCTGCACTCGCTTATCACTGCTACGCTGACGTTCTCAGTTCTTGGCTACCCGTACGTGCTGCCTGATTATATCGGCGGTGGTGTCGGCGCTGGCCAATCAATCAGTCCCGGCAATCTACCCGATCCAGAGTTGTTCATCCGCTGGGCGCAGCTATCGGCATTCCTGCCGGCGATGCAGTTTGCAACTCCGCCGTGGTGGTATGGGGGCTCAGCGCTGGCACAGACAGTACTGGCACGCAGTCGTAATGCTGTGGCACTACACACCGCCTTGTCGGAGCACGTGATCGAGCAGCTTGCTCGGAATGCAACCGAGACTGGCGAGCCGATCGTGCGGCCCCTCTGGTGGATTGCACCCAGCGATGCTGTCGCGTTGAGATCCAGCACGCAGTTCATGGTCGGTGATGCTGTGCTTGTCGCCGCCGTGCTGCAGCCACTAAGTCAAGCACCGACACAGAAAGTATACGTACCGGCGGGCTGCTGGCAGCACTGCAACGGTACGGTGTTCACCAGCGCCCGCGGCTTGTGGCTGACGGAGCGCTTGTCGCTCGACAGCATCCCTTACTTATGCCGCTTGGGCAATGTCGCGGCATGTCCGGCGCACGCAAGCACGGACGGTACGTTTTGCAGTCAGCAGCCTTGTCGCTGATGCTGTGTTTATTTTTAGGTTATTGTCACACGACGTTTTCATACCCTTTTGGCACTGTTCACCCTGCCACCCTTGTGCAGCATGAAACTAAATTCTTCCCAGCTTGATTTTACGAAGCCTATCAGGTGTATCAATAATGTATAAACTTCATACTTTGTCATGAGACTTTTGTAAGGTTTAATGTAGTCTCCGCATGACATGTGTTTTGTAGATATCTGTACCTTCTTGTCCAGTTCATATTGTACATAGCCGTACGTGTACATTTTTAAAGTCCTGTACATGTTCCTGTCATCTTTCTTTACTTCTTCTCGCTCTTCAGCATCCATGAAATGAATTCTTTCATATTTATAGGCCACTCTCAGTGCGACTGCCAATGGCTGTTGAGTATTGTCTGTGTAGCATTTAGAGTAGTACGGATGTCCCTAAATCATTTTCTTCAGTAGCTTGATTCGCAAAACCTAGCCAGGCTGTAGTGCTGCCACTTTTCAAGAAAATGCACGGACACCATTTTATATTTTCTCAACTTAAACGCTTTTGCCCTGTTGCCTGTTTTCGTGCGTGAACAAGAAGAGTAAAGCCGTGGTGCGTGTGTGAACAAGAAGAGTAAAGCCGTGGTGCGTGTGTGAACAAGAAGAGTAAAGCCGTGGTGCGTGTGTGAACAAGAAGAGTAAAGCCGTGGTGCGTGTGTGAACAAGAAGAGTAAAGCCGTGGTGCGTGTGTGAACAAGAAGAGTAAAGCCGTGGTGCGTGTGTGAACAAGAAGAGTAAAGCCGTGGTGCGTGTGTGAACAAGAAGAGTAAAGCCGTGGTGCGTGTGTTAACAAGAAGAGTAAAGCCGTGGTGCGTGTGTGAACAAGAAGAGTAAAGCCGTGGTGCGTGTGTGAACAAGAAGAGTAAAGCCGTGGTGCGTGTGTGAACAAGAAGAGTAAAGCCGTGGTGCGTGTGTCTGTGAATGTGCATGTGCTTGGCTCAGATGAAACCTGTCTAAGGCGACCGCTCAAGGGACCTTCAAAATGTGGTCCCCGTGTACAGGTGGTCTCCTTATCCAGGGTCATTAGGCTGGACGTAACACCCCAATTGGTCCTGGTTGTAGTGGTCATCTAGGACAGGTGGTCTCCTTAGCCAGGGTCATTAGGCTGGACGTAACACCCCAATTGGTCCTGGTTGTAGTGGTCATCTAGGACAGGTGGTCTCCTTATCCAGGGTCATTAGGCTGGACGTAATACCCCAATTGGCCCTGGTTGTAGTGGTCATCTAGGACAGGTGGTCGCCTTGACAGGTTTTATTGTAGTATGCTGGGCGAGGCTTCAGCCGTTTCTTCCTCAAGTTCCTGTGGGTGTCCCACGGTTTTGTGATCTCACTCTCAGTCCGGTGTTCTGAGTTCTGAGGAGCGGCCCTACATCACGGTTCTCGCCCTTATGATACTAGGGAGTTGTTTGAGTCTTCTTCTTGTTGTACTGTCAGTCCGGTGTTCTTTGTTCTCTCCTGGATGTCTTCTTCAATCGTCTTGATCGTAGTAAGGTCACTGTTTCCGAACACAGTCGGTGGTCCCCCGCCTTGTTACATGCTGTCAACCAACAACTATCTACTGTACGTATACTCATGCATCCTGTAGCCCCCCCCCCCCCCTCCATATTATTATAATAATTATTACGTCATTACATGATGTACATGTACATGTACCGTAAAGTACCGCCAGAGCGCCCCGTCTCGCGAGAGCGCCACCTTGATTTTACAGCCAGAGAAAGGAAAATCGTATGGCAGAGTGCAACGAAGTTTGTACGATGTAAGATACTAAGAAGCTTAGTGTACTAAGGTCACACTTGGCAGGTTTTTATGTGGAGCTTGTGTCCGCTCGAAGGTACGGATTGACTGCAAAACGTGCTATATCATAATATGTGTACAAGGTTCATATCGTATGACCTACAGACAGCAGACCACCTCCACAATACGACCACGAAAGGATGAGATGGTGGGGCGCTCTGGCGGTACTTTTGTATTTGTATTTGTATTTATATCATTATCTCATGGCACATCATGATGACGGCCAATAAAACTGAGACAAGGGTGAAAGCCAACCACAGCAGTAAAACAGATAAAAGAATACAAATAAGAGGCAAAGAAGGCAAAGGAGGAGACAAACCAGCAGGATATACATGAAACCTATAATTGAGCAGAGATTTTAGCAACAAAATTATCCATCGACGTGCTGGTCTTGGCCTGCGTTGGTAATGTTGCCCAAAACACATAGCCAGCAAAGATCGGGGATCTAGTGAATAGGGTGGAGGCAGCGCGTGGGAGACTGAGTGAGTTCCGGGTGTTCCGTGTTTCGGAGAACCAATTATAAGCCTGCATATGCAAGGGTATTTTATTTAGTAATATTTTATGTATGAGAACACAGAGGTGGTACTTATGTCGAGTGGAAAGGGGACTGATCTTGGCAATTTCGTAAAGACTAGCGGAGGGAAAGCGACGATCTTTGCTAAATAAGATTTTAAGGAGCATGCGGTTATGGGTTTCTAGCTTGTTCAATACAGTAGTAGTTATGCCACACCAAGCAGTATCACAGTAGTCAAGTAAGGGCAATATATAGCAACGATAAAACAAGCGTTTGCAAGAAAGAGGAAGATGTCTACAGTGGGCTTGAAGAGCCCCAAGGATGGAGCTTGTGCGCTTGCAGACATACTGCACATGGGGTGACCACGACAATTTAGAGTCAATAATAACGCCAAGATGCTTATGCTCTTCAACAATGCGAATAGCAACACTTGAAGAAGGAAAACAAAGTGGCAGGGAAGGGGGAGAGGGGGAAATGTACATAGCTGCCGTTTTATCAACGTTTGGCTGCAACTTCCAATCATGCATCCAGGTTATAACTTTCCCAATGCTATCTTGCATGGCTTTGTGCAGGCGTATAGGGCAAGCATTGGAGCAAAGCAGAGCTGTGTCGTCAGCGAAAAGGCTGACACCAGGGGCAGTATCGGGGAGGTCATTAATATACAGGAGAAATAGCAGTGGCCCAAGTATTGAACCCTGGGGGACTCCAGAAGTAACGGGTAAAGGCTCCGATAACACAGTTGAGAGGCGTACAAGCTGATGTCGGTTAGAGAGATACGATGAGAGCCAGCCGATAGCCTTGCCATCAATGCGATATACTGTTCGCAGCTTAGCTAAGAGACCCCTGTGCCAAACAGTGTCGAAGGCCTTTGCGAGATCGAAGAAAACTAAACCAACATGGTTATGGGCGTTCCGGGCGGTGTGGATGTCTTGCACGAGGCGGGTAACCTGGTACCTGGTGGAGTCACCCCGACAAAAGCCCGACTGTGCTGGCGAAAGTGAAATGCGAACATGATCATAAATGATGTCATATACAACACGTTCGCACACTTTTGATAAAGTAGAGAGCAATGAGATAGGGCGATAGTTGCTGGGGGTGGTGCGTGGTCCTCTATTTTTGTAGGTGGCCACGACTACCGCAGTTTTCCACATGGCTGGGAATTTCCCTTCACGAAATGACATATTCAAGATAATTGACACAGGATAGGCAACAGACGGAGCAAGAGCTCTCCAAACTTCGTTGGTAATTCCGTCTTGACCAGGGGACTTGCCAGTTTTCAGATTACGGAGATATTTCCTCACTTGGGCTGTACCAGTCGACAATGATAGGAGGGACGCAGGTATTGAGGGTGAAGGGGTGAGTGGTGGTATAGGCCACGTAGGGTCGTCAGGAAGTCCAAACGACGTAAACTGCGTGTTCAATATGTCTGCTATGTCTGCGGGATCTGTTGCTACCGTGCCGTCTGAAGCTGTCATTGATCGGATCGGCTCCCGACTACAGTTCTTACGGAGATGGCGGAGAAATTGATGGAGACTAGGGCGATCATGGGAAGACAGGGTGGCATGAACCGACTGTACATACTGACGATGGAGGGTACGTGACAAACATTTCACTTCGTTACGCTTGCGCTTAAAGGCAATGAAGTTTTCACTGGTTGGATACTTCCTATAAATGCTATACAAATCTCGCTTCAGTTTCACAGCACACTTGAGGTCCGGAGTGATCCAGGGTCGGGATGCATCCCGCATAGTAGGACGAGGCCTAATGTAGTCTCCTGTCCGCGGAATAACTTTGTAAGGCAACAGATGACGATGGAATGCTGACTGTAGTAAAGCATCAAACAGGACAATGGCATCATCAACATCAGAATGCCGATGAAGTAATGACCAGTCCAACCTAGACAAGTCTTCATTCACAACCTGCCAGACATGGGTAGGCACTTGTTTATACCTGTACTGAGCCTGGGGATGGAGGGACGATTTAGCAGTCGCTTGTGGTGTCGAGCACGATGCATAGTTGAGCGTACAAACAACCTGCAGATGATCAGATGTGCCAAGAGGAGCTGCGTGGTCGACTGAGAGGACATGTTGGGGTTTGTTGGTTACCAACAAGTCAAGACATGAGTTGGCACCCGCTGATGAAGTGTATGTTGGGAAACTCACTAGTTGTTGGAGCCCAAGCATTGAAAAAACTGTCTGTAGGTTGGTACCGGCTGTAGAGGTGGAGTCAGAAGAGCACCAATCATTATGTTTGGCATTAAAATCCCCCGTCAGGAAGAAGTCACACTCGTCATAGCAAGAGGACTGTATAGCATCGACCAGCATATCCGAGAAGAAGGACAATTGTACCGCCGTTTGGGAAGGGGGTCGATACATGCAACATACAAGAATAGGGTTAGGGGTGCATTGAGACTTAACTTCCACCCAGGTAGATTCACAGCCCTGACGCTGCAGGTCGGGCCTGTGGAGAATATGTTGAAAAGCATCAGTCCGGACAAGCACCGCGACACCACCATATCCTCTAGTGAAAGAGTGTGCATTTCTGTTCTCGTGTGCTGGTCTGTCTCTTCTGAAACAGGAATAGCCCGGTACATGCACGGAAACAGATGGGCACAGCCAGGTCTCCGTGAGGCAAACAATACTTGGCTTAGTGCTCTCCAGAACAATCGAAAGTTCAGCTAATTTATTGACGAGAGACCGACAATTCATGGTTATCAGCGTTAGGTCGGATTCTGATCTGGGGTAGAATGGGGTAGCATGCAAGTTGAGGGAAGACATAGACAACATGATTATGACGAGGAACTATCACCACCACGTTCAGTCACATTGGTACCGTCGGCAAAGCGCCACTTACGGACGGTGTGGCTAATTGTTGCCGGCCAAAATCCTGCACTGAGTATTTTGCCTTCATCCGTCGCTAGGACAGTCAGTCGTGCATATGCTGTGCCAAAGGTCCGGGATTCGCTAATACTGCAATTGAGCACCTCAACCTCACGGTCCTTGCACCAGTCAGTAATTGCGTTAGCGCTACACTCCATGTGGACATTGCCCACGTAGAACACAGATTTCGCGACTTTTTCTACGCCTGTAAGGATGTTGGGGTTAGCTGGGGCCACAGGCTTCACGTACCGGGACGTGACCCGACGCCGTACAACTTCGGCCCAGCCATCCGAACTGCTTCCCGTATTTTCACTTGTACTAGTTGTAGTACTTTAC